CAGGCAAATACCAAGAAGCTCCAGGCATCAATGGATCGGATGAACTCGGAGCTAGAAGATTGTCATCAGCAACTTATATTGCTCCACAAAGTATTCGATCCTAATGACACATCGCCAACCGAGAAATCATGGGAGACAATAAAGCCGGACCTGTCCAAAAAGGTTGATATGGCTGCTCTGTTAGAGACTGCCCACAATGACCTTCGGATAAGTGAAGAAAAGCGTTCGAGGGCTGAGAATCAACTGAACGAGATGCGACGCCGGCACGCAGATGAAATGAATGAGCTTGATGCTCGCTACTCTTCGTCGAAGCGTGCCCTTCTCGAAGAAATTGATCAAAACCAGGTGGCCAATACAAGGTCTCCAGGGCACTTTAGGAAGAATTCGGAGCCTAATAAGCGGTTTTCCAACCCTTCAACCCCCAACCGTCGATATAACAATTTCATAGATGGAGTTGGTGACTCTGGACGGTCAGATCGAACTGTCGATACTGTCACGTTCCAGAAACGAATGGATCAAGCTGCGGAAATCGAGAGCCTTCAGAATCAACTGCAGCTTGCTGAAATGCATAACCGTCACCTCCAGAGTCAGGTTGATAGAGCTACTCCAGCTCGAGATATGTGGCAAGACGAGAGTCCATCTATCCGACGCATGCAGATTCTTGAACGTGAAAACGGCCGTCTCCACGAGAAGCTAGATGATTCTGCTAAGAAGGTTTCAGCCTTAGAGAAGAGTATTCAATCCGGCGAGTTGAGCCTCCGTGATGTACAGGCGAAATCCCATGAGGAATTGTACGATCTTCTCAGCTCCCAGGAGCAGTCCCGACGGTCTCTCCTACAAGTTCACAAGTCTGCACTAGCCGATCTCACCCACGCAAAGACGGAATTTGAAAAGCTCAAGCACGCAAGAGCTGCTATGGAGGTCGAGCTACGAGACACTAGATCAGAGCTCCAAGAGCTACAACTTGCACGAGAGCATGACAACGCTAGCCGAAGCCAACTACTCCAAGAGTTCTCAGACCTCCAGATCAGATTGGATGCTGAAACATCCAAGGCCATTGATGCCGACTCCAGTTTGAGTCTGTACAAGAGCCGCGCCAACGAATATTTCAGCAAGTTGGAACAGGCAGAAATTGCTGTTTTGAAGGCTACCCGCGCCGAACAGTTTGCCAAAGCACAAGCCAAAGAGGCAGAAGAAACTTGCGCTAATATCATGGCTGAAAGGAAACAAACCGATAACCTCATTGAGGATCTGCAGCGACAAGCACAGTCTCATGAAGAAAGGATTGAGGATCTCTCAGCTGACCTTGAGGCTGCATTACAAGCGAAGAAGCGCCTCCAACACGAGCTCGAAGATTACCGAAGCCAGCGGGCTATGGATATCGAGGACAAAGAAGCTTCCATGGAGCAAACAAGGAAGAAGTATCAAATGGAATGCTCGACGCTTACGAGCGAGCTTGAAATAGAACGCGAAAATGTTCTCCATATCCGAGGTGAAAATGCACGCTTAAAGGAAGAGCTCGAGGAACTTCGATCTAAATGGGACGATGAAGTTCTCAATAGTTCAACCTGGTCCAAGGAAAAATCCAGAATAGAGATGACCCTTCAGGATATCACAGCTTCCAGAGATGATGCCGTCAAGGCCCACAACGAAGCCCAGAGTAAGGTAGTGACCTTGTTAAATCAAGTTCGCACACTTCGCACTTCTGTGGATGATATCTCAGCCGAGCGTGATATGCTCCTCAAGGAGAAACGCGGCCTCGAGTCCAGACTTGCTGAAGCAGGAGACCGGTTGGAAGACCTTGCCAAGGGCGAAAGCCCAATGCGGAATGCCGCTGGTATGGACCGTGAAATTCTCGAGCTGAAGTCGCAGCTTGCCCAACAAGAGGATCTTGCATCCGCTGCCGTTGGTAAGATGCGAAGGGCCGAAGCACTTGCGACGGAAGTGCAGAAGGAAATTGTAGCTCAACGGGAGTCAACAGCCCAACTCTTCAAGGATAAGGCTGCACTTGAGAAGCAATTCAAGGAAGTTCAGCTTCGATGCGTTGACCTTGAAACCAAAGGATATTCATCCTCGAGCCAGGATGTCAGGTTCCTCAATAAGCGAATCCAGGAAGTACGTATAGATTCATTACATCCCCTTTGTACAAGTGCAGTATGCTAACATTATGTGCCCATCAGCTTGAAACTCAACTGGAAGAACAGGAGTCGAAGCGTAATGCGGAGCAGAGATCTGTTCGCAATGTGGATAGGACGGTTAAAGACCTACAGACACAAATTGAAAGAAGAGAAAAGGTTAACACCCAACTTACGGAGGACATCGGAAAGTCGCGAGATAGAATTGAGCGACTTCTCCAAACGATCGAAGAACTCCAGACTAGCGACTCTGAGAACCAGCTTCAGGCTCGCCGTGCTGAACGTGAGCTCCGCGAAGAACGTGAAAAATCCCTTCGGCTTGAAAGGGAATTAGAAGGGTGGAAATCACTCCGCCTAGAAAGGGGGAGTATGAAAGGCCCAGGATACGGGGGAGTGAGCGAGATGGGCGACAGGTATAGTCGTCGAGGAAGTGGCGTATATGTTGGTTCAGGTATCGAACTTCCCCAACGCAAATTGAGCAACAGCAAAGGGTTCTTGTAAGATGTCTTGCGACCCCGTACCCGTTGATGCTCGAGGAACCAATGTCGTCTTTTCAAAGGTGATTTTTTTCTATTTGCATCTCAAATTTGTATAGGTCATAGGCGGTGTCGGGTTTTTTATGAATAACTGTTTGTATGATGATGAGCGGGTTCCCCATATGAGTTCATGTATTTAATTAATAGAATGACTTGTGTAGTTTATGTTCAGATGCCTCAGATTGTTCTCACATTAGTGGAAACGTGTATCTATGGCCAAGTTGAAATGTATTCTTGCATAAGATTGTAGGCTGGTTAAATAAATCAATCCTTGGATTTAGGTGATGGCACTTCAACCCTGGCTTAACTACTTCGAAAAACACAATACTCCTCAATGTGTAGTGGGTGTACTCCGTATAAAAAGGATTTAGAAGCAGGGGCCAGTAAAGGAAACTGTTCTTAGCCCATAGGTATCCCAGGCATGCAATAAAATGCACAGTGAAGCTTAGGGGATTTAGTGCCGAATAGCTAGTCACCCATTTCACTGAACCAGCCAAAACTCATGACTAGCAAGCGAGCAGATTCAAAGAGTGTGGATGTGTTTCAGCTACCTCGTCGCAGTCGCCGGGTATATCTATCCACAGCTTAATTCGGTACTCGGGGTTGTGGGACGTGCTGACTATTGCATAGTTATCTGTCAAAGCTAGATGGGAGTATACTTGTTTCAGAGAAGTCAATAATAGTAATGTGCCCATCATCGTTGATGATAAAGTTTCCGGGATGGATATCGATAAGAGAAGGAATAGACTTAGTTCTTGGTGATTGACAATTGTACTTTGAACTTGAACGTAGTGCTTCGAAGTGTTGAAGATGATGTTGTTTATATTCTTAAAAAGAACTAATCTAAGAAACAGATAAACACGTGACCTCCGCTATAGTGTATTTCTTATTAATTGAGTTCTCCAATTTTATCCAATAATGTCTATTTTCCATGATTACGTAATTCAGATAACACCTCTTCGCGTGTCTATGTGAATTTTGAGCTCATGGCCCATATAGTCCGCCGCAAATTAATATGCAAGGGGAATAGGCTATAGCAACGGCTATCTCGACGACGCTTTTATTGTTCGGGGTAACCGGTGATCTTTTAGGCTACTTTATACTTGACAAGGCGGCTAATAACGACACAGCAGTGTTGATCAACATCTTCATTCCACAATAAGATTGGCAGACAAAGCTTGCTCCCACGCATAACATCGACCGAGAGACACATTCTTCAGGCGCAACGACAACCTCGAGCTCTCGGTAAAAGTGACAGATATAGCGCATTATCCCGTAATCCGACTCAATACAATAATTCCAGCCTGTTAACGGGCTAGTCCAAGCCTCATTCTTTCACCATGGTGAGTCCTAGCTCGCATAACCTCGATATCTCCCATACTAATCGCAACAATGCATGTCCAATAGGCTCGAAATAGCGAGAAAGCACAGTCTATGCTCTTTCGGTTCCGTGCTGCTCAAGCTGCCGATCTCGGAATCCTAGATATCGGACGGACACGCCGCCCAAAAGCTATCACTTCGATCGACTCTATCCCAGTTTGTGAAAAATGGCGCGGCCAAGTTCTCAAAGAAATATCCCGGAAGGTCACACGTATACAAGATCTTAGTTTAAGCGATTTTCAAATAAGAGACCTAAACGATGAGATCAACAAACTAATGAGGGAAAAATGGATGTGGGAAGTTCAAATACGAAATCTGGGAGGACCAAATTACACGCGTGGCGGTGGGAGAGTGTACGATGAGGACGGGAAAGAGATTCCTGGTGGTGGTAAAGGATACAGATATTTCGGTCGAGCGAGAGAACTGCCTGGAGTCAAGGAGATGTTTGAGGCAGCGACAAAAAAGAGAAGTGCCTCTGAATTAGACGATACGGGGGGGCGAAAGATGGATATTGAAATGTTCAAAAAACATGTTGATGCGGCATACTTTGGCTACGGCCTAGACGAAGAGGATGGATCATTACTAGCGTACGAGAAGAAGAAAGAGAAAGAGGCATTTGAAGCTGTGTTGAAGAAGGGCGACGATAAACCTATTGATGGGTGGGAGCCGTTGCCAGGTGATGCAGGTGATGGTGTCGAATGGCAGCTGCCTACACTAGATGATGTCCAGGAAGAGCTAGTGGAAAGACGAAGAAGAAAGCTACTTGACAAGATTGGTTAGCATATTCAACAAAGGTGTTGCGGATATGACCCTGGATTAGTGGTGTATAGAGCCTTCCATAGGATAGCAATATGTATAATTATTCAATTCATCTAAAATTGCATTCACTATTGTACATTGTAGGGGTATATTAAATATCAAACAAACGCCAAAATCAGCCATCCTTCACTTATACCACGCCAGTAGCAAGTATCTTTTGCACTCTCTCAGGAGTAAGTTCCAACGAAGTTCCAGGGATTGAGCTTTCCGTAGTTCCGAGCCTGGCATTCTTCTTTTCCCACGAAACTTTCACCACGTCGTCAAGCATAAATAGGCCGAGTTTTCCTTCTCGCCATTGTGTGATGAATAACCGTGCGGCCGCCTCATAGTCCGGGTCACCTCCTTTGACAAGCCGGCCAGCTTTTCTCGAAATTGCACTCAGTAACTCCATTATATCATTGGTTGGCGCACAGTATGCTCCATACATATCCATCAACAAATTCTGGTTCATTTGAAAGAGAAGATAGTCGGCCAGGGTGATTATAGGTACCAGAGAGTCCTTGATGATTCCGCAAAGTGCCATTTTCAGCATACTGTCAGGGTTAGACATATATGGTACAAACACACCAGGCGTGTCATACACATAAATGCCTACATCATCCTTCTCGAACAATTTTATAGGTGTACCGATCTTTCTCGTGATGCCTGGGTCTGCTCCGGTTCTGACGACGGCAGATTTTCTGACGTTCTTAATATTGGTCATAGATCGTAGTTTGTTAATCAGGGTCGATTTCCCTACGTTCGGCATCCCAACTATTAACATGCGGTATCCGATTATGCTGTTGGCAGCCACAGGGAGATCCTTTATGTACTTTGCCAAGGGAGTGACGGAGTTCGTTAAGCTTCTGCTTGCGAAAAAGACTTTCGTAGTTTTCTGTTCCCAGCGAGATATGAGTTTTTCTTTCTACAAAAAAGCAGTCGCGTAGAAGTTAGTAAAAATATGTCAGTAGCGGAGTAATAGAAGCAGAAATACCATTCGAGATTCTGGTTTCGAGTCCGCTCCAAGATCTCGCTTAGTATAGACTATAGTTCGGCTTTTCCCGCCCAATGCTTCTTCAAATAATGGGTTTATCGAAGTTGCCGGTACCCGGAAGTCTCGGCATTCTATAACATGGTCAACAGAGTCTAGCATTGCTTTCATCTTCTCAAGCCCAGCTCGGTGATGTCCCAGGAAGTAGCTTTTCTGAATGTGTTCAGACGCCAAAAACGCCGTCCGGGGGATAAAGGAAGTCATCTTGAGATACTTCTAGGGTGTCATATGCCTAGTAGCATCATTGTAGTGTGTTGATCGAAAGATCTGACGCAGGATACCTGTTATATCATTATAATTTGCCAAATGTCAGCTCAATGTCACGATCCATTTTGCTGACGCTCCCGTCCCTCGCCCTTTCCAAGGTCAGAAATCGATAGCGGATTAACCTTAACCCGGATAAGCTCACGGCAGGCTTGGCATTTTTCGCGTGGTAGATTATGTAATTTTTATTTTAGAACCTTATTTCGACCTGCACAAAAGTTGAAGACTTCGTGATATCGGAAAGGAAGCAGTAAGAAAGAGTTGGTTGCAGGCTGACGTCTTTTCTGAGTTCATTTCCTTGGTACATTATGCAACTGGACTGCATAGAAAGTGAGTGCTTATTGCCGAGGAATAAAAATCGCAACCAGCAGGCCAACAGGGTCTCGGCCTTGTTCTTAGTGCCTTGGGCATGGCAAACTGCCCCAGAAAGCCCAAGGATCCATGCGAGAAGAGACAGCCCTCATGCTCGCTACAGAATATCTCATTGAACTTCTCCCTCTGTTGGCGCTTGGCGTACGTAGCCCTCCTTCCTTGACTTCCTATGGGCTTCTTTTTACATCCCATAACTGAACCTAAAATTTAAAAATGTTTTCGCCCTCGATCGGGTCACAGAGCTATATATAACCGAATAGTAGAGCCAACTATGCTAATTTTGCTGGATCGATGCTATCAATACAAGTTCTCATTTTCTTAAAGTCATTTGCCGTTCTTTTTCCCCGGACTATTCTTAACACCCCAGATAGCCTAGTAGAACAGCCTTCAGCGGTGAGAGGCTAACTAATGTCTGTGGGCACTTTTCTTCGACCACGGTCGACAAGACCAATGCAAGGCATGCTTCGTCGAAGAAAGGAACCCCGCCCATCTAGTACCAACCAAGGAAGAACGGACTATAATGAGGATGTACCTGACGAGGATGCTCACTCATACATCACTCCCTCAAAACATACGCCCAAACCACTATGGCTCCTCAACAAAACAGTAGGCCCTGGTGGCCCCTTACGGCCTTTTCGCCTTGTAAAACAGGATCTGGTGAATCTACACCAAAGATACCTCTCAGATTGGAAGATATTCAATCAATTAATAGTGGCCAGCACTGTATACGTTTTCTTCACCAATTTGTTACCAGGCATCACCTTTGCCAGTGATTTATACGTTCTCACGGGCAAGAATTGGGGTGCTATTGAGGTAGTCTTCAGTACGGGATTGTGTAGTATCATTTTTTCTCTGTAAGAATCTTTACCCAACTTTTTTGAAACTCCATGCTCATTGCCTGCTCATAGGTTCTCTATTCAGCCTCTCACAATCCTCGGGGTTACCGGCCCCTTTTCTGTTCTTGCAGAAAATATATATTCTCTTTGCCATGAGGCTTTTAATGTAAGACCTGATACGTTTCAAATATTCACACGATTGTTCTCTAACCAACGACGTATAGATTCCATTTCTACCCTTCATGGCCTGGTCGCTTATCCATGCAGGGTGGCTCCATTATCTTCTGGCTATATTTAATGCCCATGATTGGACTATGGGCTATGTTACTACTTTCTCAACTGAGATATTCTCTCTCCTGAACAGCATAATATATTTCCATAAAGCTATCCAAGAGCTTGAGCGAGCCCACGCAAACCTCTCCTTCGCCGCATTCCTCTACGCCATCATAGGCGCGGTAGGAACAATGCTACTCGCCATATTCTTGTCCACAGCAGAGTCTTGGAAACCCTTATTCCACCGATACATCCGCCTGGGGCTTTCGGAATATGCAGCAGCAATATCCATTATCTTGTTCATTGGACTACCTCATATTGGAGAGCTCGCGCACTTGGACAAGTCAACGCTCCCCGTCAGCATCACGTTTCAACCCACATCTCCAGACCGTCGTATATTTTTCGTTGAGTTCTGGAAACTTCCTGCCCGCTGGATATTCGTGGCTATTATTCCCGGAATAATCATCACGATGCTTTTCTTTTTTGACCATGAGATAAGCTCCATAATATGCACCATCGATCGTTATAAGACGCGGAAGCCTGGTGGGTTTGCTTGGGACATCATTCTCCTGGGTACTACCACTGCGTTATGCGGCATCTTAGGAATTCCTCCCGCAAATGGTCTTTTACCTCAAGCCCCTCTTCATTCAGAATCTTTGATGCATGTGGACACAGAAGAAGTTGTAGTCGAGGTCGATGGCCAGGAAACGGTAGAAGTCCGGCATATCAGGAGAGTATATGAGCAGAGGTGGTCTTCTTTACTCCATGGCTGCGGTATTCTTGCATTTGTTAGCCCTCCACTCATGAAGGTTCTTGGTTTAACCCCAACAAGCGTACTCGCTGGGTTATTCCTATTCATGGGAGAACAAAGCTTATCGGTCAAGTAAGAGCTCTCTCCGACTTACGCTAACTAGTTAATAGTACCTGCTGATAAATCTTGTAGTCCCATCTTGTATCGGACATTTTACCTCTTGACACCTCCGTCAGAACTACCAACCCTCCCTGCAGAACTGGGCTCTTCATCGTCACCTACTAGCACCACCGAAACAAGTCCAAGGCCGTCATATACACCTATTCACCTCTATACCTTACTCCAACTATTGATTACAATAGCTATATTCATCCTAACTCTCACCCGCGGTGCTCCAGCCTTTCCCGTGTTGATCATACTGCTCGTTCCGTTTAGATTACTGGTGATGAAGCATTGGTTTAGGAGAGAGGTACTAAGGTTTGTTGATGCCTGGGCTTGCAGGGCCGGTACCCCTGAAGACAGTGAAGATAAAGAGGGCAGTGTTCAGGAAGAGAAGGAAGAGCAACAAAGTGATGGCCAGACTGGCGTGCTACAAGCGCGAAGAGATTCATCCGACCGAGTATGAACATTGTTGGATAAAAAAGCACGTCGACGCTTGAATAGCGGACTATGACTATTTGTAAATTATTATGCCCTGAATAGCTGCAAACTGCAGGCAAGGCATAAATTAATTACCTTTGTAAATACATAAAATGATTCGTTAAAATGGGTATAATATGTTGGTACAAAGCCTTCCCATAAAATTCCCACAAAACTCCTGGCTGTCCCCATTGATGCGTTATCTTGAAAAGGGCCTTCTAAATTATTCAAAATTTCAAGATTCAAAACCTAGAAACCAACTTCTTGCTTTCGAACCCCCGGGGTGTGAAGATAAATTGGATCATGCCCTCCATCCTTGAACTAGATCATGGATTCGATCTATGACAGCACCAAAAATAGCGTTGACGCTGTTTATGATAAGTTCATCGAAATGACGAATTGCTTCTTCCTCCGTCATCTCCAAATGGAACCTTTCCTTGACCTTCAAAACCGCTTTGTCGGGTTCAACACGTATATCAGGGATATTTGCATCAACCATCAAACTAAATAAATTGAGGATAAGATTTGCGGATTTTCGAAGTGTTATATACGCTGTGAAGCAGTATTGTTTGAATTGAATGTAGTTCGGTGAGTTGGCACCACCCATTCCTTCAACCATTTCTTTGCATAGCTTCATCATGGGTGCAAATGGTTTCGGGTCACGGCCAAGAATGAAGCCGAAATCAGCATGAAAGAAATGTCCGTCGGGAGCGAGCAGGAGGTTCTCCAGATGGCGGTCACCAACACCTAAGAGATATGTGATTACACAATATCCAGCACAGGACTTGATATATGTATCCATTGCTTCTTTGCGTACACCTAGGGGTTCACTATCGTCAGGGTTATTTGCTCTAAGGTAAGCAAGCAATGAGCCTTTATATTTCGCAGTGGCCGCAGATAAAGGTGTAGATGGGACGAATTGCACAGCGCCAGCAGTAGCTCCAGTGGCAATGATTCGGTAGGGGGTAAGTTTGAGATCCAGATTTTCTTTCTGGAGAAGCCTGTCCATAAGAGTTATAATTTGGATGACAAGTTGGTCCTGACGCAAATCATCTCCAACTTTGAAAATAACAGGATATTTTCGGCCATCCGATAGCTTAAAATTGATAAACAGCGGTGATAAGGAGGATTTGAACACATTTGCCTCCTCCGGGTGACACCCAACAATCGAAACTGTGGGGTCTAGTGGGAATGGAAGCGGTGGATCTATTTGTAAAATATCGTTCTTAGGGTCCCCAAGGAACTTTTTGAGCATTTCAATCTTGAAAGGACGGTTGACTCTGGCGAATCGGATGTCCTTTGCAATCTTGGAAAGAATGGTAACAAGTTCACCCTGTCTGAGCAGCACTTTTCTCTGTGCAGGGTTAACCTTTTCTAATTCCAGCATAAAGTAAAACTCCACGCTCGCAAAGAATTTTCGATGGTTGGAAAGCGTTCCAGGAGCAGTGTCGTCACATTCAACCATCAAATACCAATGGAAATAACTACCAAGTATAGGATTGTTAGCTGCACGGCTGATCAAGAAATTCGTGAGAGAAGAATCATGCGCAGCTTCGTTCGTTTCATCCGTAGAACTCTTTGGAATAGCCTCAAACTTCAGTGCCTGCACAAGCTGTAAAAGGTACAAGAGCAGCTCCTCATCGTCGGATTTTCTTAGTCGATCAACGGCATAAGCACGGACTTCTGGGTTGTCAAAAAGTGGGCCTAGAAGCTCCAGAGCATCGTCAACGTCGATCTCCGTCCACTTCGGGAGGATTTCAACAGCCTGTCTAGCTTCACTGGCATCTTGCCAATTAACTGACTTGACAAATTTGGTCAATGCTCTCTTGTCTCGAGTGAGATAGAATCTAAACTTCCAAACCAGATCCTTCTCTTCTGCATTTAGTTCCTGGGTTGGGCCATATGACATGATCTCATTGATCTCGTCCCGGATCTTCGGGTTTGGTTTCAGATCGCGGTCCATAATGCCGGTTCTATGACTGCGGACTAGCCTTCTATGCTTGTCTTCACAAGGATTTCCTCTCTGCCCAACCTCAGGATCATAAATTCGTATTATAGGGTAATTTCCTTCGTCATCCGCAGCCCCTTCAATGTCAGGGCCAAGTCGGACCTCTGGTGGTGGTTTCAAAGCAACTGTAGATCCAGATGGCGTATGCTGGGCAAGGGAAGAAACCGGAGGAGGGGGGTACTCAAAGTCCTGAAAGACAATAGGGAAGTCAAAGCGTGGAAATTCAACATAGAGCACAAAGTTCTCCTCTTCGTCATCTTGAGAGCTCACACCAGAATCACCATTAGGCTCAACGACAGCCTTTTCTCTGGCAGCTTTATTTCGAAGCGCACGCTTCTTTGCAGCGTCTTCAGCCTCTATTTTAATCTTCTCCACTGCTCGGAAAACAAGCTGATCTAGCCAATCCACTCGGGGTATTTCCCCCATTTCATGTTTCTTCAGTAATTTCTCTAGCCTCTCAAGCTCTAGTTCAATCGGAGTAGGCCCCTCTTCGACAAAGTTGCCTTTGCGTCGTTTGGGTGGCGGTGTGGATGGTGTAGTGGTGTACGAAAAGCCATCTGCGGCTTTGTGTCGGTATAATTTGCATTTTTGCTTCCCCTTTTTCAGCGTTCCATCTTCATCGAAGAGTGCAATCGTAGTACCACCAAACGGAACGGAATGGTCATGGCCTTCTTCGCCGCCCAGGGGTGACAGGTCCCATACTGTGAGTGCCAATTGGGTATTCTGTGGTGCATCCCTGATGAGTACTGGCATTTCAAGCCACTCGTTCCATGTCCGGGTGGTTTTGAAAGACTTGTATGCAGTTTGCATGGGCATACCAAGGGGTTTGCAGCTGCTCCATAGCTGTGCGGTAACGTAGAGATCTGAAGTAGGACTCTGGTTGGACCCAAGATGACGTAGCTCCGGATTCTTGAGCAAGACGGAGAAGGGAATTTGCTTTTGCCTTCCCTCTAAGTTGCATCTATATGACTAGTCAGTACATTTGCGCAGACAATCGCATCCAAGTCACTGTTTCTCTACCTACATCTTAGCCCGGATGGGCAAGGCCACCTGCGTTGATGTTGCAAAGGTGAAGGTATCCATGACCGTCACCCAGTTACGAGAGATATCAGACTCGCTGCCAGAGCTATTCTCATCCTCTAAGCTGGGCAGGGAAATAACATCAACCTCTAAGCCTCCCTCTGCCTCGCCGTCGCTGTTGCTATCGCTCCCGAAGCTGCTGTTGTTGATGATGTCTCCATCGTCGCTCTCGACATCATGCCAAGCCTCGTCCATGCTTATCTTATCCGGATAAACCTTATTCCCTTCCGCTGTCAAATTAAGGGTGCACGGACCATCGCGTCCTTGTTTCGCCCAAAGAAGTAAAAGCGAACTTTTTGGCGACTTTCAACGTCAAGCAAGCAGAAAAGGCGAAGAGACGACGCTGATATCTTCAATCCAACACCTCGCTGGCCACTCATTTGTACTCTAGGCGGTGCCGGATTGCTTGGTTTTATATCTCTACTTAATACAATTCTATACACTGAACCAAAGCTGTTTCCATTCTGCGCGCATTGACAAACACGGCCGCATTGATTCCTGCTCCGCCCTGACAAAGCATTACTACTTAACTAGACAGTGTATGGGCTGTGAAAGATGGCGGGACGAGCCATCCATTCCAAACGATCCCTCTCTGCGACACCTTCCGCCTCCGACCAGGACTCTGAGCCATCACCACCGACGTCTTTCTCATCAGATAAGGAAAACCGAAGCGCGCGCGCGCTCCAAGTGAAGAAGCGGAAGTCCGGTGGCCTGACAGCCCCTCCAATGTCCAGCGCATCGAACAAGAGGCGGCGCGTATCTGAACAAGTGCCTGAACAATCACAGTCGACCCATCAGCGCAGACTCCGGCAGGTCGTAGACACAGACTTCTATGACCCAGATCAGGATCCTGAGGAAAGAAGGGCGGTCCGAAAGGGGCTGAGAGACCTTGCTTCAAATTTAAACGGTATACTCCACACAAGCTTCATTATTCCATGCTTGGCCTCATGTACTAATCGAATGGGTACTTCTAGATTCTCGAAGTGAATTTATTCAGCTAGAATCAAATGGTATTTTGCAGACAGTTGAAAAAGCAAACGATCTCTTCAAGAAGGTCAAGCAAACCTCCGATGCCACTATCGATTCTCGCCTCCTTGTCACAGCCGCAGATCTCTCCTACAAACGAACCGCACAGGCTTGTCTAGGCAACAATGTAGCGGGCATTGACGTTGACGAGTTTGTTTCACAATGCATATCCTATATGCGAAGAGAAACGTCGTCAGCACTCCCTACTCCCACACAGAGCAACCGTCGTAGCTCGGGCCACCCTTCACAACGTGCGGCTGACAGTGACGATGAAGAAGAACCCTTCAACTGGGACTATCTTGGACGCAATGCCTGTTTCCCAAATAACCTCAAACCCTCCATTTCGGGCTTTCTTCTTGGCCCACTGTCCGTACAGAAACGTGTTCGTCAGTTGACACAGCGAAGAGCACGAGAACGAATAGATCCATCCCAACTTGTGCGGCCGAATGATCTTAAGGCTGCAGATTTGGGGAAGCAGGAAGAGGCAACTTTAACAACAATGTGCACAGATATACGAGCGAAGTTGGTTGAGATACAACTCCAAAGAGAATCCTTAGCTCGTGAAGAGCTGTCAAAAATGGGAGATGCTACTGAGGCGGAGGCCATTGCAGTTATGAGCAAACACGGAATATCTGATAATGGCGGAATCCCCCTCTTCCAGTTCTGTATCAACCCAAGGTCATTTGGCCAGTCCGTGGAGAACATGTTTTATGTCAGTTTCCTAGTCCGTGACGGAAGTATAGGAGTCTCGATGGACGGTAACAACCTACCTACACTACGTAAGTTCCAGCAAACCTTTGCCCCCATGGTGTTTGACCAAACGGTGGATCTAATCGTTTTAATAGTTCCATCACAACCACTGCTCCCGTCTGAGGCACGAGAACAAGGCATTCAAAAGCATCAAGCCGTCTTTGGCCTAGATTTCGACACCTGGGCTCAACTAATTGAGACATTCGATATAAAAGCCCCGTTAATCCCACACCGAGACGATGAGGCTCATCAGGCTCCGTCTACTGGCAGATGGCATGCATAATTACTTACTGCGGCATAGATTTTACCTTCCCTCCCTATCCTTCTTCTAGAACTGATTTTGCTGTGCGAAAGATGTTTCGATTTTGTAATGCATTAAGCGGTTTTAACTAAGTATACTTAGATGAGGCCCCTTCAACAATTTTGGATCTTGCCATCAGCTATACGGAGCATGTTGATATTAATAGAGGATACTGTACAATAGAGATTAGTCCGGACACTGGAACCTGAACAGTCTAGGCACCGGGGTCTCCGTGGCTGGTACGTCATACCACTCTGCCGAAAAGTCCCCATTATTTTTATAACTATCGGCTTCCTTGTTCCACATAGCCGGCATGGACGCCCACACCAACCGAGCAAATGAAACCAAATCATCAGCAGTCAGTGAATACTCGACTGACCAATGCATGGGAGATGACCTGACCGTTTCATTGTGTATGTGCTGTGCTGCAAAGCTCACATGAGTTATCGCACACTCAGCTGCGTCCCAGTCATCCGCCGCCCAGGACAGTATACTTCCGTGACCAACGGTGCAAAGAGTGCGATACAGCTCCGGCAAAGACAGGATATAAGAACGCTCGCAAGATCCAGCGTCAGATACGCTTGCACTGCTACGAAGGTGGAAATACGAAGTAGAAGAAACAACACAGCTGCAGGTTCGCCATTGCAGATCAGATCTACGTCCTACTGCAGTTCTCCCGCGAAAATGCCGAAACTCGCCCCGTCCGACCCAGAGAGTGTGGTGGTTATACGGAAGGTATGCGATGACATTATTACATGCAGTTTGCCCTTTGCTCGTGTCGGGCTTTTCAAATTTGGGGGACGTGCAACGATAGGTTAGTTGATCGAGGTCGAACCGAATTAGATGCAATGCATAACCGTTGCCATATACTAACGTACTCCAACAGTTCGTCTACAAACCGGTGCTATCGCGGTGTTCTCCCCCGTCGCACTTACACCGTCTGTTAGCGAAGCAGTCACCAGCCTCAATGGAACAGTCAAGTATCTCATCGCACCAGACATGGAGCACCATCTGTTCCTGGCAGACTGGACAAAGGCGTACCCTGACGCCGTCATCATCGCACCGGAAGGTCTATGGGAGAAACGGCAAAAGAATCCAACAACCTCTGGTCCGAAGTTCGAATATATTTACACCGCCCAGAACAAGGAGACGCTTCACATCTCGGATGAGTTTGCAGCCGATTTCGACGTTGAGTACGTTCACGCCCACATCAACCGGGAGATCGTACTGCTGCACAAACCCACGGCGACGCTGATTCAAGCAGACCTCTTCTTCAATCCGCCCGGATACGAACAGTACCGCAAGGCACCCGAGGGACCATTAAGCGGGCTCGCCAACAAGCTGTATCTCTCGCTCATGTCGGCGAAGGGCAGCGCCATGGCACAGCGGAGGCTTATATGGTATCTGATGCCAGCCGGGGGTCGCGAGGCGTTCAAACAGTCAATTCAGAAGATCGATGGATGGGAATTTGATCGTGCGATTCCATGCCACGGGGATACCATCAACCAGGGCGCAAAGCACCTGTTCCGGACCCTGTTTGAGTGGTTCCTGGTGTAATCATCTTCTCTGCCATTTGTTTGTTGCATCTTCTTCCTCCTTTTTCAGTTTGTATTAATACTTCGCGCCTACATTATAGATGGATGTCGTTTTGTGCTTGTAATAAGAATAATAAATAATATCACCGTTGCAGCTCAAATATGCAGGGACCCTGTGACGTCATGGGGATGCCAGGGTACTGAGTTTATTATCCGCGTGAGCTGATCACAGGCAAAAAGAAAACATCCACAGCGCGCTCTGTGCAGAATCTGCTTGCAGGTAGGAAGATGGAACTTATACGGACCTTCCAGAGGGCCGGAGCACAGCCGTTATTCCTCTCTGCCATGCCGATCCTTGCACCGGATCCAAGGAAGGTCGGGTAAACAAACAGTTAATTGTCGAATACCGTTACTGTAGTGAAAGCCGCAGCGGAATTAGCAGAACCAGACTCTGGAGCATGAAAAATTTTGTTTGTCTTCCATTTTTCCGGCGTGTGTGCGAAGTGCAATAATATAAACGAGGATAGCTTATTTGGGTATTATTATTGGTTAGAGAGCTCTGTGATGACTTCTGCGAATTTGGTAGGATGTAGAAATGCGCATCAATGCCAGCTTCAATGCCTTGACCAAGCCACGAGCCAGCGACTACATCGTACACTCCCTAGTCTTAAAGAATGGAGATAATTCATGTGTATAATTCGTCGAGAAGAGTGGCTGACCGGTGCTTGCATCACTGCTGATATCAGTGAGGCGAATCTTTCCAGGCTTTCATTCCCAGAGCAAGGGGGGCTGAGCTGGTGGTCATTCAGAGATTTCAATGTGCAATTACGCATAAACGGAGGCCTTTCTCTTTCCCGTCGTGAGCTGAAAAGGACTCCGTAGAGCTGTGTTGGCAGGCATCAATAATAATAAATCAACAATGACGGTGTGGTACCTGCAGTCATGCACGGAGTATGTACATCCCTGGGCAGGATCCAGGATCAACATGGGGGTAAGTCGTAAGTAAGCTGTCGATCTGGCCACCGGGACAATCAGCATCGAGGGAAACAGGATCGCGGATAGCAATAATAGCTAATAGCAGGCAACTTTCTGGGCCCAGGAGGGTGCTCAGAATACCCACGGCCAGAGAGAGGACCTGACCCAAAAGCCGCCTCCACCGGCGTCAGGACGTATCCCGGCACAGACGCCCCCCGTAGCTAACCTAGCCGTCTGGAATATAATGTTAAATCTCCCATCCCAATCCCAATCTCTGGTTCATGATGAATAACCCGTGCCAGACGTTGGCAGTTCCCGGCATGTGTGTCATAGGTACCGCCAGGCAATAGTCTCTGGGTTCACGGCGCGAGGTACAAGCTTCCCCTAAGCTCTCTCAGCAGTTAGTACGGAGCACAGTAGTTATCAAGCAGCCGCAGGGAAAATGAAAGAGCCTGACTCTTTGCTGCCCTCGATACGGGGTATATCAGGCCTGATATTGCCCGCCCCTGCCCGTGCTAATAACTAATAATGCGTGCCATCGGCGAGTGGCGCTCCCTGGCCAGCGAGCACTGGTCCAACGCCCTCCACCGACCAAGCCACCCTGGACTCTCTCCACCGCGCAGCACCGCCAGCAAGCTCGTTCTGCAGCCAACACCGCGATCGCTAGCTCGCTAGCTCGCTGATCAGAGCAGCCAGTGGCCAATGGCAGCGGCATCCTGGCCGTGATTTGCGTCATCGGTGCAAGCTCTGCTGCTTGATTGCTTTTTCCTGGCCGCCCGTCGGGAGGCCTATAAAGTCGGCCTGGCATCCCGGGCACCAACGTCCCCCCAGCTGCCTGACTGACTGACCTTTTCGATCTCGATACCTCCAGACACCCGTCCATTGTTGAACCGGCAGTGCTCAAGAAAGAAAGAAAGAAAGCAAGAAAGAAAAAGGCCCGTCAAGATGCCCGTCTTCTCCCGTATCGTCTCGCCCATCTTCAGGATCGGAGAGATCCTCTTCGGCGCTGTAAGTGCTGTCTATCCCTGCCCTAGCTCGGGGCACTCACGTCTCGACCATATTGATCCTTCAGACGGGCTGACTCAATGCATTTGACAGGTCGTTGCAGGCATTATCGGCTCCTACCTGCGCTCCTTCAGCCGCAACAACAACGGCGATTTCCCCCAGAGCCGCTGGATCTACACCGAGGTCATTGCTGGCGTTTCCATCCTGCTAGGCCTGCTCTGGCTCTTCCCGAGCTCCTTTTCCTTCAAGACATGGCCCAGTACGTTTGGCCCCCCGTCTGCCCAGTCATATGTGGCTCTATCATCAATGTATAACGTACTAACGTATCACCAGTGGACGTTATTCTCTCGCTGGCCTGGTTTGCCTCGTTCGCCGTGCAGGTTAACTCTCTCGGTACTCGAAACTGCGGCACTGCCTTCCAGTGGACCGGTTTCACCAACGGTGACCCCTGTGGCCGATGGAGAGCCGCAGAGGCATTCAGCTTCCTCTCCGCCTGCTTCTGGATTGTCTCTGCCCTCATTGTATGCATTCTCTCCCGCTCTCTCTCTCTCTCTCTCTCTCTTTCTCACCGAGGAACTTCTCGTTGCTAACAGGCGTTACAGGGCGTCTGGTTCACTTTCCGCAAGCGCAATGAAGCCGTTGCTGGAGATGGCGTCAGGTCAGTATTCATCTATGTATGCCTGTCCATCATGAACAGATTGACTAACTTACATCTAGTGGCCGCAAGTGGTACCGTCGCCATGCTGTCTAAGCGTCTTCAAGGCAGCAACCCTCCCTTTCCACGGAGCTGTTCAATGCCATCTGCAATGAAGATATACGGCTGTCACGCTACCTTATGTCATGTTATGATCATGACCCACTGACGGTTCTCTTACGTCCCTAATATCTAATCATCTCCTCGATACCCTCACGTTCCTCCGGTTTGGTTTTATAGCCCTGATATACCCGAGTGATGATTTATTGCGAGCCCATGATACTTTCCTTACTACTCTTTTAACACCTAGCTTAATGAAGATAATGCTGCAATGAAAGATAATCATCCTTCTTTTTAAGAATAATTCGTTTTACACTTTTTACTGCCACTTTAAGTACTCTCATACATAGCCCTTGCACTTCACTTGTTTCAGACGCTGTCTCCCGCCATCACCAATGATCAGGGCAGTAAGTTTCCCTCCACGGACGCATGAAGTGTCTAGTCCTTTTGTATACAACCGTATCACCGGAAGCTGTTTCGCATCGTGGCCATATATCACCGTAGTAGGCCGTTCATTCTTCTCCTTCACCATCCGATGCTGGTACTCGTCAAACACCTAACGGACCCCTATTAGAATCTGAACCTGGCATACGTCTCATACAGGTAACTCACCTTGGACCAGCCTGTACCCTCTTTCAACGAGCTGGGTGTATGGCTATCCACATCAAGAGTCCTCATGGTCATTACAGACGACGGATCCTGACGTTCAAGCGGCACGCCCGGTACCAACCCTCCATGAACAACGACCACATCCCCCATGCCCCTGATATATCCCACCTTGAGGATCACAGGACATGATTCAAGCCAAGTTGCATCATCGTCTGAGAGTTGCCGCGCAAGGACATGGGCCTTTGTCTCTCGTTTGGCACTAGATCCAGTACTCCGTGATGAACCTGAGATTTCACGCCGGGTTAACAGGACCTTATCTTCATGGTTCCCTCGAACGCAGGAAGCGCTGTACTTCCGTGCAAGACGCACTACTTCAACGCTCTCGGGGCCCTTGGATATCAAGTCTCCGGTGAAAATCAAGTGGTCTCCTTTCTCACGGTTAAACGATACCCGTGCAAGCAGTTTCTCTACTACGAAGCATCAGCTCTGAACACCCAAAATGAACCGGACCGCATAATATAATATAATACTTACACTCATCCTTGCATCCATGAACATCGCCAACAATTATAAGCCTTCGTTTTGAACGGCGGAACCACGCCTTCTTCTCGCCCGGTAACAGCCGTGCATCCAAGGTCTGTATGTGAGCCATATCACTAAAACCTGGCAGTGCGTTCGACCCGAACCATCCACCGATGCGGTCTCTGTTGCCTTCATCCAAGGCCCTGTCTAGCTCCTTGTCTTTTACTGTTTCCACAGTGGAGTATCCTAGGCTCCTCCAGGCTGCGAAGGACAGACATATGAGGACGAGCAGGACGAGCAGGTATCGCCTATGACGTAGTGACGTGAAGCTTATGGTGTTGGCGACGGCGCTGCAGCGTCTGCCTGTGCGTATAGAGGGCATTTATGCATCTATCCTGCAATTATCGAGGCGTATACGACGGCTTCTAGCTGGATATTTGTCTGGGAACAGAAGATGGAGGTGCAGTAAGCTCTATACTTGCCGGTCATGGAACCTTGGTTGATGCAAACTCTGTCTGCTTCATGCCTTCCGGTTGATTTGCGCAGTGATCTAGTGAATGGCAATGGTTTGAACAAGGATGGATATATTTGGTAGATGATATGGTCTCGTTGATCATTCTAAGGGCCAAAATACGCCATGTACAAATAGAGCTCCATGTCAAAAATAATAATAAGATAATCACCTATATCGCTGGAAAAACCGCTCCTCCTCCATACGCTCTCTAACTTTTTGTATAATCGTATCATCGTAGACCTCTGAGTGTTTCTTGCCTCCCTTGAGAACTTCCGTCTCATGGTGCAGCGCCTCCTCCTTGGTCATGCACACTAGCTCGCTGAGCTGTAATCGTACCCCTTTTTGGCCCTGCTTCAGCAACTCCGGGTCAGCCCCGAAACCATGAACAGGTCGTTCCCATCGTATCAGCACAAGCCGAGTTGTAAGACCGCTGACCACGCTCTTGCTTCTCCATACCTCTTCAATAAGGTATCCAACATCCTCCTTGCTGATCGGTATTCTCAATCCAACCGGATCTTGCCCTTCGATAGTCTTTGCAAGACGAGCTTCCGTTCCCTGCAGAGCCCCCAAGATGCTGTCGTAGAATTTATCTCTGCTTTTACCAGCCGGGTTGTATTCGTTGGGGTACCCGGATACCTCGCATATGACGTGGTTTGCAATAGTATAGCCAAAGACAGCGGGCATGGTGCCTAGAACTGGAAGTATACGGACTCTAAAATCCGGCAGCACACCCAGGTCAGAGACATCGCCCTTGCTGATCTCCTCTTCGGCTAGGGGTAGGAGCTCGGCTTTTCCTGGGCCTGGCTTCTCAAGTGAGAAAACGACGGGTATGCCGCTTGAAACACCGAGCATCTTCAGACGGCGTCTTGTGCTCCTTGATAGAGGGTCTTCTAGACTGAGTGAGATGTCCCCTATAGCAACCCGGGTAGGATCCGATTTACAGCCTGCACCCATAGATGAAATCACCTTGATACCACGCGAGTGGCAGTAGTGAAGCAGCGAGACCTTGGATGATATATTGTCAATGCAGTCAAGGACATAATCCGGTTTGCGGGTAACCGTATCATTCGCCATAGACCACGGGTTGAGCAGTTGGTCCGCAGCTGCCTCGCTATATAGCTGATTTCGGCAATCAAATCGCACCCAGGGGGTAACTTGCTGCAATCTTTTCTCGATACAGTGGACTTTCGGTGTTCCTACGTCGGCCAATGTTGCAAGTGCATGTCGATTTAGTGATGAGAGCGTAACTTGGTCGAAGTCTATGAGCCGAATTCTTCCTACTCCCGATCGAGCAAGGGCCGCAGCCGCATGAGAGCCTACTCCTCCACAGCCAACAACTATTATAAAGGAAGATCGGAGCTTTTCTAGGCCTTCGTCGTTGAGAAATACACGGTTTCGAGCAAGCTGTTCGAGGATGAGATCTAAACAGCCACACAGTTAGCTCAATCATAGACATGCAGAAACAAAATACATAAACATACCATCATCGTAGTCTCCCTGCTGAGCTCTCTTAGCCAGCAAAGCACTTCTTCGATCCTCCTCGCTTATCGGTGGTGTCACTACACCGTACTCTGTAAGCTTCACGATTTGTTAGCTTGCTGCCGAAATAAAAATTGGGTATGTATATAGCTATCTCAAATCGCCAAATAACCGCATCAATCAACAGCCCAGTCACCCAAAGAATTACCAACCTTCTCAACAGAACTCTCATCCCAGGCCGGTATCGAAGCCTTGAGCTCCTCGACAGCTGCCTGGCGCTTCACGCTCTGGTAACCAAGAATTGCACCGGCTACCGCAACTCCAGACAGCACCGCCGCACCCGCCAGCTGCACGCCATGCGAGTTTGCCTGACGTTGTATCCAGCTAGTCATAGTTTCCGACCTTCTTCCGCCCTGCCTGGCTGCCCTCGGTGGTTCACTGTCTTCTGCGTGTGTGTAGCGACGGTCAATCTTCCTCTTATCGTCGTTATCTGCCCATGGATTGTCGTCGTAATATTCGTAATCCTGTGACCGGTTGTAATTATGATATCGTGGGTAGTCCATCGCTTCAACCTGGGCGATTTATATCCATCACCGACATGGCAGACTCGTCGTGATACGTGTAGGCGTTATATAGGCGATGCGAGATGAGTGATGATGCTGTCCTTCAGCCGCCTCGCTGTCGCTGCGCTTCGCTGGCCGTCGATGTCATCGTACATGAAGTTAGGCACGTGACTGTATTTTTCCCCTTGCTATAAAAAGGGGAGCTTCGCTTTCTTTTTCTCTTTCTTCATATCAAGTCTCGATGATGATAAAATCTCACAGAGCTACACCGAGTCTCCCCTGGGACATCTGATAGCTGAGTTAACCTTCGCATGACCTCTTCTGAGGCCTGGGAGGGATTAAACCGCGTTAGATGCTACCCTTGAAGGACACGCATGTGGACATTTGAACAGAGATCTTAGAGACTCTCTTACAGCCATTTCAGCTGCTATCGTGATGTTTTATTATATTTAATCTGCAGGTCCATGCATCCCCTGTTGCTTGTTATTTACGGGTCCCTCCTCACAGGAAGATATAAAACGAGCATGATCAAATGATCAACCTGTCAAATGTGTCAGGGTTGTAAGGTACGTTTGTTTGTATTGACCACCTTTCTCTTGCATTTGCGAGTCCAACTACATGAGGAATTTTCATTTCCGTCTAAGGTAAGGGATAATGAATCCCTTTTGCTCCGCATGTTTTGTTCGTTAGGTTGCAAAACGGCGTCCGAGCAATTACCAATGCCGTGAAAGAGTAGTTTTCAATCTGATATACCCAGTTACCTTCTTCTATGCATTGCCTACTCTTCTCCTAGTGTGGCCTCAGCTAACTGTGATATAGCTATCTACTTACCAAAGACGTCAATATGTAAATAATATGCTACTCATGAGCACAGGGGTTACCTACTCGATTTTCTTAGACAGTGTATAAACATTGCACAATAGAAATAAAAACGCGGCAGTGGAAGAGGGAGGGTAAAGATGATTAGCCGTCCGGTGATGATTCAACGTGTCTAAAGCCAAAGTTGCATGATATCCTACAGGCACCCTGATCGAAGGATGACCCTTCTGATCAGGCTGTATTTAAATACAGTTGTATGGAAATCAATGAGAACAGCAAGAGAGCTAATCTGAGGACACTCAAGGCTTTTCATTTCTATCCTCCCGGATGGAATTTGCTTCAGGAGGGTGGTATCTAGTTAATTGAGCGGATTGGTTATATGCAAAAAGATGGCCTATAGTGATATTCTAAATTACAGTGCTTGAAATTGAATGAAGACGCCTTAACTCCAAAGTGCTGCATATACGGTATACCCAAAATCGTGGACTTCATGCAAGAAACGCCTTCACAGGGCCTCCAATATTCTTCAAATCCAAAAGGAAAGTGTCGTGTCCGAAGTGAGATACGTCTTCACTTAACTCGACATGCTTGACAGCTTTACTACCAGCAGCCTGGAGTGACTCCGCGATTTCTCGCTGCTGCCAAGCAGGGAAAAGAATGTCACTCGCTACACCCATGACAAGTATAGGGTGATTCTTTAGTGAAGAGAGCCCGTTAACTAGATCCATGGGAGGACCCGAAGAGACGGATTCTGATTGCGCGGCTGAAGATGAGCTACCCGAACCCTGCGCACTATCACCTGTCGCTGGCTGTTCCTCGTACGGCTTTGAGGGTAGAGTTAGGCTACAGGACGCATTGTCCTGAGCAGACATCTTCCCGCGTGAGGAAATCTTCTTCTCATTCTCCAGTCGACGTTGAAGCGTAGCTTGTTGTTGTGATATCCCTAGGTCGAAAAGGTCCATGGCCTTGGAAATATATAGAAGACTGTTAGAATCGTACTCAAGCGAAAATTTCTCGCCCGCATGGTCGAGGTATGTCTCAATTAAGAAATCAGGACACAACGCCGGGTTCTTGCTTGAATCTGCTCGCTTTCTGCCAAATCGTTTCTCCCACTCTGGTCCACTACGGTAGGTGACTGTAGCAATCTCTCGAGCCAGCTTCATACCCGAATGGGGAGGTATTGAATCATAGTAAAATCCCCTCGCCCAGTTGGGATCCATCATGAGGACCTGACGTTGAGTGTGACGCATGGCAATGCTATAAGGATGGCTCCTTGCACATCCGCTGATGCTGACTATCTTGTTCACTCGCTCGGGAAATAGTATCCCTGCGGCCAAGCTCTGCATTCCACCCATACTAGCACCAACAGAGGCATAGAGCTTCGAAATCCCCAGATGGTCTAACAACCGAAACTGTGCTCGAACCATGTCGTTCAGAGTCAGGATAGGGAACCTGGTAGCGTACCGTTTGCCGTCCGATGGGTCAATTGATGACGGACCTGTGCTTCCATAACAGCCCCCGATCACATTCGTGCAAATGATAAAATGTTTGTCCGTATCCAAGGGAGCTCCGGGCCCGATGAATTTCTCCCACCACCCAGGCTGCGGGTTTGTCTTTGTGCTATGCGCATGACTTGAAGCTGACAAGCCGGTGTGGAGGAGTATAGCATTGCTCTTGTCCGTATTCAATGTTCCCCATGTTTCATAGGCAATGTCAAACTCAGGCAGCATTCCGCCCCAATCCAATAGGATATCTTCCTTGGAAGTAAAAAGCTCATGCTTTCCAACTGTATAGGAGGGCTCTGGCCCAGAAGCTAACGATCTCCTTGACAGAGCAGCAGATTTGGCCTCTAGGGCATCTAGACATGGGAAGGACATGGCAGGGTTAGACGAATCATGTTGGTTTCCGCCCTGAGGCTTCGACTGGGAGGCAGAAGCCTGAGCACTGAGAGGCTGCCTGGTGTGATGGATTGCCCGCTGGTGGATCAACGGCACGGCAATGCTGCGGCGGCATGCGACTGTGGAAGCAGTATCCCGGCAGCTGTGAGCAAGGCATCTTCCAGAAAATGCCTGCACTGCACTTCTGGCCGCTTGCTGAATGGTACCCATCTTCTCTAACATCATCTTCAATCTGGTTGCAGCACAAAGCGAGGAGTTTCAATGTCCATCTTCGCTTGTCTCTCTTGTCCGTCCTTCTTTGCTCCATCGTCGAACTAGCTGGCTCCGAGGGCGCTTACAAATCTTGGACCTCGGCTCTTGCGTCATCTTGGCGCTTATCTATTGGTGAAACTTTGATAAATCTCTGGGCCAATGAAGAAGGATCTAAGGGATAGTTTGGTATTTTGAAGTAATATTATTCGTTCACGCCATTTTATTTAGCCAATAATAAATGAAATCAACTCTGTGGCAATCATAGAGACTGGAACTAATTGGTTCTGAAAATGAGCATATATTTTTTTAAATACATTTTCTAACCAATAGAAATAGCGTATTGTAGTCAAAAATAATAATTTGGCCAATAGTACTTTACTCATTTTCAGCGAATTGTGAGCATGGGATTCATGGCTAATACAGCCATTTCGTAACTGCGGGCTTTATACGAGCATGTCGAATTTCTACGACAACGACAACTAACTGGAGTCAGCAATTGAAAGTGAGATGTACTGACCAGAAGGTGTCCCACGATATTTGCTATCTGTTAATAGCTATACCTGCGACGGTATCTCACTCCAACCTGTCACTATGGACACCCTGGACCATTGGCCCAGCTGAGATTTGGTGAATATCCTAGTTGATCTGATGAACATGACCATGCCTCTGGGAATACCTCCCCATTTATATCAGGTGCATCTCAGCATACCCATCTGTTTACATAAACCACTCTATAGTCATGGTTGTGAGAAGATTGACGGTAAGGGGAAGCCTGTGCGGACAAAAGGGCAGATCATACAGTGATATAAGCATCCAGATGCCCACCATGGATAACCTCATAGCTCAAACTGCCCCATGGATATCCGTTTCAGTTACCCCATGGGCATCGATGTCACTGCTGTTGATGCTGCCGGGGAGTTGATTTTTGATCGGCCATCAAGCAAAAGCTTCCTGGCCTCTCGATCGAGATGGTGGGCCACAGAAGCCGCTGTTTACAGATCTTATCGACAACGATGCACATACCGGATTATTACTAAGAATAACGGAGCTATGCATGATTGCACGGTACTCAATTATGCAGCCTGGCAAACCCCAATGTTTCCCAGTCTTCCGCTGCATATTCCTGCACCGGTATTATGATCTGGACGGAGTATGTTGGGCATTCGATATCGTCATTGTAGCATGTTCGGGCAAAAATAGTTGCCAGTGGTTTATATAGGGGACCGGGGTTGATGTAGTGAGGGAAATGTGCTAATAACCAGGTTTCCCTGATGATAACTGACTGCACCGAAGCTATAATGATCCGACTACTCCGGATGTGGCTTCAGAAAAAATGCGTGCATCTTGCTGAAGCAAGCCCCGCAGAAACATCCAGGAGATGACCGCAGTCAGAGCGGGGAAAGCTCAAAAATAATATTATTATCATCTTTGAGCTCCCGTCACGGATAATCCGTTATGTGTCCCAACGTTTCTGACTCTCATGGCAATCGACGGATGTGACGTGAGCTAACGACAGCAAGTGGAAGATACACAGTATGACATCCCCTCATTCACCCTTCCTCGTACCGGGCGGGATTTCAATTTTCTCTTCAGTCGAACTAAGTATTCTTCCACCAGAAAATAGCGTAAGTATATTGTATGTACTGGAATTCAGCGGTGATAGCCCAGGATCGGTCCTTTGACCCGAGTGAAGCCAGGAACGCAAGGCGTAATGGATAGCCGTACTAAACTATATTCGTATTTTGCTCGTCGATCGTCCAGATTTAGTTATTTCGGGAATGAACCCTTGTAACTGCCCTGTTGACGCGACCATTATTTGCCAGGGCCTTTCTTGGGACTTACGTTGGCACTGCTGTCGATCGAAGGGCGGCGTCTGTAACCATGAGATACGAGAAGAAGTTGTATGGAAACTTCTCTCCTTCAAAGCGGAGAAACTTTGCAGCCAAGAAGACATCCCTATCTCTGAGGCAAAGGAGTCCGCCTTCCGTCGCCTCTGTTGGGTACAATATACTTACGTCTACGGAGTACTAAGTACTCCGTACGTTGGCACCGTTGCAGCTGTGCTACTTCTGCCCATGTCCGTGGGCAGGTTACAGGGAGGACAAGTAGTAGCAGATCGACTGGAGGAGGACCTCATGAGAAGCAATCATGGGTGCAGTACAGAGTACACCCCCCAGATCATGTTGGTTAAGCAAGTAACTAGATGACCAGCCAAACAGGTCAGAGGACGTCACTCCGGCAGGAAAAAGCAATGAGCAACACCAAGGCCGAACGGTCGGTCGTGCACAGCCTTGAAACTTGACCATCTCGTTTAGTGAAGGGACGGGGCTGGCAACTGGCAACATCTCCAACGCATGCGAAACAGCCTATGTTCCGAGGTAACTGTACACCTCACATCATATTCGTCTTAATAATAGGCTGGCTTCGTGGGCGGGACATGTATACAGTGCATTATTGAGACAGCTATATGCGCCTGTCATTATTATTGGCCTATCTTCGTTATCTCACAAGGGGTCACAAAGAATACACCGTGAAAGCGGCGGATGAGACGAAGCTTGTCATTCACCATTGACTTGATCTGGGAATGATTATCCCATTATCCATACGAGTGCATGTTGAGCCTTTCTGTGCCGTCTCCTCGTGAAGAAGCCTGTCGTTGCTGTGAAAATCCTCTGCAAGAATGCCCTCCGCAAGATCAAGGATTGATCCCCCAAGCCTTGACTCAGAGCCTGCAGAGACAAGGACGTCCCTCCTGCGGAATAGGGTGAACCAAATAAATTCTCCTTTGCCTCCACAAGCGTCCCCACCCCTGACAAGCCGGCTTAATAGGGGCGTTAATATTTCCCTTCGAGAACTTTAGCCAGGGCCACGCGCAGGGATGCCAGCCGCGAGGACAACCTTCGACCTCAGGTCAAAAGAAAAAAGCATCATCGTCGTCGTCTCTTCTTTGCGTCGTCATCTTTTGAGAAGAGCTGATCCGCGTTTCAGAACACCCCATACGGTCAGCATCCACTGCCAAAGGCGGGGGGGATACGGGCCTGGGGGGCCTCATTGGATGTTCTCATGTGTTTCTTCTAGGAACGCCCATCCCAGTTGATGCACCAGGCAGAAAAGCTTGTGCAACTTTGAGCAGAAGATTGGATCGAATCTTTGCCAGAGTCGCGGATGACATGAATAATAATTTTAGCCACGGAGCCATACGGAGCCAGGTGCGAGCCCGCAGTCCAGAACCACATATTATGGAGCCGGCAAGATAGGCGTAACGGGAACTCTGTGCCTGCCCGTGATTAACAGTGGAGGACATGCGACATGAGAGGCCCGTCCGATGGTCAATCCGGTGTTTTCTTCCGCCTGGGATGGCGAGTCTGTTGAACCTGGAGGGACTAGGGGTGCGCAACGAAGCTGGGCCGCCCGAGGATAGAGACGGCGGCAGTGGCCTTCTTACGCTGCTTCACAGCAATAGCCCGGGGCACATATACTCTGCGGGCTGCTGCTCTGGTTCAGGTTCAGAAGGTTGGTCTTGTCTCTCGCGTGTGGCGTGGTTGCTCTCCATCTTTGACCCCATAGCAGGAGATGAAGTTGACGTCGCCGGCCTTGCTGTAGGTAAGTAAGCAAGCTTGCTTTGTCAAGCGTGACCCGGAGATCTCCCTTTCTTCCACCACCAAAACACACGCCTGATCCTCCTCCTCCCTCTGCTCCCTCTCATCCTCAGCCACGGCCTGCATACATCAAGCCCAACCCTCCAGCCTTTTCCCTTCCATTCCTTCCTTTCTTTCATTCTGTCATTCCTTTGCGTCTTCTCTTTCTTTTGTTTGCCTTCTTCTTCTTCTTCTTCTTTTTAGCTGTTGTAATTGTGCAGGTCTCTTTTCTAATACCGTATATAGAGTGCAGAGGGGCCCTTTTTTTCACCAACACTATAAACCAGCTCCGGGACAGCTTTCAAACCAACAACATCCAGCTCCTTTGGGCGTCAATGCAGGTTCTCGGCTCAATATAGCCCGGAGCAAACATGATTTCCTTTCGAAAATGCGTGGTCATTGCCTTCTTCATCCTTTCTGGCATCTTCCTGCTGCATACAGCCCACATCCAGCCCGCGCTGGCTAAGGCTGAACAGGGGACTCATCGCCAGCGATCAGAGCCACAGAACGCTCGACTCACTACTAAGCTGGGGTCCAAGGCCGATTCTCCATCTGAACAGGAACCTGAACAGGTGTCCGAGCCCGAGCCAGAGAAAGAGCCGGAGCCGGAGCCAACTACACTCCGCGGCCGTCTTAAATACCATTTCCCCTATGGCGTAAAGGCCAAGTTCCCTGGATACATCTGGCAGACATGGAAGTATACTCCTGCAGACGGGGAGTTCGACCCTATGCTACGGCCGTTAGAAGCGAGCTGGACCGAACTGCACCCTGGATTCGTACACCAGGTCGTGGACGATGAGAGTGCGATCTACTTCTTGAAATACCTCTACAGTTCCTTCCCGGAGATTATCGAAGCATACGAGTCAATGCCCTTGCCGGTTCTCAAGGCTGACTTCTTCCGATACTTGATCCTTCATGCTCGAGGAGGAATATATTCTGATATCGACACCACCGCCCTTCGATCAGCAACAGATTGGATACCACCAACGTTTGACCGGTCAACTTTCGGATTGGTCGTGGGCATTGAGGCGGACCCAGACCGTGCTGATTGGGCGAAGTGGTACTCTCGCAGGATTCAGTTCTGTCAGTGGACTATCCAGTCGAAGCCAGGCCATCCTGTTCTGCGGGACGTCATTGCTAGCATCACCGAGGATGCCCTGCGCATGAAGGAGGAAGGAATTCTCACGAAGAAGGGTATGGACAAATCAATTGTGGAATTCACCGGCCCTGCGGTCTGGACGGACGCTATCTTCAGACATTTCAACGATCCCCTCGCCTTCCCCAGCGAAGATGGCAAGCATCGAAACATCTCTGCGCACCATTTCACTGGCATGACGAAGCAGAAGCAAGTAGGCGATGTTGTCGTTCTACCAATCACGAGCTTTAGCCCCGGTGTCCAGCAGATGGGTTCTGAAGAAGCAGACAGCGACATGGCTTTTGTCCAGCATGAGTTCTCAGGTATGCCCACATACGTACATTAAAAATCTCACCACTACCCGACGGCCGGACTTATCTAACTGTTACCCATAATGTAGGAACCTGGAAGTCCGCTGAAGACAGAAGAATCGGACACTGGTAATTTTTATTTTACTACCCGACAATATCTTCTCTTTTTTTCGTCTCTAATACCGCCGTTGAACGACCGCTTTACGACCTTCTCTTACAGCCAAAATCCCTTTAAAGAGGGGGACCTTTATTTCTAAGATTAGTGATTCCCGCTGAGGTCGCCAGACCCCATCAGCCCGTTTCTTTTTCGACTCACTCTCGTTACTTGCATTTGATACCATTTCCTTCGTTCTACTCTCAGTCCTCGCACGCTATATTCCCACTCTCGGCGACAACGAGAAGCGGCACACCCATCTTACAACCAGAGCAGGCACTCTTGTTTATTTTCCCTAGTTGACCTGCATTTCTCATTTCTCTTCTTTGTCAATATTTATCTACTTTTTTTTTTTTTACCGGCACTCGGGCGGCATTACCACAGTACATAGATTTTCCAACCCGTTTAGACTCCGCCTACACTATCTAGTTTACTAGGCGTTAAGAGAGAACAAAATGCGAGGCATATTATTCTGTTAACTCCAATATCCAAGCACTCAGTCAAGATATATATGATATATATATGTAGTATTTTTAAGTAAATAAATGGTAGGATAAATATGTAACTGCGAATGGTAGATAAGTAAATATATAGGCGGTAAGGCAGTTGTGAACCGTCACCCGGAGGAAAGATAGCCGTAACGTTTTCGTGGCAGCCCTAAGAGTCACCGTCGTATATAAAGTTGAAGAAAAGAGAGGTAGTGTCCAACGGAGGTAGTGCCAGGAGGTTGTAGTAGTAGTAGATGATTTATCAATGTCGAATGTTGATGCCATATTGAAGTCGCATTGCGCGTGGCATAGTGTGCGCTTAGTGCAATTAGTTTAGTTAACTAGGTGTGAGCGAGCCCAAAGAAAAACTCACACAAAGACGCCCAACCGTCAAGGTTACCCCCCAAAAACCCCCAAAAAATTATGTATTCCCGTCCAAGGGCTCGCTTAAAAGTCCTGGAATATCTCTTCATACCGTGCCTTCATCTCATCGGTGTACACCGCCTGTGTGGCTGGGTCCGGAGGGTCCGGATACTCTTCGAAATTCGCCGTATCTGCAGGATGGCTCACCTGCGGCACAATCGGTCCCTTAACCCGCTTGTGGTATAAGTCATCCCAATCGATGCCTTCAAAGAATGGATGGTCCCTAATCCGCTGGCTGCCTCCGGATATATGGCCCAGTCGTTCGGACGGATTGACCTTGCAAAGAGCACTAATTATATCCTTAGCTGAGGCAGGCATGTTCGCGGGAAAACGGATGCATCCTGCGACTATCTTTTCGTATATCCCCATTGGGTTTGAGTCCCAGAAGGGCGGTTGACCGACTATAAACTCGTAGATGAGGATTCCCAGGGCCCACCAATCAACTGCAAGGCCATGGCCGCTGTTATGTATGACTTCAGGAGCGAGGTATTCCGGTGTGCCGCAGAGGGTGTAGGTCTCGAGGTTATATAGTTGCTTTGCGAAGCCAAAGTCGACTAGTTTGAGATGGCCTTCCTGGTCGAGGAGGATGTTTTCGGGCTTGAGGTCGCGGTAGGCTATTCCATGCATGTCATGCAGGTACCCGATCACTAATGTTATTTCAGCGGCGTAGAATTTAGAAGTGTATTCGTCGAATCTGCGAGCTCGCCGGAGGAAGCTGAATATTTCGCCGCCGGGGCAGTATTCAAGCTAGACATGGTTAGCCGGGGAGTCCGTAGAACATAGGCTAAAAAGGGAAAGGTACGAGGTATGATAGGTCCATACCAGCATATAGAGGCATTGTTCGTCCGAAAAGGTGGTGATTAGTGTCGTTATAAAAGGATGACCGGCAGCCTTGGAGAGGCACTTGCTTTCGTTTCGTACATGTTCGACTTGTTTCAGCTTTATTACTGTAGGTGAGAAAGAAATCCTCCGTTAGACAATGGCTCACCGCTTTTTGAGTAGTTGGGGAAATCGGGTAGCTTACCTTCGGCTTTCCTGAGTATCTTCAGAGCAAAGATGTTCTTGTTGGGTTCTTTGGCAGCCTTTAACCTGGCAAACCATACCCGAGCAAAGGTGCCTGTTACATGTTAGTAGCGTCCGGCATAAAACCAAGGTAGGCTGGCACGCACCTGTCCCAAGGGTCTTGATGAGGTCAAAGTCGTCAATTGTAAGTCCGTTATCGGGCAAACCGGCATCCTGCTTCAGCCGGGCTTGAACAACGTCCTTAGGTGTCCTAGGCCTCGATGCCGGCCATGAGAGACGGTCCGGCTTGACCTCAGCCTCTATATGGTCATGCTCCAGTACCTGCTGCTGCTGCTGCTGCTGTTCCTTCGCATGTGCAATGTCAGGCAACAGCTGTTTTATCATCTTTGTTGTTGCCATCACAAAGAGATGCGTTTCCTTTCCCCCGCCTTCAGTTGTAGTTGTAGTGTATTTCGTATATATCCAAGCAGACAATAACTCTGTGGTTTGGTATTTCCCTAGCAATTTCCTTCTCTTATCTGTCTGCTCTCCTTTTATTCACGTCGCCATGCCGACACGATGGACGCCTAAGAAGGAGACCAAGCCCAGCGAAACCGGTTCGGAGATTTCGGCGTAGAGCGATACTTGGGTGACGTAGTTAGTTGCAGCTTGTTCAGCGGGCATTGAGGGCGCAAACGAGGTAAGCCGACGGGCGCGACAATCGCCATTGATGTCCGGAAGCGTCCGCAAGCCGAAGGAGAAGCACACGAGACATCGCCGTCCTGGGGGCTTTTTCTGTTTCGTTTCGTCTTCAGGCAAGCTAAAACGAAGCGGAAAAGCTCTGGCGGCGGAACTTGCGACTTTCTCTGACGTAATAGGAGATTAGTCATGGCTTAGTCAGGCATAATCGACAGGGAAGAGCAGGGCGGGAGAGAGGAGGAAGAAAGGAGGACGGCAGAGGGAGGCGGAAGAGGAAGCGGGAAGTGGAAGCGGACAAGAGACGATGATATTAGTTATTGGTAGAGTACATGCAGAGCGCAGGAAGCAGGTCTAGAGCAAGAGAGAATGGTAAGAACATCCCGAAACAACCCAATGCCCGGCTAGGTAGGCAGGTTGGGGCGCGATGCTGGAGTATATACAGCAAGGGGACACGTCGGAGAGCATGCTGTCTGCTGGAGATAGCAGGATATAGCAGATGGCAGGTGGTAAGTGGTAAGTGGCAGATGAGATGGTAAATAAACGGAGAAAGCAGAAGAGTCCATCAAACGACAGCAAAGTTCACAAGAAATGAAGCACGTCTATGCAGAGCTCTTCGAGTTTAGAATCAGACCAACAATCAAACTAGCCAGAGAGTCAGCACGCAGGACAGTGACAAAGGTGGTTAATGGCAGACATACCCATATAGACCCAGGACTTCACCAAAAATTAATATCAAGACCATTCCTACAAACACCTTGGACTGTTGCATATACGCGCGTGTTCCCTATGTGTTCCTTTTTAGTAAAGGATCAAGCAGAGCTATAGTGGCACAACTTACAGCTTCGCCGACGATTCCAATAGTGTAACCGGCAGCCAGGCCTGCAAGGCCAACTGAGAGACCAGCCGCAAGATGTAAGCATCCCCTACCACCTAGTCAGTAGCCGTCCAGTCGTTTCTGTCCCAAGGTATTATAAACTCCACATACGCGTATAAACTATACTGCGTCTCTGGTGGTGGCCCCAGATCTCCTGCAATCAGAACGGCAACGACAAGTCCGTACACGGCGATGATACCGGCCATGACAACGGGTATCAGTGACTATAGGGTGAAGCCAGGTTAACAAAGTGTCCCTTCACACAAGCCAAAGGGGTAAGATGTGGTAGCATGCCTTCATAATCAAATCAGGTCTGAATGTTCCGACACCCGCAATACCAATTCCGGCCTTTGCTGTGCCATATGCCGCTCCTACACCTGGAAAGGGTAACATTGTCAGTATGAGGAGATTCTGATATTCCCATTGTCCGCAGGAAGGTCAAACGTACATCCAAAGATTATCTAGTAACGCATCTATCAGCAACGCCCTTTGATAAGATTTTATCGTAGATAAATACTTACAGCAGAAGCTATACCGGCCTGGTTCGAATATGATAAGAGGATAGTAGTCAGTCCATGACTTCAAGCCCGGCCATCCAACAGCAACAGGGAACTAGAACTAACCATCCCGATAAAGGGGGCAAACTTGGGAGCAAGCTCGCTCTCTGCCATTGTGTCTGCAGCTCCTGGCTGTATCTTGTTCGCGATCGAAGGCGGTCCTCTCACCCACCGTCTGGGACGATGAGTTCCCGTAGGCAGCTGTAGTAGCTCTTGTTTATCGTCAGCGAGTATGCTTCGTGTTCGTCCTCGTCCTCGTCGTCTGCTCTGCTCTGATCTCTCGCCGGACAGGGTGCCTTTCTATCTCGTAGTGAAGTGTCCGCTGGCTCGTCTTCTCCAGTCTCTTTCCTAGCTTTCTCAAGTCTTGTTTATCTCTCCTCGTCGTCTTTTGGATGTTCGAAAGATTGAGATTCAAGGCCCAATCAGGATCCCGGTCACGTGAATACATTAAATACAGCCGCCGTACAGCCGCAAGGGACGCAGCACACGCTCTGCATTCACTGTGTCTTCACTTGGATTTTTTTCCCTCCTCGGCTGCTGGAGCATCTTCCCTGCCGCTGCTACTCTCTCGCCTCCTGGCGGCTGGACAATTATCCAATTATCTGCCGTAAAACCCGCTGCGTCGGCACATCGAGGGCGTCCTGTACTATAAGTTACCGCAAATACCGAGCTAAACCCCTTTCGGCTGCCTGCTTCGTGAGGTCAAGGTCGAACATCCAAAAAGACGAAGAAGAAACATCTTCAACTCGCGGCTCAACGACATCTTCGTCTGCCTCCTTCGTGCACGCTGCTCGACCATCAGAGCTACTCCGTCGACGTCTTCACCTCCGCTCACAGCTTGCTGCTGGCCCGGCATTGTCCTCCTGCACCGGGACCCCGAGTTTTCCTCTGCCTGGAGGGCATTGAGGGGATCCCTATCTAACTCCCCCAGCAAAAGACACGCAGCTTTTGCTCCCCTGCCGAAGCCATCGCCCTGCTGGCCTCAGTAAAGAGCGCTTGTCTTACTCCTCTTTGCTGGATAGGGCTCGCGTGGACGTTCTCCTTTTGCGTCGTCTTGTCGCTCGGTCACCATTTGACTTGCGTGGTTGAGCTACTCGGAGAATGAAGGGGAGCTGACCACCACATACTCGCAGTCACTCTTCTTCCCCTTCTTTCTTTCTTTCTTTCTTTTTTTTTTTGGCCTCCAATTTGGATGTTACTACGAAGCGAATAAGTTGCCAGGCCTTCCTACCGACAGACTCGGCAGTACTCGAATCACACCCAATACGTCAAACCCGAACCCCAGCTTTTATATCCGAGGGCTATTTCATACTTACATAAGAGGCGTGTGTGCGTGTGAGCCTGTGTGAGAGAGAGGCATATTTATCATGGCAGATCTGGGCGCCCAGCAAGGACGAGGTTACCGGCCTGGAGCCTCTCGTGGCCCTGCTTCTTCTTCCTTCCAGCGAGATGCTGCATTCTCAGAAATTTTCGGAGGAACGCCGCCCCCAGGCAGGTCTCAGACGATGACATCGCACTCTCCGCAATTTAACCAGGAACGCGCCCATACAATGACCTCTCACCAGTCAGACCCGTACGCCCAATCTCGGGGGCCGCCTCCTCCTATGCGACAGTCTCGTGGCGGATACCCGCCGAATCCGCAGGCGGGATATCAAAACTCTCAATGGCAACAACCTAACGGCTCGGGTCCTCCCCCACAACAACGCGCACCGCCACCTCCCCATCATCAACAACGTCCTATGCCGCCTCAGAACCCGCAGCAATACCCTCCTGGTATGCAGCAACGGCCTTACCCCGGTCGGCCTCAGTACCCTCACCCTCAACGACTGGACTCCCGCCCAGGACCCATGCCTCCTCAGTTCCAACAGCAAAACCCGCACGGACGCCCTTTGCCTCCTCCAGCTCTCAACTCAGATCAATATCGGTCCCGTTCGATGGCTAGACTAGGAGGGCCTCCTTCATACCAATCGCCGCAGTCACAATTCCCTCCGACCCCTGTCAATGCTTTCCGCCAACCGTCATACCATTCAATGGGTTCTAGAACCGCACAGGGCCGTATCGTTCCAGAAAGACATGATAACGAACGAGCCATGTCGATGAGTTCTTACTCGGCAGACCGCGACCATGCCCAAACCATCAGTTCCGGAAGGGTTGTACCGAATAGGAGACGAGAGTCAGGTCTAGAGCGGGAACGGGCTGGAGGTATGGACCGCCATTATTCAGAATCACCAGTATCAATACAACCCACCATAGATGAGCCACTGGTTCCCTCGCACTCTGGACATCATGTGCTACCACCACAGCAAGATCTTCAATTGCGAGTACGACATCCCAGTGAAAGCTCTGTTAATTCACGTACTTTATCCATGGCATCAACCATCGCCCCCGAACGCAACAACAGTTTGCAAAAACCTGTCGCCGCCAAATCCCCTAACTCCTCCATGGCTGGAGCACCTCCACCAAACAACGTGCACCGCAGAACACCGCTCGCTTACCCAGCTCTCCTATCTCGAGTAGCTGCCGTCTTTAGAGAGCGGATTGCTGTTGGTGAGCGCATTAAAAACGACCTAGCCTACACTAACGCCTTTACAGGCGCAGAGGCTGTTGACTTGATATCCTACATTATTAAGACAACAGACCGTAACCTAGCTCTCCTCCTTGGTCGGGCTCTAGATGCTCAAAAACTCTTCCATGATGTCACGTATGACCATCGATTACGAGATGCTCCAGGCGAACTCTACCAGTTTAGAGAAACCCTGGGTGAAGAGTCACCTGTCAACGATGTCAACGGGGTATTTACTCTCTTGACAGAGTGTTATTCTCCTACTTGTACCAGAGACCAACTCTGTTATTCGATTGCTTGCCCGCGACGCTTGGAGCAACAAGCAAGGTTGAACCTCAAGCCCCAGCCGGGTCTGAGACCATCTGCCTCCAAGGGAAGTCTTCATGACCATGAGGACAATGATGATCAGAAGCTTTGGATCAACACGGTGCCCAAGGAAGTAGCTGACAGTCTCGAGGACCGTGAGAAGAAGCGACAAGAAATCATCTTCGAGATGATGTATACCGAACGTGACTTCGTTAAGGACTTGGAATACTTGAGAGACTTCTGGATGCGCCCTCTACGATCTCCCAACAACCCCAGCCTTTCCCCTATCCCTGAGCATCGCCGAGAGAAGTTTATCCGAACTGTGTTCGGTAACTGCCTGGAGGTTTTGAGCGTCAACTCCAAATTAAGTGAAGCTCTCAACGCCCGACAAAAGGAAACCCCCGTTGTGAAAACCATCGGTGATATTTTCCTTCAATTCGTCCCTCGATTTGATCCCTTCATTAGATACGGTGCAAACCAGCTTCACGGAAAGTATGAATTTGAAAAGGAGAGATCCTCGAACCCTGCGTTTGCCAAATTCGTCGAGGAGACAGAACGCCTGAAGGAGTCTCGAAAACTCGAACTGAACGGTTACCTTACCAAACCTACCACCCGATTGGCGAGATATCCACTTCTTCTTGAAGGTGTGGCTAAATACACTGCTGACGATAGCCCAGATAAGGAGGATATCCCCAAGGCCATTGTTCTTATCCGAGACTTCCTTTCTCGGGTGAACACAGAGAGTGGAAAAGCAGAGAACCACTTCAACCTTGTGCAACTGAACTCTGCTTTGAAATTCACTCCGGGCGATTACGTTGATCTGAAGCTCACTGAGGAGAACCGAGTGATGTTGATCAAGATGGCATTCAAGAAGGGTCCAACCGACTCGGCAGAAGTTACAGCCTACCTGTTTGATCACTCTGTCCTACTTGTTCGCATAAAACCTGTGAATAAACGAGAAGAGTATAGGGTATATCGGAAGCCTATCCCGCTTGAGCTTCTTGTTATAACCCAAATGGAAGAAGTGCTGCCTAAACTTGGCATTCATAAACGTCCTACTGCCGGTGGCCTGATTCCAGGAACCAGAACAGCCAGCACTACTCCAGCTTCGTCCAAGGAAGGGTTGCCTGTTACCTTCCGTCACTTAGGTAAAGGGGGTTATGAGATAACTCTACACGCAACCTCCCAGACCCAGCGGAAACGGTTCATCGAATTGGTCGAAGAGCAACAGAGAAAACTGCGGGAGCGAAATAGTAACTTCTATTCCAAGACTATCCTTTGCGAGGGCTTCTTTAGCGCTGTCAATAGAATCAACTGTTTGGTTCCAATTGGTACGTACCTGTGTTCGCTTTTCTTATGGATTTACGTTAGGCTTCCACTAACATGACAACTATACAGATGGTGGCCGCAAGCTTGTATATGGAACTGATAATGGTATCTATGTGTCTGAACGCTGGCCAAAAGATAAATCCGCAACTCCAAAGCGTGTCCTTGAAGCCAATGCGGTAACCCAGATTGATACCTTGGAAGAATACCAGCTGCTGCTTGTTCTTGCCAACAAGACACTTAGCTCTTACCCGCTTGAGGCGTTAGATACAAGCGATAGCCAAAGCGCCATGGTCCGGCGGCCCAAAAAGATTCAGGGTCACGCCAATTTCTTCAAATCTGGTATTGGTCTCGGAAGACACCTGGTGTGCTCCGTGAAGACCTCGACTCTATCAACGACCATAAAAGTCTTCGAGCCTATGGAGAATTTGGCCAAGGGCAAGAAGAAGCCTCTCAGCAAGATGTTCCAGACTGGTCAGGATGCTTTGAAACCCTTTAAGGTACTCAATCCTGATGATTTCCTCATTGCCTCCAATGCAATCGCTAACTAATCTATTTCAGGAATTCTACATCCCCGCTGAATCATCTTCGGTTCATTTCTTACGCTCAACTCTTTGCGTTGGTTGTTCTCGTGGCTTCGAAGTTGTCAGTTTAGAAACCACTGAGAGGCAATCCCTCCTCGACCAAGCAGACACGTCGCTGGATTTCGTTGCAAGAAAAGAAAACGTGAAGCCCATCCACATTGAACGACTAAACGGAGAATTCTTGCTCAATTACTCTGACTTCTCCTTCTTCGTCAACCGTAACGGATGGCGAGCCCGTCCAGACTGGCGAATTGCCTGGGAAGGCAACCCTACTGCATTCGCCCTATCTTATCCATACATCCTAGCATTTGAGCCCAGCTTCATTGAAATCCGGCATCTTGAAACCAGTGAATTGGTACACGTTATGACAGGACGAAATATTCGTATGCTGCATTCTTCTACTCGAGAGGTTTGTCTCACTCTATCTATCCTTTCATCTACCACGACTTTAGTCATATCTTTACTAACCAGTCTGTCACAGATAATTTATGCCTACGAAGATGAAAACGGAGAAGATGTCGTCACCAGCCTTGACTTTTGGAACAAACCAGCATAAATGAGAAAAACAGGATTGCAAATACACCAAGGAATAACGAAAAACAACACATAATCAACACCATGGGAGTAACGGGATATCTTCGTCCAGCTTCTTTCCGTCTTTTTGAGAGCATATGAAGCTACTTACTGCCTTTTCTTCAACTTGTCCTATACGGCGTTCAAATTTTCCAATTCCTCGAGCGTTTATGCACCTGCCTTCTAATCCTTAGCCGACCCATTCTCACCCATGAGCAGAATGGGCATAATGCCTGATGTCACTCCTCCGTTCGCACCTCCTCCTCCTCCTCCTCCTCCTTCTCCTGTTTCTGATGATGATGCCACCTTAACCACGACAAAATCCAAAACCATACCATATCCCTCCTACTACCTCGATGAAAAAGCCTTTCCCATCCATGTCTCTGACCTTCTATACCATGTCCGCTAACCTCCTAACCACTACTACCTCCAGGCGTGCACCAACCATTAATTCATCCCAACTACTTACATAGGTTAACATATCAACCTGGCGCCGTCTTCTTCTCCTCTTCCACTGTATTTTTTCTTCCTCTCCATCCCGCTTCATTCTCACGTCTTCGACTTTCTTCTATATTTGAAATATTTTAATTACATATCTACCTACTTTCCCCCTCTTCTTCTCTTGATTTCTTTTATGTTAGTTCCTTTTATTCTCTTTATTTTTCTTCTTTTCTTTCTTCATTTCACTTCTCTTCACATACGGAATGATTCGCGAATGTTCTCATAAGGCTCGTCATGCAACTCTTGAGATACCCCTTCTCTTCTGGCAAGCAGTCAATCAATCAATCAAACTAGCAAGTTGTGGATAGGATTTTGATGCTCTCCCTATCATGTCTGTTTCCTCATTGTCCGTAGCTTCCTTGCTTCTACCTACGTATGTTAATTAGATTGTATAGATTAGCTAGTTAGTTTGTTATTATATTCTCGATGTTTTATTTTACACCTTTGCTCCTCAGCTTTGCGATGTAGCACATGAATCGTGGCAACGGGATTCGGACCAACAGCAACGAACGACAACGGGCTCAGACTGCTGTTAGAGTCGTACAGAAAAAGCCATGTTTAGAATCCAGCTGAAACGACACGGATTTATATCGGAAGCGAAACGGGCTTGCTCATGCGTGGGAGGGGAAAAAAAAAAAAATTAATCTCCTCTCCTGTACTGTACGTGGCCAGGATGCGCCTGGTCAATTCAGAATCAGGCCAGCAGACTGTACGACAAGTTGGAAAAGGAGCATAGGATTAAATAACCATTAATTAAACTACTCTTCTTGTTCTTTAAAATAGTAAGAGGTCAAAGAAAAACACGCGCGGTAACCGGGTATGGAAGAATGGCGGGCGGTGGTTGCATCAGGAGAAATAATAGAGGGCATAAGATAAAATAAAGGGGTGACGGGCTGGATAGGGGGTTACCCCTACTTGACAAGTTGGGAGGAGTGCTGAAGTTCAAGCAAAGCACGAAAGGGACGTAATAGCCGAGGAAAGGTAAGTAAGAAACCGCAGATAGGAACACAAGGAGAGAAGCGAAAGGGTGCCAGGGGGAGAAAAAAAGGAAAAGTGAAAGCTAGGGAGTGGAGGTTGGTTAGGATTTGAGGTATACATGAGGATAAAACGAAGAAGGCATGTAAAGAAATGAGCGACAACAGGGAAATGTGCACTCTAATGGCTGGTGTAAAAAGGCGAGTCTCCCTCTCCAAGCATGACATTTACTTCCCATTATTCTTGTTATTCTTTTATATCCCCTCAGCTCGCGCGACTTTGGGATCATTCCTCCTTTTTGAGCACTCCGTGTATGGGAGTGTGCGACCTCCATTCCGAATATCAAAAAAGAAAAAAGTTCTAACCGCAGTATCAAACGGCGCAAGTATCAGCTATTTACTTCCTCCTAGCTGCTTAGCTTCGTATCTTGGCAGGAAGTTTTGCTTATGCCGCGTCTCCGTTAGGATCCTGGCTCTGTTGGGCAGCCTGTTCACGCTGCATGCGGGCTTCGATTTCTCTCAGCTGGCTCTCACGGGCCAGAAGCTCCTGTCGTTTCTCGTTAATCTCACGCTGTACCTTGAGCTCGATTTCACGCAGCTTCTCCTCTTCTCGGCGGAGCTGTTCTTCCTTGAGGCGGACAGACTGGGAAGCCAAGTCTTCAGGGTTCATGGTAGAGTCATGAGAACTAAAATGTCGTTAGCATAATGGCCAAGCAACAACCAGTAAAGTATATAAGGAAAGTGTGGAAAACATACGCAGAAGCACCTCCTTCGACGCTCTTGCTGAGCTTCTCGGTACGGTAGTTTTCGTACAGGAAGTCATGGGTGATTTCCTTGAGATCGGCCAAATGGCTGTGGAGGAGAGCACTGCGGACAGCCAGGAAGTCGGAGTGGCGCTGGTTCTCGACCTCTACAACACCCCATGGGTACTGTCTGGCCCGTACCTTGCGACCACCGATCTCAAGAACGTCCTCGGAACCAACGATGGCGAAGGGCATCAGTGACCGGTATTCCTCGTTCTCTTGCACGGTGTCTTCGTCGTCTTCTTCAATGTCGTATGGGAAGTTGTAGACGGGGATACGGTAATGTTCGATATCCTCCATGATAAGCTTCTTTGACTCCGCAAGCTCAGCCGGTGTGAAAGAGTCGGCCTTGCCGATGACGGGGATAACGTTGACACGTGGGGAGAGGCGCTTCATGAGCTCAATGTCAAGCTCTCGGAGACCGTGGCCAGTTGGTGTGATGAAGTAAAGCAGAGCGTGGACACGGTTGTCACGGAATCTAGGGTTACGCTTGATTCTTGACTCCTCGGCCAAAATGTCATCATATTGGCGTTCGAGGTACCCAACAATTTCCGAGAAGCTAGCCAGTGTTAGTTATTTGCATGTAATCACTGTAAAAGAATGGACTGCTATACCTTTCTTCGTTGTTGATCTGGTCACCGAATCCGGGGGTGTCGACAATGGTGAGAGAAATGCGAGTACCCTCCTCGTCGAGTTCTAGCTCTATTTTCAAATTGAGTCAGCATCCTGTCAAGCTACCATCGTAGTCTTGGGTATCCATACCAACAGTAACTGGTTTTATGCGAACGCCCTCCTCGAGGTGAGCGGTCTGGGCGTCATCGGCGTCTTTCCCCTGAAGGACCTGCTTGCCGCATAGAGTGTTGACGAAGGTGGTGCGACCTGTAGCCATTGGCATCAGCTAAGAGCTCATAGCGGCGATTATAATCAATGGCGATGACAAGACGTACCAGTTCCGCTCGCACCACAGACCATCAAACTAAATTGAATGCCCTTCTTGACATTCTTCTTCTTACGGATTCTGATCTATTGCCCACCGGGTCAGCAAAAATCTCACACTTTCAGCCATAGAGGGTCCGGTGTACACGCATAAGAGGCCCGTATGGACCACACTCAGCGCAAGGATACCGTGGAGAAAAAGGGCACGTACGTTGTTTGGGGCTGACATGGTGATGGACTCGGGGGTTTGAGATATTGATAGGCAGTTGTCCCTTGGTGGCCTGGAGAAGCAAGAGAAGAAGGGATCCGGGAGCTGAACTGAGGAGGTCGAGCAGCAGGCAGACAGTCACCGGCGCAGGAGAAAGATGCGGACGCAAGAGACAGCGCTGGATGTTGGTCTCGTCGTTCAGCAGGGGGAGAAGCGAGTGTCTTTCTTGGGCGTTGAGGCAGGAGTAAAAGAGGTAAATTAACAAACTGCGGCCAAGGGCAACTTTAGGGGGTTGAATCACGTGGAGTTACCGTACCGTCACCCGCCGTATCGGCAAGTACATCGTCTGCGGGTGTTCTGTAACTTTGGCTAATATCGCACATTTCCATTGGCCAGAGAGGAATCCTCATACGCTATCAATACAGCCCCTGTGCGTAATCTCCATACGTCGCCTGTGCACCACTACTAGAGATTACGGGCGTTTGTATTTTTGGTAATTTTCTTTTTTTTTTTTCTCTTGCCCCTTTTTCCGCCCCTTATTTTTTTTTTTTTTCTACTCACATGGAGACAAGAGTGAAGCCACGGACGGTTTGCTAGTTGGGCCGCTGGGTAGAAGCGATGGCGGGGAGACGGAATCACCCTCCAACGCTGGGCTGGTTTGCGCCCGCAAGTGACGGAGAGAGCTGAGAAGCAGCAGAAGGAAGCTCTGGGTGACCCTGTCATGTGACCCGGTGATGGCCCTTAAGTGATGGCGTTTTATGTTTGGTTCAAAGTGACGATGATGTTATATAAAATATATTTATTTGCCTTAAGACGCCCGAACATTCAGCAACCTCAGTCTGTGAATAAGATAGTTCACTTGAGCGCCAGTGACTAGGATTTCAACGCGCAGGAAGGTTGTTGGGTGGGTGTATAGCTTTTGGAGGAGGTTCTTTGATCGGTTTGTAGCTTGGTAGCTGGGGTCGACCAAACCAACAACCATGAATACAAGAGAGATGATCGATGCCTCTGGAGGCCCGGTGTCGTTGACGGCCTCATTCAACAGTGACAGCAGCTGTTTCTCCGTTGGACTGAACTCCGGGTTCTGCGGTAAGCTGGTCTTGTTGTTCTATGCACGTTAGAAGGCTGTAGGTAAACATAGACTAACACGCCCCGTATAGTATTCAACTCGGATCCCTGCGAGCTCAAGGTATCCAGAGGTAAGGCCTCTTGACACTGTCTCTAACGGTGAATGATTTACTCATAATATTCTCAGACTTCAACGCGGGAGTGGGCATAGTTGAGATGGTTGGACAGTCCAACTACCTAGCCCTCGTTGGGGGAGGTCACACCCCCAAGTTCCCCCAAAACAAGGTATCTACATCTTTGCTTTGTTCTCTATATTTGAATACTCACTTCTAGTAGGTGATAATATGGGATGATGCAAAACAAGTCGCTGCCATGACTCTTGAATTTCGCACCTCGATTCTGCGAGTGCGCATCACCAAGTCTCGCATAGCTGTTGCTCTTTATGACTGTGTCCATCTCTACGCCTTTTCAGTCCCACCTAAGAAGATAGCAGTCTACGAGACTGGAGAGAACCCACATGGCCTTGTCTGCCTTGGAGAGACACATATCGCTGTCCCCGGCCGATCCGCAGGACAGGTTCAATTGATCAAATTAGATACAGGGAACGTTAGCATTCTTCCGGCTCACACATCACCCCTGAGTGCAATGACGTTCAGCGGTGATGGAGCGGTGCTCGCCACCGCCAGTCAAACAGTATTTATGCCATAGTTACCCATCGCCAAAAATAATATCCGCTAACCCGGCTTGCAGGGGACAATTATTAGATTATTCGCTACTAGCAATGGGGCGAAGATGGCTGAGCTTCGAAGAGGTCTTGATCCAGCGGAGATATTCTCTCTAGCAATATCTCCATCGAATACGCTTCTTGCCGTCACATCTGATAAGGCAACTCTACACATATTTGATATCCCACATGCCAGGAATGGACAGGAAACAAACAATGCACCAGCAACCGCCCCCCTGGAGGAATCAACAAATCGGGGATGGGGGTTAATAAGCAAACTGCCTTTCCTTCCCCGTGTCTTCTCAGACGTCTACTCATTTGCCAGTGCAAGATTTGATATTGGCGAAGAACCACTTGGCTCCAACTACATTCCGCCACCAGGTGCGCCTTCTGAGCGGCCTTCAAAGGGAATAATTGGCTGGACGAGCGATAAGTCACTGCTGGTGCTAGGAGCTGGCAAAGCCGGTAGATGGGAACGTTTCGTTCTTCAAGAGGCGAGTGACGGGACCCGGCAGTGTCTTAGAGCTGGGTGGAAACGATATCTCGGAAGCTGAAAGACCGCGCCTTTTTTTTTGATCCAGCAAATCGAGATTCGCAATTTCGACCCATACTTATACTCGCAGAACAAAGGAAAACCTCATCTAACCCAGGCAGACAGTTCCTATCATTTTTGGAACAGGTTTAATCATTGTTGATAGCCATATTCCTAATCGAACCCTACCGCAGAGAACTGAGTCAATGCATTCGCCCGTGGTTCGGCACAAGGGCCTGGCATCCCCTAGCTCTGAGGTTTGACTGACTCAAACACAAGAATATATTGACTTGCCCTTACGCGTGGATGAATCCACAGAGAAGCGGCGTATTAGGATTTCTTCAGGGGGTAGTCCGCCGTTTGCGAAACTTCGCGTTGTATAATTAGATGTTAATAAGCAAGATAGAGATAATTCAACTCCTATCCCGTCGTTCTCGACGATGTCTTCGTTCGCTTGACCGTTCCCTGGACCCGTCCCTCCTGCTCCTATGTGGTGACCGCCTTTCCCTCGACCGCGATCGTTCTTCACTGTGCCTCCTCCTATGATGTCGATGGCGACGGGATGTCCTATGGCCGTCCCGGCTACGATCTCGGTCTCGATCTTGCCTACTCGATTTGCTCTTTGCCTTCACCAGCGCCAGTGCATTTTCGACTTCTTCCTTCTTCTCCTTTATAAGATACTCCTTCATTGGGTCCTCGTCGTCATGTTCATCCATCAGCTGCTGTAGTTCCACCTCTTCCTTCAATAACGGTCGAGAAGGCCTCTTCCGTTCCTCGGATTCATGACGCCTAGACCTCCGTCGACTACTTCTTTCTGTCTCCTTCTCCTCCTCTGCATCCCGGTCTGACTCCATCACCTCCCCATTCTCATCCACATTCACGAGATTATCTTCCGTTCCTTCGTCATCACGTCTCTTATACCGCACATGGTCCACTCTGAGCACTCTGCCTAGCACTGTAGCTCCTCCAAGGTTGTCAACCGCTAGGTCTGTACTTCGTTGGTCCTCATATTTAAGAAATGCAAATCCTCGGCTTTTGCCCGTCTCTTTGTCTCTAACCAGGTTTAAATGCACTGGATTGCCGTATTGTGAGAATATTGTTAATATGTCACCTTCACTGATATCAAACGGAAGGCCTCCGATGTAGATATACGCTGTATCACGGTAATCAGCGTGCCAGGAAGCTTCTGGGGGCCTAAACCGGAGGCAAAACAGCTGTTAGCAACGCTGTCCAGATGCTATAGAATGGAGGCCTTACACTGCATTCTCGAGCTCTTTCTTATTCAGAGCTTCAATCTGACGGATCGCGTTCATGCTAGACCTGCAGTTACACTTCTAAATGTCGGAATAGCAAGATAATAGCAGTTATAATCAGCTTTATCAACCTTCTTCAAACTTGTTGTAGCTCCTCTGCTTCTTTTCTTCGGAAGCTTCACGCCCAAATTAAAGGTCACGTGGTTCACCTTGATAAACAACAAAACATCCAAAGACCGCCCAAAACTCCACGTAAGATACTTGAGCTTCGTCTGGCACGATATTGAGAGAAGAGACAAGCCTCCTGTGCTGACAGAATAACCGGCTGTTAGTTGGTCCCTCGCTGGCTCGAACTTAGTTACCGCGTCTTGTGTGTGGCCGCCCCCCTGGGGGCATGGATAAACTAGTTAAGGAGAACCAACTCCATCTTCAACTTGAATCCCCGACATCCTAAATATCAGTTCACCAGGGCGTCCTTCTCAGCAACTAAAAGACCCTCCAGCGATCTCTCCTTAGGCGTCAATTCGGCCTCCTTCTCAATATCCAGAGTACGATTACTCTGCTCCGCCGTTTCACTCCGCGGACCGTCCCTGAAACGCCATTCCCGTTCCTAGCTTAGACACCTGTATACCAGGGCATGGTCGCGCAGCATGCCTGAACCAGGACAGCGGTTGAGCCAGATCTCAGCTTCAAAGGGAGGGTCTGATGGCCGACCGGCCAGCAAAGATGGGAAAAAGGAGCTTTGGTCATCCATGCTTCACGCTGGAGCGAGTGGGAAGCGGTTACCGGAAAAGACACTGCTAGTCCTTGGTATGTACCGGGAAACTCCTCAGCTTCGTTGATGTTTCTATATATCTTCGAAGTAACCTGGTACGGAATTTGTAGGCCGGTTTTAATAATGTGTTATTCCAGGTGGCACCCCAGAGAGTCAACGGGAATTTCTAGCAACATTATCTACCGATCACGCTGAGTCCGGACTACCTGCAGAACGACGAAAACAAAAAGCACCGCCCATTGCGAACCAGTTTGCGCTCGGATATACATACCAGAATGTTCTCGATGCGGAGCAGGAAGGTAAGAAAGGGAGATTTCCCTCCAACACACTTCCTTGATTTTTTGGCTAATTATACGCACTTGAATCCATAGATATCCTTGCTAGAATTTCAATCTACCTACTTTCAGAACCATCAGCATCTTACGCTCCCCTCCTCCGACCTTTGATCAACCCGAAGACAGTCCCTGAGATGTTGATAGTTTTCCTTCTGGACTGGGAAAACCCCTGGACATGGGTCAGAGAACTGAGAGAATGGATCCGACTATTGCGCTCGGTTCTCATATCACTGGATGATGAGACGAAAGTTGTTATGGAAGAGGTCATGAGTGACTGGAAGGACCGTAGGAGAGGGTTAGATCCTTCTCACGTCCCAGGGTCTGGTCCAGTATCTTCTATACCCCTAGGCCCTGGCGAGTGGGATGAAGGGCTGGGCATTCCTACATGTGTTGTTTGTCAGGGTGTACGTTTATCCTGTCATCAAAGCTGCTTCCGGTGCTAACATGGACTCTACAAAACAGGCTGAGAAGATTGAACAACTAGAAAAAGATCATGGCTGGAGAGAAGAAGAGTTCGACTACATCTTACAGTTTATGCGAACGATACTTCTCAAGCGTATGTCTCCTTTAATTTACCCGTATACTTCCTGTTGCTGATACTTTCCCCCACCAGATGGATCATCATTAATATATACCACCCGATTCTTGGCCAACTCACTACAAGGTTTGATACAGTCATCACTTGGTATTCATTCACTCCTAAAACGACAATCTCTCAAACATAATGTTATCGACAGAGACAAGATATTAGTCCCTTCAAACTGGGATTCATGGGGTAAGATAAGAATTATCAGGGAAGGTTTTAATATCGAGGGTGTTGGGACTAGTTGGTCCGTTGAGATACAAGGGCCACCAGAATCTCTGAAGCGATCCAGCTCAGGCGATGGTGAGGAAGCTCAAGAGCGTGAAGACCCAGATTCTGCAGCCAGTGCAGTGGCTATTTATGAACAAACCATCAAGGATCCCAAAGGCGCTGCATCGATATCTCGTGCTAGGCAGTCAGAAGGCAGTCAAATTGAAGTGACAACAGTTGATTCCCAGGCATTCCTGACAGAGCAGGTTGAGGTACTTGAACAGCTTAAAGCAGAGGATGAGAAGCAAGAAAGACAGATGCGCAAGGGTGGTGGTGTCATTAAGGACTCAGACATGATGATGGGCATAGATGATACGAGCCGGGTAAATGAGCATATTGGCCCCGTGCAGTTTAATATGGGAGGCATCCAAGTCGATGCCGATGACATGCTACGGAGATTAAAGGTAAGGTTCCCCTTAATATCTTCTTCAGAATATGTTCAACACTACTAATGACCACACCTAGGAGAGAGAAGCTAGCCGTGCATCGGCAAGGAGTGGTTCCGTCTCACCGACACCTCCGGGCGGGCCAACATCGCCCGGCATACCTCCTATCGGTCAAGGTACCGATGGCAAGCTTGGTAATGAAGGGCTAGCTACCTTCTTTGCCGGCCTAATGAAGAAGACCGGTGGTAGTCCAAGGTCTAACGCAACCACTTAGCTTCAATTTTTGCTACCGTTTAAGGTGCACACTGAGGTCATTGTTGTGTCTAACTTATACCTATCATCTACTGATTAACTTCTCGGTCGTCTTCTTCCAGGCCCTTTCGATACATTGGTTAATATACACTGTCAGCTTCATGCAAACCAACCTAGCTAATTGCTTTTCATTTGTTGTGTTACCATTTACTCGTTCCCTATCATCTGCTTTGTACGATACCCATTTTCAAGTACATAGATTCAAACTGAGGAATTGAGTGTAACTTAATTTCTCGCCGTCGGAGAATATGTTTCATAGTCTTGAGCCTCATCCAGTGCTGCATCGCCATATATTGTAATCCTAAACCCGCAGCATTTGCTTAAAATATGTTTTAAGTATACGTAAGTGCCATCTACAGCTCAACTCCTGCCTCTGGTGCTTCTCTTCACAGTCAACAGAAGCCTTCTACTCCTACCCAGGCCACTTCCGCAGCCTCTATTGGCGTGTTAATTCGAGTGATCACTGCCAGCTCAGGGGCAGTTCCCACACCATAAAGTCAATGCAAGCATAGTGTGGGTTCCGGTTCACTGTGGCAACCAGGACAAGATACCGGGTCGAGGAACATTTCTATCAAGCAAATCCGGTCCATTGGTATACTGGATAGAGGCAAGACTGATATGTTTAATACTGATACTAGAGGTAGAAAAGTAGAGAAAGAATAAAGGGTGAAGATATTACAATATTTGCATTGCTATTATAAAGACATGACATCAAATGGTCGCGTTAAGCATAAAAGAGTCTAGTAGTCGAAGTAAGAATGGGCCTCATGGTCAACGACCTCAATGGGGCAATCTGAAAGCTTGATGGACTTAGGGTTGCTCTTGTTGATGCCAGACCACTTGTTGACCCATCCGAGGACCTGCTGGTGCCAAACGAGAGAGTTCTCTGGCTTGGTGACCCAATGGGTCTCATCGGGGAAGTTAAGGAAACGGCTGGGAACACCCTTCTCCTGGAGGACGTTGAAGAGACCGACACCCTCAGCGACGGAGAGACGGAAGTCGAAGTCGTTGTGGACGACGAGCTGGGGAGTGGACCACTTGGCGACGAGCTCTGGCTTAGAGCAATCCCAGCGGTCATAGTTCTGGCGAGCCTCGAAGAAGGTTCCGTTGAACTAGAGGTAATGGTTAACAGGGAATGTTTTATTTTTTACGTACGAACCATGGAGTGAATACTTACGTCGTGTTCAATGAAGAAGAGCTCGTCAGTTCCGATCTTGGAGGATCCAACGAAGGTACCGTCATGGGAGACGAGGGCCTTGAACTTGCGTCCGAGATCTTGTCCCTGGATCCAGTTGACCATGAAACCACCGAAGGAGGCACCAGCAGCAATACCGTTGTCAGTGTCAATGTACTTGATGTTGTTGTGGACGTGTTCCCAGATCTTGACGAGATCCTTGTATGGAGCACCACCCCAGTCGTTGGTGATGTCGTCGGTCAGCTTCTGGCCGAAACCAGTGCTACCAGTTGGGTTAGGAGCAACGACAACGTATCCCTGGTCGGCCCAGACGCGTGGGTTCCAGCGGGTGCTCCAGTTGTCACCCCAGGAGCCCTGAGGACCACCGTGGATGAGGAATGCAAGTGGGTAGACCTTGTTCTTATCGAAACCGGTTGGCTTGACGATCCAAGAGTGGATCTTGGTGCGGGCACCATCAACCCAGAGAGGCTCAATATCGTTGGGTCCAAGACCCTTGAGCTCAGGATCATGCTCGTTGGCATAGAAGAGCTTGCGGTTAGGGCGGCCGGGAGTAGCAACCTGGTAGAGAGCGTTGGACCAGAGGGAGTTACCGCTGATGAGGACAGACTTGGAGCTGCCGACGAAGTAGAAAGAGCTGACGGAACCGTCGTGCTTGACAACCTCAGGCTTGTGGTTGTCGCGAGCATCAGCTGGGAGGGTGAAGAGCTTTCCGGTAGCGTGGTCCTCAGCAGTGACGTAGAGGGTGCGGCCATCAGAAGACCACTTGACAGCCTCGGGAGAACGGTCCCAGTTGCTGGCAATGCGCTGAACTGGCTTGTTAGAGCCAACCTCAGCAATGTGGATAACACGGCGGTCAGACTCGTAGTTCTTGGTTGCCATCTGGAGGTAGGCAATTCTCTTGCCGTCTGGAGAGAAGACTGGGCTGGAGGAAGCACCCTCAATGCCCTGTGGAGTGCGAGGACCATTGCGCTTGTTGATGGGCTCAGCGACGCGGGAACCATCGTGTGGAACGAGGAAGATATAAGAGGTGGTGAGGTTGGCTTTTGGAAGCTCTGGGGCCTTGCTCATGAAGGCGACGGTTTTGCCATCAGAGGAGAGATCATAGTCACCAGAGCCGCCGAATGGTGGGTAAGGAGACTCAGCGTACTTGACGGGCTGAACGAGGTTCTTGAGCTTGCCATCGAAGCTGTACTTGTCACCATTCTTGGTGAGAGCACCAGAGAAGACGGCATTGAACTGAGTGCTAACATAGGTATCCCAGTGGCGAACGAAAAGACTGTCGTAGATGCGAGCAGAGCTGACAGCCTCCTTAGCGGCGGCCTCGTTGTAGAGGTCACCCTTAGTTGTGGATTGACCGTAACCAACGAAGTTGATCTTGTCTCCAGACTTAGCGAGTTTAAGGCCAGAGAATGCTCCGTTGACGGAACCGGCCTTGTAGCTGTTGCAATTGTAAGTAATTGAGCCCTTGTCCGTAGTTATGGACCGTTATGGACGGGATCATGGATGTACTCACGCATTGCCGAAGTTCTTGGCATCAGAGATCCAGATGCCAACACCCCCCTTCACGGAGTCGGTTCCGTTAACGTAGACGACCTTGGTGCCGTCTCCGAGCCAGGTGATCTCAGAGACGTCACTGTCGGTAGTAAGAACGCTGATGTCACCGTTCTTGAGGTTCAAGAGGTTCCAGCCGGATGGGCGGTCCTTCTTGTCGAAGTTGTACTTGGAGACATGGAAGACGGCGAGCTCCTACGTAGTTTCAGGCACAAGTCAGTTGGGCCTCGGGGAGTATCTATGGATTGACATGTCGACTTACACCCTTGGGGTCTGGGATGGCCTCTCCTCTTCGTGGAGCAGAGATGAAGTCCCTGCAAAGATGTCAATATCTAGTCTCGTCGCAAATATGATGATCAATGGGTCAACATCTACTTACTCTGGAGTGAATGCAAGCCCTGACGAGGCAAACGCCAAGGAGGCAATCAACCATTTGGCTGCTGCCATTGTGAATGGAGCTAAATGAATAGCTTCTTCTTCTCTCTTGATATGCGTGATACAAGAACCAGAAGATCAGGAGAGATTCTGGAATTGTCACTGGAAGGGAGAAAAGAGAGAAGGAGAGAAGGGAAATCTGCAAGAAACCACTGGCCGTCCACCTTCCATTTATTTCTTTTCGAAGACCGCCCCCGGTCAGGCAGGTCAATCAAATAAACATTCCTCTTCTCGTACTCCAATCACTCTCTCTCTAGCTCATGTTCTGCGAGCTTCTGTCGCCTTTTCCTTTGCTTCCTTTTCCATTATTTGCTTTTTCAGCAGCAACTCCAAGGTTGCCCCAGTTTTTCTGTCAGCATCGTGGGATTTCAACCTGGTCATTCGTTCCCCAGGCTAGGATGTACCCCGGCCCTCCCAACCTGGAGAAAGAAAAGAAAAAGCCGGGGCGGGATTACCCCTCTCTTATCATCACCCCAATGTGTCCTTCTTCCTGGCAAGCGCTGTCAAGCTAACCACGTATATGCACTCCGTTCTCTGTACTCCGTACGGAGTACTCAAATCAGGACCGGAGTGACGTTGCTGCTGTTGGGTGCTGAACCACCCCTCGGCAATTTCGCTGTTTAAAATTACGTCTGCTTATCACTGCAATGGAGCAATGGAACAAGATGGGTCTGCGGAGGTAACTAAACTCATGGCGAAGGCATTTTGGGGTTAGCTCCCATTCGCAAGATATCGAGGTAAGCTTCGGCTCAAAAGCATGTCTGGTCGGATCCCTCACCCCGGAGATTATATGAGCAAAAACCAGGGATTGTGAACGACGCATATTAGCACGGATACGATATGGATGGAAAGGGAAATGGATATGCAATTAGCCGATACGAATGAGCTTGGGTAGACAAGAGCAATAACGCTTGGTTTATTATTAGCAAATCGAATCTTTGGCCTGGCCTTGGCCCTCAGGTCCGACTGTTGTCATGTAAACAGTCGTGTTTTTAAATATACTCCAGAAACCACTTGTGCGGGCAGATGCGGGAAATGGATCTTCGTCTGCTTGTTGATACGAGATGCTGATACCTCAAGTGTTGGTGCGGGTGCCTGGAAAAAAAGCCACAGTCATGCAAAGCTCTGGGTGGCAACCATAACCACTAGCCAGAGCCAATTAGTTAGTTACTCAATTCACCTGATTCCGCCTGCGTCTTGGTAAGGAAGAGAAATGCCCTGGCAACAGCTGGGGAAATGGCACGTCAAACAAAGACGGCATGAGGCCATAACTCTGACTGGGGGTAGGGTACGGCGCAGTCGACCTGCCGTGTTGGCTGAGCAGGGGAGCTTCCAGCAAGTCAACCCAGGCTCTTTTACTCGTTATCGCAGGCTTGCTTCTGCTTCTTCCTGGGGCAAAAACGACAGAAAAGGCTACAACGCCAAGTTACTGGGGCGCTGTGGGGATCTCTCCCCACGCCTGCGTTCTGATTGCAGGGCTTTCTCTCGTGCCATTCCAGAAGACGAGCAAAAAAAGGCAGATGGAGCCAAAGCGAGCCTGTTTCTTCCGTTGAGTTGGGAGGGATCAGCGCAAGCAAAGGGCGAGAGGATCCTGGTGAATATGCCAGCTGCTAATTGGTCTTAGCCAATATCGCGACTAGGGCGGATCTGGATGGTGGTAACCCCCTTCATTCAGCCTCTGTGCGAGCTACCCGTCTTCCGCCGTGTCGCCATCACTCGCCCGTCTTCTCATGTCTGTTCCTCTGCTTTGTTTCTCCGTTTCCGTCTGTTCCCCCTGTCAACCGTCTGGCGTCTCGGAGGACTGCCTAAAAGGAAAATGCGAGGAGGATGAAGAATCCTCGCTAGACCCGGCCGGTTCGCTGGCAGCGTGACATGTCTTGCCTTGTGGGTCATTGTCCGATGCCTTCTTGCTGGCTATGCGAAATTGCGGCCTATCCAGACACCCCTTGCAATACCAGCCATGGTGGACACTTCGATAAATGGGCCAACGAATCGTTCATAGGCTGAAGTTCGTTGAGCTGAAGTCGAAGTCGAAGTTGAAGTCGAAGTTGCTGGTTGGAGGTCGAGATAGACGGTTTCACGTGACGGGCCCGCAGCCCCGGAGCAGGCAGAAGGTTGAATAACACATTTCGATGACAAGACGAGATATAAAAAAAAGGGACCAGGAAGACGGCTAAGAAGACGCTAGAGAAGGACAAGAAAGAGACACCAGGCACCCCCAGCCTTGAATTTACAGAGTAAAAGAGGGTTTGAAGCCAGGCGAGCTTCTAAATAACTATATTCTACAGTCCGTTCTAGAAAATGGTTTCCTTTGGTGGTTAGCACAGCAAGACGAATTCTATTCTGCAGCATTCTCCGTACAGTCAAGACAAGAGGAATGCGAGAGAGGCTCGATGCCCGTCATGTCACATGGATCGGGTATTTTATACTTCAGAAAGTAGGCTATAGGCTTTGTCGACATGCATTGCGAGTTGGGGTCACCTTAGGCGACAGGCACCACTGGCATGTCTCTGCCTGCTATATGCATCACAACTTATCATATAGCGAGTATCTGTTGACCCAACACAACCCAACTATCCGGCCTAGCCGACCAGGAAGGGCGCACGGAGATACCTAGTAGTTAACAGGAATCGAAGTGAATAATTGATTGATATCTCTCAATTGCCTCCCGCCGCTTTCTCCTGCTTCTTTCTTTTCTCAATCCATGCTCGGTGCTAGGGCCACAATGCTGAAGCCAGATACGTCGACTCCCTTCCCGGTATCGCTTTGATGCTTGAGGAACGTTCGAACCCCAAGCTCGAGAGCCTTTTCACTCAACCCATCCTGGCCCTCCTCCAGCAGCCCTCGATCGATAGGGCCCTTCACCCCGCCCTCCAAATCCCACAGATGGCCGTCTGACCCCTTGACGAAGCAGATATAATGGAAACCACACTTGTCATCAGGAGCTGGAACGGTGCTGTCCCCTCGTCTCGCAGCTGAGCGATGTGCTCGTTCCAGCAAGGGTGAATCGTACAGCAACTGAGCACGCTCCGTAGGAGCCAGGTCCACGGCTGTCTTGAACAGTTGGTCCAGTTCAGATCCTGCGGGGATATATTCCCTTGCCTCCCCGTTGCTGATGCAGTGAATCAGAGCCATCAGACCACAGGTGTTTTTAATGGTCTGCCTGAACCACAGGACGGGCTCGTCTGGTCCCGAGCCCGTGTACTCGGGCATGTTGTCTGTGCCCATACTCTCGCGAGTACGGTAGTATGCATCGCGGGGACAGATGAAGATAAGGCCATAAACTGGCCGCGGGATGAACGCCAGCAGGTCTGGGTCATCGATGCTGTAGATATCATAGAACCCCAGCTTCGGAGACACCCCCAGTTCATGGATTAGGTGGGACATCACCTCTGGGTTGTTCTCTAACCTTGTTCACCATGGTTAGCAGGTCTCACTTCGGAAGCTAAACTGGCAATAGCAGGGCACATTTAGGAGTTTTGTGACGCCAGACAGCAAAGATAGTAGAGATAGTACCTAGGGGAACTAGAGTCTTGACTCCATCGATATACTGAATCTCCGCTGTGTCTGTCTCTGCCATGGTTGATAGTTATCCCACACGCAAACAGCGAGAGTAAACAGTCAACTTCTGCCTCAGTGGTCACTTGTTTAAGGCTTGATGCAAGGTATCTCTTTGTATCTGCATCAAGTAGAGGGAGAAAAAGGGCTTATTAAGTACTCTTGTTTGTTATTTGAGGCCCCAAAGAAGCCACGAAGAAGTTATGAAGTTGACGATGACGCTCTCGTGCTGCCTGGAGTGGGTTGTGACGAGAGGCATACCATTATTACGCCATAATTCAGTGAGGCCAATGCTTAGTTAGCCGAAATATATACGAATATGGTATCAATATTACTTACTAAGCCATCCTTCCGCTGAAACAGCCGGCAAAGATGCATCAATTCAACAACAACAACAACGCTCAAGAATTATATAACTATTATCAGAGGAACTGATAGGTCGAGCATGGCTGAGAGGCCAAGTGAGATGCCAAGTCAACGGCGCTGCTGTTATTTCCAGAATAAAATTTGCTGGGTTTGACTTAGAAGAACATTTAGTTACTTTTACCTGTCAGAGCCGATGGACGACGATGAAATGCAATCAAGTAAATATTTCGGATGAATATTCATTCATCGATCGTTTGACTGTTATAGATAGGGCTCCCCTTACTGGAAATTGAATGCTGAAAGTCCCAGGCATTTCTGGTGATGCTACAAGGGACTTGGAAGGCTCATATACGAAGACCAATCAACTCCTTCACTACACGAAAGGTCAAGATATAACATCTCATCTCAAGGTCATATGTACACCAGATACAATACGATGATCTTTAGGTCTGCCTGAGTTATGAGATGACATTCGGCCTCTGTTAGCGGCACATACAACTCGGGCAAATGAGGACGCAGGGAAATCTGATAGGCCTCGGTAGTTAGTTTCAGGCACGACTTCTAGTGCAAAGCAACATTCATATAAAAAGCTGCCACCGCGGGAACCAACATCGCCCAAAAAAATCAAGCCAATTACTCCATTATACAGATAAAAAAGGGTGAAAAAAAGACATGTCAGACACCTCTTCACAGCGTACTCTACCGTCTCCTCCTTTCTACGCTGTAGAGGGCGTCAACAACCTCAGAGATGTCGGTGGTTACACCGTCTCCCCCACCACTTCAGTACGGCGCAACTTCATATACCGGTCTGCGCATCTATCAAGCGTAACACCCACGGGAGCAAAGACTCTTGTCGATGAGTTGGGCATATCATACATCTATGACTTCCGCTCCGAAGTCGAAATAGCCCGGTATCCGCTCGTAGACATACCAGGCACCACATTCACTCATGTGCCCGTGTTCAAGGACCAGGACGCAAGCCCAGCCAACCTGGCGTTAAGATACAAAGATTACGCCGCCGACGAGGGGCCCGCGGGCTTTATACGTGCGTATAAAGATATTCTCGTCAGCGGAGCAAAGTTTGCATATAAGGTTGTTTTCGAACATATTCGAGACCAGCCTACGCAGTCGTTGCTGTTCCACTGTACGGCCGGGAAGGATAGGACGGGTGTGTTTGCCGCGCTGGTGCTGAGGCTTGCGGGCGTGTTGGATAATGAAGTTATTGGCAAAGAGTACGAGCTTACAGAGGCTGGACTGGACGGGCTTCGGGAGGAGTTTATTCAGAAGTTGCTTCAGCATCCTTCTGTTGGCGGGGATCGCGATGCGGCGGTGAGAATGACGAGTGCAAAGGCTGCTGCTATCATTGGGACGCTTGAATGGTTGGACAATGAGTATGGGGGTGTGGAAGGGTATATGAGGAAAGAGATTGGGTTTAATGATGAGGATATCCGGCGGATCAAGAAGAATATCATTGTCGAAGGATCTGGAGTTTGCCTGAACTGATCCAAGGAAGCCATGCGCTGGGTGGTTTCATGCTATCCACTACTATACATATGTTTTTGCACACGAGGTTACGAATTTTTTCACGTCAAGAGGCTAGAGTATATAATATAGAAAATACACCGCTATAGATCATCAATGAATAAACTGCACTTTGAGAATGTCGCTGCAATCACCACTTCTCCCAGACCGTATCCGGAAGAACACCGCGCATAACATGCCAATGGCCAATGGCACCCTGGAACTGCCAATATTCAAGCTCCTTTGGCACGCTTGGTCCCAACGCATCTTCCCTACCCTCAGCGTCCCTTGCGAACGAGCCAGGGCTGAATTCGAGGCGCGGAATCAAGTTTTCCTTTCGTGAGTACGTTCCGAGGTAGTCCTCGGGCTGGGGGATCCTGAATTTGATGGTCCCAGGTGTTTTCTTGCAGAAAATGGTCATGTTAGTCAGGTCTCTTCTAGATGATGAACCAGGTAGTGGTTTGTTGTCACGGAATATTCTGCATGACGGGAAGGTGGATGTGATAGCCCGAACCACCAGGCCAGCAAGCGGCAGGGCAATATCACCGGCATAGTTCTGTTTTTATATTAGTGTTATTCTCTATATTAATCAGGGCTATTAAAACTTACGATAGCAATGACACCCTCGTCATCCAACAGGGTGTCAAGCCCTTCCATGAAATCTTGAGTAAAGAGGTCCAATGGCTCCACACCTCCAGTGAAAACATCATGGACGATATAGTCGTATTTTTGAACTGGGGTTTCATGCCTGGCACGATGGACAAACACGGCTGCATTTTCAATCAACGTGTTTACTTTCTTGGGGAACTCGAAGTAATCCATAGCAATCTGGTGCACATTTGGATCAATTTCCACAACAGTAGTGTTGATTCCATGCGCTGCAAAGGCCGAAGGAGTTGTTCCAATACCCAATCCACTAGAATAACTTGTGAGTTATTTATATCTAGACAAGAACGATATGCAGAGTGACTTACATGACTAGCGCGCTCTTCTTCGAGTCAGCCTTCTCTGGTTTATGAGAGTCCTTCTTGACAAGCCTGACAGCCTCAAGCGCAGTAAAGACAGTGAAAACCGGATCAGCTACTTTAGCATCCTTGGTCATTAGGTGTGGAAGCCATTCTCCACCCAAAAGACTGTGACCGCATCTCATCACCCTGAACTTGGCATCCGTGTTCTCCAGCACAGACAAGTATCCAGTTAAGGACTCCTGTCGGTGAAGTAGTGTATAATTGTCCGCCTTAAGAGAAGCATTGAGTAAACCCGTGTTGTAAGGTAATGGGACATGGTGGTTGAACATAGCCGTGAATAAGAGTGAAGGAATGGTGAGCATAATCCACCTGGACGGTAAGAGGATGGCCTGGGCAGCAGCAATGATGAATTGAAGGCCAATGCTGGTCAATGCAAGGCTTGTTCCGAGATAGTAGGGCATATTTTGTTCAAGCTTGGTCTTGGTAGCGTTGAAAAGAGCGTATGCAGCTATGATATTTCCTTGTTCCATGCCCTGCTTCAATCTCGGACTCAGATTCAGCTTCTGAATAAAAATCCCGGGGACAACAACCGACAAGGCAACCAGAGGCGCAAAGGTGAGTGTTTCCGTAATGATAGGCCCCAGAACCGGTCCGAGGGTATAACTGAACTTGAACAAGAAGAACTGGATGGTAGGGATGTAGAATGTGAGAATTGGAAGAGTGACCATGGGGTTGGCATATTTCTGGACCATAGAGTGAGCCAGAGACCCCACGCCTCCTGCGATCAAAGTGAGGGCATTGTGGTATTTTCCAGCAGGAGCCGAGCCGTAGATAGGAGCAAGCGTCAACTGAGATGCATAAGAATACGCTCCAGCCAGGGCTATCACGGCTGCTCCCATAGCGCCAGCAAAGAAGAGCTCTGGCAGGGACGACTTCCTCGCGACGACAGCTGCCGGCCTGCGGACAGCTCCCCTGGCTGCTGGAGTCGAGGCGGCAGGCTGAATCTTGTCAGCAGCCGGCTTCGAAGGCGTCGACTTTGGTTTCGCCATGGTGGAATGGTATATGTATATGTGTTCCAAAAGCCGCCGTGTTTCAAAGTTTTGTTGACCTGGCCTTACCAACCTAACGCTCTAACAGAGAGAAAAGGAACCAGCCGGACAAGTCTATGTACCAAAACCCCAAGACACAGGCTACACCGTCACCATGAGCATGTCTTGATAAAAGAACGACCCTCAATGCCTTCAGCTTGGTGTTATGTTGGAATCCGTCGCGGCGTCGAAGTTGACGTGAAGAAGTGTTACTGTTGGCTGGATCGGGCGATGGAGCACGCTGCTTTAACCCCACCTTTAGCCGCGTTGCGTGGGGAAAACCCGAAGACAGCCGAGATTGGCCCAAGCGTCCTTAAAGTGGCAAGACTTGTCGCCGAGTTGAGATATCACAGAGAATATAAAGAAGAAAATTGAAGGTCGAAGACAGACGATGATAGTTGGAAGAAGAAGAAGACGGAGCAGATGGTGGTAAAAAGATACAGATGATGGTATTGAGGACTGTAGACCCGAGTAACTAATGGCGTTGTGTCAACTGAGTATATATGTTAGCCATACGGAGTATATCCAGGAGGTAATGTAACAAGAAGCTTGAATCTTGATATCTCCATGGTAAGCGCATTGAAGCCTTCTGAATGCCCCATATTGATCGGCCATTCACGTCTATTGCTCGATTATTGGGAATGTTTTGACACTAAAAGTTGTTAGCTTGGAGGCTCAAATCTGACATCACTATGCTTGGCGTTTTATACTGGCCTAACTAACTAAACATGCAGGACTATCAAAATATCAGATATCCAAACGCTCTGATACCCCATAGCTACACCGTATGTAAATGATCAAAAGATTATACGATGCCATTATTCCCCATGACCTCAGACAAAGGGCGAGATATAACCCAAGACCAGAAATATATACCCACATCCCGCCCGCAGCCCAAGAACCCGCCAGCGTCGATACAAATAAAAAACAGACGCAAGCGATATCTAGAGCTACATCCCGAATACTTCTCCCCAGCACTAGAACTAGCAGGTACCTACACCCTCATAGCCAGTTCTACACATCCATCTAACAATCGCTAGACCCCCTTCTCTATGACCGTCTAATACGCCGGTTCCAGACGGCGAGCGAGCGCGAAGCCGAAGGCCGGCTAAAAGGCCACTCCGGCACTCTCGAAGCAGATCTAGAACGCGCAGAAGCCAAAATGGAAGCTCTTGCCAACCCCGACCCGGACTCACTATTATCGTACAGCCGTGGGCCGAACGGTGAGATTCTAGCCGAAGACGCAGATGAGATACCCTCTTCCAAAGCCGAGGGGCAAGAGCGATGGCGGTACGAGATGGAAATGAGATTCGTGAAGGGTGCAGACGACCAGTTTGAGTATGGCGTTGTAGATGAGTGTGAGGAGTACGATGATCTGAGCGAGGAGCAAGAACGGTATTTCGACGAGGAGGAGCCGGAGTGGATTGTTGATGATGAGGGGGAAGAAGAAGGAGGAGGAGGAGACAGGGAGTTGAAGGGGGAGACGGGGGTTCAGGATTTTTAGATCTGACTGGACGGACGGGATGGTGACGGGGGTGGTCTGGATGTTCTGTGGACGGGCGGGATGGATTTTCAATCGGGCTGAGAGGGCCGGGGAGAGGGATGCGGTGCAGTTCATGCTGGTCATGTATCACTGCATCGTGGATGGCGGACGGGCGGTCGAGGGTGGGTGTGTCAGTCGTGCGAACCAGCGGGATACAGTTCTGCACACTGCAGATGACATGCATTCGTGCATATATGCATTATCAACGGCTATTCACGATATCGACGTCGGTCTCTGGTACGCAAACCCCGAGACCAAAAAAAAGACATACCATGCAAGTCACACTGACTCATACATACCTTCAAGGATACGAGAATACAGCTGGTTATCTAGTTATACACAAGGCAAAGGAAAGCATCTGGAAAAGAAAAGAAAAAGCATTTCATTTCCAATTTTAGGTGGTTTTATCTGTCTGTCCTATCCGATAGAGACGCTATGTTCTCAAAGCTTTGCAAACTGTGCCATGACTGACTTTGACCGACGACCGACTGGAGTCCCATGCTGTAACATATTCAACGTAACTGGATCCTCGAAACTGGAACTGAAACTGGGACTGCAAACTGGAGTTGACATCTGCAAGTGAATAAGGGAAAAAAAAAAAAAACGGCCGTATACATCAAAGTAAAAAAAGCAAATATCGCATCCCTGGCCATGAAGGCAATAAAGTAAACAAGGAATAATGAATACATAGGAGGAAGTCAAGTAAAAGAACGGGATTAGGTAGAGCAGATGATCGCATATGTAGATAAAAATGAAAACTCCTCCATTACAAGAAACGTAAATTGAGAAATGAGAACATGATATGTGAACGATAATGCTTTCCGGCCCAATCAACCAATCAATCAATAAGTCAGTCAGTCAGGGCATGAAGATGAATGAAACTGAAGATCAAGACCACAATATAGGGGAGTTGAAAGGGAACATAACGAATGGTATCACGACAGACTTGGTACGGTATGAAATGGTATGGTATATGAATGAATGATAAAATAGGAGAAAAAAAAACAAACTCGTAAGAAAATAATTTTGGGTTTCGAAGTGAAATGGGGGGTGGATCATTCGAAGGCTGGTGCCGGTGGGTATGGTATGATGGTGAAGTATGTATAGGAATGCATGGGATATCAACATGGGTGAAGATAAGACATAACATAGAAGTGAACAGGTTCAAGGAGGCGCAGCTCCCACGGGAACACCGTTCCGCTGGCTGTTCTTCCAAGTTTGCGGGCTCGTAGAGCCATTTGCACTTCCGTTTTGCGCCTTGGAGGCTACAGGTAATCTTCTCGTAGCCACAGGTGTGGGTGAAGAAGATGCAGGAGAAACGGCAGTTCCAACGGGCGTTGACAAACCGCCGTCGGCCCTCGGGGCAATAGTGGTGGTGGTGGAGCTGACCGTTGAGGAATCGTCTGTCCCGTCTGCGAAGGTGGTAGATGGTGGCGCGGCCCGTGATTTAGATTGAAGATTGCCATTGCTCGATTTTGCCAAAAGTGACTTTATAGGGTTAAGTTTTCGAGGAGTGGCGTCTGAAGGTGTTAGAGCTGGGCCGGCGTTTTCTTTGCCCTTTCTGATGGTGGCGGCAATGGTAGAATCGCTGTTTAGGTCTGAGAAGCCACGCCATTTGCGCCAGCCTTCAAAGTCAATTAGGGCTTGCATGCAGCCCCATTCCGTTACTTTTTGCTCGAGCCAGACGATGTTTACAGGCTGGGTTGTGTTATGTTAGCTCTATTGTCTTGTAGGATATAGCTTTAAAAGGCGAAGATATGGGACATACCTTAGTTAGGAAGTCATTGCATCCTGCGGCCAGGGCTTCATGCCTGTCACTCTGCAAGCTGCTTGCCGTCAAGGCAACGATGATGACAGGGCTCTTGAACTGGTTCTCTTTGTTTAAGAGATCCTCGGGCTTGACTTCGTCTTCAGGGTTTGACTCGGAGGATGGAGTCTCCGCGACGGAAGGCGAAGTAGGCGTCGACCCAACCATGGATGCAGAGTAGGACGGCCCAGCCGAACGCTGGAACACACCAATATTATTGACCCGTTCCAACCGTCTGATTTCACGTGTGGCTTCTAGGCCACTCATGACGGGCAATTGGATATCCATGAGCACGAGATGGAAGCCTCCTTCTCGCCACTTGTTGACTGCTTCGCGGCCGTTCATAGCGGTCTGCCAGCGGACCTTGAGACGTTTCATGAAGGCCTCGAGCAGTTTTAGGTTGATGGTGTTATCCTCGACAATGAGGACATTGATCGGGGGTATAGCACCGTCGAGTAAGGAGGTTGGAAGCGGGTTCGAGTTGGTGCTGCTGTTCTTGTTCAGCTTTTCAAGGCCCTTGGGACGAGGGGAGGCGACGCGAGAAGGAGGGGAGACGGATTTGGGAGCTGGTTCTGAAGGGAGAGCGGGCGGAGTTGCTGCAGAAGGGGGTGATGAGGCGGTAGGTACGCCGTTGGCTGGTGGATGAGGATTCACTGAGTCTACATATGTGAATCCGTTAATATCGAGGATGTATAGGAAAATAAAGAAACAAATAAAAATAAAAAAAAAAATAGATAAAAAAAATAATATTTTGAAATACGTACCATTTGAGGGTGATGGGAGAGAGCCTGGCCCCTGAGAGCCGGCGTATTGGTGATAGCTGCTTCGATGTTGTGGCTGCTGCCATGGCCCACGTACTCCTGGTGAAGGGATGGGCGGCACCTGGCCGGTATTGATGACCTGCATGGAATTTGGATGGGGAGAGCCCATGGAGTCCTTGAGAGTAGCACTGTTAGGAGTAATCATATGCATGGGCGGAAAGTAGCCGCCTTGTTGGTCCATGCCCCGGGAGTCGTCTGTATGGGCATAGGGGGTAAGAGGAGAGGCCTTTGGAGTCCGTCGTGGAGGCACCTCGATGATGAGGGCTTCATCTATCGTCTGCCCGCCGGGGTAAAAATGGTCGAGTGTGCGAGTAAGCGGCTCCTCGGGCCCCAGGACTCGTTCCAGCTGGCCGTGTCTGCTAGATGGCTCTCGCTGGATGAGCCTGATGACGATATCTGGAGAGTCGATGGTTCGGCCGAGGGAGTTGGCGTATTTCTTGAGGATGGAGTCACGGAGGTCATCGACCAGGTCTTCCTCGGTGACCAGGACGAGGGTGGGAGACGAGCCGGGCCGTTTGACCCAGACCTTGCGGTTGATCATGTCGAACTGGATGGCGGGCGTAGAACGGGGGAAATACTCGGCACCACTGGTGTATGGTGGCTCAAGCAGGGTGTTTATGAGCCGCTGCTGCGACGCGGGGACGAGAGACTGCCTCCTGACGGCAAGAGAAGGTCGTCGAGGCCCCTTTGGCAGCTGCTCGGGTATCTGGGGGCTTCTCCCAGGCGCAGCAGCTGAGACGGGCGATGCTGATATCGGGGATGTGGTAGGGGACTGCAGGCCTTGATGGGGGTCGTCGAAAAGCGAGGCAGCGGCAGCGGCAGCAGTAGTAATAGTGTTTAGCTGTCGAGCCGAGCCACCGACACTCCCTCGACGGCTAAACTGGCGCTGGATCCGGCCCTGGAGCTGTGCAGGCGAAGGGTCTCGGCCGTGCTGCTGCTGTGAGTTTGGTGACGGTGCGAAGGCAAAGTCGTCGCAGCGTCGGGCGTGATTCCCGTTGTCGACGCTGACTAGTCTCGCGCGAGGCAGAGGCGGGTTCGAGGTAGCAGGGGACTCGATCAGCGGCGAGGGGACCTGTCTAGCGGCGGGAGCAGACCGTACAGCCGTAGCAATTGGCTGTCCCGGTGGGTGCTGTGGATGCTGCAGGTGTTGCAGATGCTGCTGCTGCGACGGACTAGAGAGCGAGGGAGCTCTGTTGGGCCGCGAATCCACGCCCAATCTGTGGCCCTCCGGTCGAGGAGTGCGCCGGGCCCTGGTCGCCGTAGCAGCTGCAGCTGTAGACGTCGTAGATGTCGTAGATGCTGCTGTAGCTGGTGGTGCTGGCGCTGGCGTAGGAGTCGTAGAGGTCGTGGATGTGGTGGTGGAGGCACTCGGCAGCTGGTCGGGCAGCGAGGTCCAGGGCGACAGGCGCGGCGTCGAGTCGCTGTCGACAGCGTCGTCCAAGGCCTGCTCGTCTGCTCTGCTCGCGGTCTTGAGGTCCTCCTTCTTGTCCTTCTGGCTGGCGGGCGCGGCGGCAGCGGTGGTGATGCTGTTGGCGGCGCTGGCGGTCGCTGAGGTCGACGTTGCTGCTGGGTCGGCGGCGGCGGCGGCGGCGGTCTTGGCGGACGAGGAAGAGGACGACGACGGGCGACGCAGCAGCGCAGCCAGACGGGAGAAGCGACGCTCTTTTTCCGCCGGCATCGTCTCAGCAGCCACAGGCATACCCGGTGCAGGAGGGTGACGGGACAGGTCGAGGACGGTAGAGACGGTCAGCAGCAGTCTAGGAGACGGGCATCGCGCAGGCAGGCGGCATGGCCGGGGGAGCTCAGGGGGGGGGGCGCGCAGGCAGTTGAGTTGACAGACAAACAGGCAGAGAGCGAGAGCGAGAGACGGAGACGGAGACGGAGACGGGAGAGACAGAGATAGGGACAGTAAGGTTCTTGTTTTAATAGCTGGATTCTGTTATATATGACACTTCTCCGAGCTCGACGGACGCTGACGACGGCAGGACAGGGCTTGATATGCAGCCAGACGCGGCGTCAGACGAACTGATCACAGAACAGACAAGCAAGCAAGCAAGCAGAGCAAGCAGAACGCAAAAGACCGAGTTTATAGCAGCGCCAGAAATGACATGTAGAGCAAGAGACGAGCAGAGACGAGCCGGCAGAGGCAGAAGAGAGCCCAGCACAGGGCAACAGGAGGACGGCAGCAGCAGGGATGGGGCCGGCGTTGGCGTCCATGGGGGATTATGTTTCACTCGCCCCCAGGCATATTATATTATTGCCAATGAGATAAGTTACAAGGCCAGCAAGCCCAGGGCTTGGTTTCTTTTTGACTAAGTCACGGTCACTAACTTGCCCTGCTTTTTTTTGCTCTTACTTCTCTACGGGCGAGGGCAAGGACGAGGCTGGGCAGGCGAGAAAAAGGAAGAGTCGAGATGCGTGGACTGCCCAGGTTCGTCTCGTCCCATGCAGCCACCAGATCGGGGCGTAGGTTGATCCGCGCAGGGATCCAAGATGGGACTTGTGGACGGTGACCAGGCAGATGATATGGTTATTCTGAAGCAAAAGAGAGACGATTATACGAAACGGAGCTGAGAGAGTTGAGCTTCTGGTCAATGTCTCACGGGCCGGCCCGTCTCCCCCCTTCCCCCTGATACATATATTATTTATATGAACGGTCAGGTTGCGCGGCCAGAGAACAGAACCAGAGACACGATTACGATGAACAAGCAGGGGGACAAAAAGAAACGAAAACGACGAATAACTAGGTTGGTTGTTTGGGTCTGGGTCCCGCGGCTGCTGATAACTACTAGCCGGCCTGGTTACATATATGCTGCGTGTCAGGGACGGGACAACTGTCAACCACACTACTGTCTATCATGACTAGTTATCGTGACCGACTTCGTCTGCTGAAGCCGGTCTTCTTCTTCTTCTTCTTCTTCTTCTTCCTCTTTGCCTGACTCGCCTCGCTTACAAGCTTTCTGGTTCCTGGGCCGTCATCGATTAGTTAGTGCCTAACACATGGCTGGTGGCTTGACCTGCTTCTTCGGACCTGTCAGCTTGTTCCTGGGGAGGCAAAGTCTGGAGTTCGAATGTGATGAATAGCTTCAATATTCACAACGTTTTGAAAGGCGGCTATGCTCTCGTGTCATCCAGGGAGAAAAGAAAAAAAAGAAGCAGCAGACTATTGACTGTTTTTAAGGAGTAAGAAAAAGTGAATCTACTATTCGATAGATAGGATCGGGCATCTTCTTGTTTGTTACTCGGTTTTTTTCTCTTCATTAGCCGGCTTCTCCGCCTCCGTCTATAGGAGGTCCCTGATATATCCCAAGAGAATGGAATCAAGGAAGCAGGGGTGAGGCGGGCGAGCGTACATATAAGGCATCCATGCATATACCGACATCCACAGCTCTGTGCAAAGCGGAGGAAGGAGATAAAATTAACTGGATCTCAGATCTCTCTTTTATTTATTGAAAAGCTGCCTTACCTACTCTAAAATATCACGATAGTAACAGGTAGAATTGAAAGGCCGAAAAAAAGGGGGGTAAAAAGTCATAGACATAGAACGGGGTGAAGGCCGGGTCGAAGGATTGTAAAACGTACATATCAAGCACTTTCGAAGGTAGAAAAGTAGAAGACAAAAAAAAAGGGGCGTTGAAAAAAAGGGTTTCTTGAATCCTTTTATGTGTTCTCATGAGAAGCGAAGAGAAGTAGACAAGGTAAGGCAAGGATGGTTGCAAAATTGTACAAAGGAAGTAGAAGGAGAGAAAAGAAGAGAGACATGGCATTACAAGAGGAAGAAGAGAAAACAACAGTCAAGAACCGCCCCCTGAATTGCGCCGTAGAGGTGAAAATGAAGAAAGAGACGAGAAGAACAAGGCAGGCCAAAGGGTATCAGATCCATCAGTGTACATACCATATTTCACCAAGATGGAGCTAGAGGGAGGGTAGACAGGCGGAGACACAACCGCCTTTCCCTCCCTATCATGACGACAAACGAGCAAACAAACTAAACCAAGCAATACAATTTTTTTTGTAGGATAGGCGAGGATGATGGTTGATTTGAGACGAGGTGTGTTTTCTGGTTAGAGAAGGATGAGATAGTTCGACGGTGCAATTCCCGTCTCACCCGTCGACTTCTTCGCCTGCCACCATCGCCCGCTGACGTCCGAAACCTCGAGAATCTCATGTTTTGTGAAACTGATCTCGTTCGCGTCATCTGGGTTGGCTTCATACGAATATATCGCCTTGGCACGGTAGGGGTACTCCGTCGGCTGTCCTACCTCGCCTGTCTCACCGCCGACAGTGCTAGCGTTGGTCTGCGAGCCGAGGACAGGCTGGAGGCCCGTTGTGCTGGCGGCGGCAGGGTTGAATCCAGTCATGGGCGAGGAGGTTTCGAACCCGCTGAGAGGTGCGGACGAGTACATGTGTGGGTGGGCGGAGGAGACAGTTGTTTCGGGACGGGGCGTGTAGCTGTGAGAGATGGGCTTGCTGTTGCGGTAGCTGTGTGGCTGTTCCTTGTGAGGCGCAAACGAGTCAATGTACGCCCTAGGCCCTGACTGGGAGGTTGAGCCGAAGTAGAAGATCCAGACAATCTGTCAGATAAGACATGTTAGTGGTGGGGGTTGTCCGTAGATATAACTGTACAACTCCTTTTTAAAGGCAGCGGCAGTACATACGTCTGTCATGGCGAGGAGGATGAGACCGGCGCCGGCAGACTGTCTGGCGCCCTGCTTGCTGGTGACCAGGCTATCGAGGGTAAATGTAGTGCAGACAAGGCCGGCAGCAGCGTATCCAACAACCTATGCCCCCCCCCCCGTCAGTCAGTATTTCATCGTTACAACGCCGGCACGTCAGAGAGCAAGGTATAACCCACCGCCGTGCCGTAGATGTGGCTGGTATTCGAGCCCATCACGACCGCAACGCCGACCAGGACGCAGAGCTGGTATGCAATCGACCACCAGAAGAAGTTTGGGACCACCTCCTTCGTATGGGCGATGCTGCACGAGACAACGCCGATGATCCACGCCAGCTACAAAAGAGGTCAGCTATCATTCAATGGGAGGAGGGACAGGACCCAAGCAAAGGGCGACAAGGTGGTCCGTACCATGCCTATCGATACGGTTGCCAGCGCAAAGGGGTCGCCGACCAGGTTGCTCATCTGGAAGCGCGCCATCGTAGCAGCAGTTGGCCTTGATCTAGATACAGATAATTCGAGACGGTGACAGGGACGGCACGCGAGACCATCCACGGCTTCGCATGCAGCGTACTCTCTCTATCTATCAACGTCGGCGTTCGACTGTATCTGCACTGTTTGCTGACACCCGGCGAGGCTTGCTTGGGGTTTCTTGCTTGCTGTGGCAGTCTGTAGAGTGTTGGACGTGTATGACGGCAGCCCTTCGACTTCTCGACTGCGTCTTCACTGCGGAACGAGTGAAGGAGGTATCCTGTATCGGCGTATCTACCGTCCTGGTGAGTTGGAGCGATCTTCCCGGCGCTGCAAGGAGGGTGAAAGTAGTCGTCAGCGCCTGGCTGGGGGATTTTCGGCGAAGGCAGAGGTTGGAAAAAAGGGGGTTCAAGACGGGCGACGGCGAGGAGGGCGGGAGGTTGCCAGAACGAACGAAAGAAAACAAGGACGAGAAAGCGAGAGTGAAGACGCCGCAGGAGAAGAAGAGGAGGAGGAGGAGGAAGAGGGAGAGGATGAAGTCGAGAATGACGGGTCGAGACGAAGAGATGGAGATGAAGATAAAAAAAGCGACTTTCAGGAGGAGGAAAAAGCAACGAAAAGGCGTTTTTTTAGTCTTACTTAAGCCGCTTTTTATGGCTTGAACTTTTTATATTAATAGCAATTAAGTAGAGGGAACAAGAGACGCAGGACGCTGTGATGAGAAGATAGAATGCAGATGTAGAAGACGGAGAGAAGACTGGCAGAAGGTCGCTGTCTGTCCTACGCCACTGGCAGGGCCGTCTCCTGCTTCTGTGGCCGTTCTGCCTGTCTGTCTGGCCCGCCGGTCTTTGTTTCGCGCGCGCCAAGTTGGCCTGCAAGAGGCTCGCTGGCTTGCTGGCCTGTGGAGTTGGGGCAGTTTCAGGCCAGTGTGCTTGACGATCGATGCCGCCGGGCGGGTTTGAAGGAGAGGCGTTGCTGTCAATGTAAATGCTGGTGAATGGTGTTGTTGCTTGTTGCTGTTTGTGAAGTCCCTTTAGATGCTCTCCCTGCCAATGGACCGTAAGGTGACTCTGGCTTCTGAGGGCCGTACGTAACCCCCTGAAGACCGGGGGGGTGTTTGTGTATATGTATCAGGCAAGGGAGGACAATTAAGAAACTCCGAACGGCTTGATGGGGATCCATGTTTGAAGTCTGGACGAGTGGCCATCGCGGGCTCCACGAGTTCTGTCGTGCGTCCTCCTGTTTCACCTGGTTGAAGCACGCCAGCCAACTGGTTCCCAGGCGTCGATGGGGAGCCTCAGTAGTTAGTTAGTTAGCATCAACGGCGAAGAGTCCACCGCCTCTCAACGCTATGTCTTTACCCATTCTTCAAACAGGTAACCCTCTCTTGGTCCTTAATCCGCTGGTCTGGCCTGGCCTGGCGCCCGGAGCTATGCCGCTTATTCACCGTTTATCTGTGGACAGTAACAGTTAACCTAGTAGAGCCCCGGGGAGGGACGGTTGAACGCTGAGGCTAGTCCCTCTCTCTCGCCTTCTCCTCCCTCCTCACCCCTCTCTCAACCATCTTCATCCTCTCCTCCCATTCCCCCCATACCTCTCCGCCGCCTACAACGCCAACTTCAACCCACCGCTTCATCAACAGTGTACTTTGAACCCTCAGCTCGGCAATTTCCTCCGCCTGACGTCTCTGTGTCTCCAGCGCTCGGTCAATTCGGGGCTGCAGCTCGACAAGGGCCGTAGAAGCGCTGGCAGGAGGGATGGGAAGGTCCTGTAGAGAGCTGAGCCGGGATGCTGTTTCTGGGAACGCAGTGGCGTATGAAAGCACGATGGAAGCTAGAGTTGCTGGTGTCATTGTGGCAGGCGGTGTGTGTGTTGACGCAGACTGGAAAAGGTCGGGATATCGCGAGTCTAGCTCCTGTTAGAGACGTATAAACAAAGTATATCGTAGGCAATGGCATGTGTACATAGCTTGAGCACATCTTGGACAGCCGGGACTCGTGCGGAGAGCCGTCTGAGGCCATGCTCGAGCTCGGCTAGCCGGGCAGAGACTGTTTCTCGCACTGAAGCTGGCGGTTCGGAGGCCTGCTCTGGCTCGCCGGCCCAGTTCGTCTGGCCGGTCAGCAGGAACTCAATGCGTCGAAGGCGAGTCTCGAGCAGCTCGAGCGTGTCTGCAGCAGTGTTCGTAGTGTATTCTGTCTCCATCCTAGCTATCCTCTGAAGCTCTCGTGCGTTGTTGTTGCCGCAGTTGTTGTAGTTGTTGTAGTTTGCAGGTTGTCGATGTTGTTTGACGTCAGTTTTTGCTTGCCAGGAACCGAACCTTAACCCGATTAGGAAGAACTCAACACTGATACTGTCAGGCACGAAAAGAAGAGAGGATGGATTTGAAAAATACAGGCGAAGAGAATATGGAGGATATTATTATGACTACGCTGTTGAGGCTGCGCTTGTCTCTACGTCAACCTGCATACTATCCTCGTCGTGCTCGTTCTCCTCCGTGATCTGGTCCATCAAGGTCCCCTGGCCACCAGCACCACCTCGCTGTCGAGGCAGCCCCGGCGGAGGCATGATGCTCGCACTGTGCTGTCCTGCTCGTTCTTGCATCTCTTGTCCCTTGACGTCTGTCTTCTCACCGGTCTCCTCCTCGCCATCGTTAGTCATATCCTCCATCAGAAGGTCCTCCTGTTTGGCCGTGTTCGTCTTTCCTTCATATTCGGCAGTAAACTCTGCAAGCTCCTGCTCGAACAATTCATTGTCCTTGTCGATAAAGTTCTATGTCCAGAGTTAGAACTGATTCCGACATCTTAATGAATATATACACACCTTTAATGGTTCGGGAAGCTCCCCGGCCTCGAAGCTCATGGCTTCTTCGTTGGCATAAACCAAAACAACACTCGAAGATTCCTCCTTTGCCGCATGGAGCACTTCAATCTCTCGCACGGGGCACGCCGTGTACCCAACGATATCCACGTTATCGGCTACCGTAGCCCTAGACACTGGCTTGCTACTGGTCGGTCCGGACGCGGACGGTTCAATCTGATTAGACGGTTTCAGGCTCGCAGATCTGGTGCTGCCGACTTTCGCATCATCAACTGAGAAGCTGAACCTCCACCACTGCCATTGCTCGGTTGCTGGTACGTCGGGAACATCGTCCGTCATCAGATCCAATTCCGGCTTCCGCGGTCTCAGCACATAAAATATGTGTGGCTCCGTGCATACTCCGCGAAGGGTATACTTATGTCTTGGTGATTCCTCTGCAGACGAAGCCTGGCCAGTAAAGCAGTTGGATAACTGCCGGAGACTCTCAATGGCTTGCGTCTTTCTTTCTTCCAGCTCTGGGGGATTCTTGTATTAGCATGCCATGCACTATCAAATGCCCAGTACTAAGACTCACCTTGTATTTTATGGGTAATCTGCTCCGTTAATGTCTTCAACTTCTCAATTAAATCGACCACATCCTCTTGCGTGGTAGACGGAGCTCCATCGACCTGGTATGGCCCAGTCAGAGCCACCCGAGATCCAGCAAGCACTTTCTGGACTAACGTATCAACAGAGATGCTTCCCCTCTTAGATAGATATCGATCAACCATCGCCCCCAACTTCTCCAGCTCAACGTCAACAACAACACGGCGTTTCCTAAGCTCCACTGCAAACTCCTTGCAATGCTTCATGTACCGGTCAGGATACCAAACAGAAGGAACCTTCAAATCAATCCTGTTGCCGTCGTGATTGGTAATCCGCATAGTAAAAACAGGTGCAACCTCTTCTAGCCAGATATCGTCCAACTCCTTACCAGGCATATCACACCATATATGTCCATCTAGGAGGTCATATAGTGTCTTTCCAGAGGTCCTATCAATCGAAAGGTCTAGCAATGAGAATGGTTCATTGGCACATTCGTCCTCCGAAAGCGCCTGTTTGACACCTCTAGAGTAAAATGTTTTCTGGGGCAATTCCCCTTCCGCGGGGGGCGAGATTTCCTCCCAAAGTTTTAAAAACGTAGCTATTCTGTCCTCACCTCCCCAACACTTTAGAGAGGGAAGACCAGATAGGACATCTGCGCTTCCAAAGGCTCGCTGAGAACGGTCCAGAAAAGCCATTAGCCGTTGAGTCTCATGCACTGCATCCTCCCATGGTGCTTCTGCTTGATCAAGAGTAGTCAAAGCCGGCTGTCCATTCCACCATTGGCTGTCATTGCCATAATCTAGAGCCACCCTATCTCTCCAAAGGAGCTCTTCCCTGGCTATGGGTATAGAGTGCAGAATAGTCAGAAAGGCAGGGAAATGGTCTGCCTCCGGTCCCGGTCGAAGAAATCGAGGCGTGTCGTCTATCCGCCGTCTAAGCTCTGGGTCCGGATCAATAGATATCTCCCTAGAGACATTACTAGGTAGCGTCAAGGCCCACAGCTCAGTATCATAGTATTCCTTATTCGCAGGACCAAACTGCGCACCTTCCGCCGCAGTGACCCCCGATTCCTGTTCTCCAGACGCTATGTTGTGCCCAAGTGACGCAGTTATCGCATGCTGCATCTCGTGCTCCTCGCGTTCCGCCAACGTAAGGCCATCAGTGTTCATATCGTCCGCTAATTTCCCAAGACCGGTCTCCCTGTAAGCGCAAGCTACGTAACTACTAAAACAGGGACAGTTGCAAGAAGCTCACAGTAATTCGGGTTTCCTAAGGTGTTCGGCGTCTGGGTCGTAGACTCTACATTCTTCTTCTCACGGATACCGACTCGTGACGGCGGACGGGACGGGGCTGACAAGCCACCAACATCTATACGGTCGATATCAAACGATCCTCGAACAAGTCAGAACAAATGGACACTAGCCGGGGGGTTGAATAAGTGTCCATTGAAGCATTGATCACTAATCGAGGAAGCGGTGCATGCTTACTCTGGGGAGTTGGGCTGTGGAAATCATGGGCGAGGGGAGTGGGTAGAATTTCCTCGACCTATCCATGCATTCCTTGTTAGTCTTCTTGTCTGTCTGTTGAGGAATAAGCAGTCCTGCTCACCGGCGGTAAAGGGTCGTTTGGGTTTTCAAAGTAAGCATTGATAGCTCTATGAGAGTCGCCATTATTGTGCTATAATTCGTACAATGAAGCTGTTAGCAGGCTGCATTATTTTAAGCTAGGGGAGGACCAGGTAGATGAGGGGATCGGAAGGTACCTGGAGAAAGGCAATCGCCCGTTCCCTGGAGGCGTTGGTGAACGAGACGAAGGCCTCAATCGCCTCGTCTGTTATCTCCGGCACCATCTCTGCCTCGCACGCTGTCTTGCTTGCTTTTTGGATGTGGTGAAGCCGCGAAGCCAAAGCTGAAGATGCAGCAAGCAGGTTGATTAACTTATAGATCGAGATCGTCGACAAGAAAAGTCACGGGGGCGGCCGCATTCGTCATCTTCCCGCCTCCGCCGCTTTCAAGCTGCCAAACCTTCAACTCTCACAACGTGAATGACGTCGAGAGGTGAGATACCTTACTATCATCGCGATGGTATTGACAGGTAGCATGGGCGGCCTGCTTAAAGAACATTGCTATACTCTCTAAGATGGCTTCAGTGGCTTTTATCTTTGCTCTCTGTCGCTTGCAAAAGCTGCTCGTATAGATCTTCCTGTCTAAGAGCTCTGTACAGGTCTACAGATTACTATGCTGCCACCCCTAGTAGCAAAGGCTACCTGAAGAAGATGCCAGAATCTGATCAAACCCCATGGAAGATACCCATTTTCTTTGTTTGTTAGCTCCGGATGGATGCAGGACGTGTGTTTGAGGGAACTTCCCTGGGGTTTCCCCTCTAAGGCAGCAGAATTTTCACCTATTTAGTTATACTAAACATCATCAAACTTACAACATTGCCTCCATTACGGCGCGTCTACTTGAGTCACTTCAGTGCTGATAGGCTCGAAACAAGATGGCTGAGCCACCAGCCAAAGATGGTCTGGAGACTCCAAACATTCTCAAAAAACTCAAAGCAGAGAGAAAGCAGCATAGTTACAGAGATCTGCTCTCGAAATGGGGAATACCTATCAATGAATCCGAACCGGATATAGCAAAACATCTTGTATCCAAAATCTTTGAAGGTATGGCGAAGAACGTGTCACTGCAACATACAGGGAAAGCTCAGGGTTCTTCTTTTGAACAAAACTACCTGAATTCACAGAGGTGCGTCCAGGTCCAAGCGTTGGTCGACATGTTGCTACCAATTGCCAGTGGCTCCATTGAAAATGATCCATCCATATCTACGCCCCTGAAGGACAGATACGAGTCACACCCAATACCTTGGTGCTATTGTTCCGACCCCTGGGATCATGGAACCCTGTTGATGCGAAATAGATGGTACAATCTCTACGAGGGGATTCCAGACTTGGAGTATATGTTGATGCTGGTGCAAGCGGACCATTTCAGAGAAATGCTATGGTATCTCGAGCCAAAGCATTGGGATTACATGGTGGCCTCCCTTCGCCAGTATAGTACCAGTATCAAGGTCTTCGCTGAAGTCATCCATCTAGATTTTAGATGGCCATTTACTACCCGAGCTAGGCAGCTTCCCATGGAGCTGGCCTATGGCTACTTTAAAGAAAAACGACTGAGTGACTACCATCCCCATACAATAGTAGTCAATGACTCCAAAGAAGAAATCTATGGTGTCGCTGGATGGTTTAGGCATACTGAGTTTTACAAAATACTTCATTCTTTGGCCTCGATAGATAGAGCTCTATCCAACGAAGCGAATAAAAATCCTCCACCGTTTTGCATGATCAACTACAGTATCGCGGATGAATGGGCATGCATTTCTTGCCTGAAACGGAAACACTTGTGTCTATGTGAATACTCAGGAGGAAAAGATAAACTTTTCTTCCGTTCATCATTCTTACAACTGATGGACTGCAACGACGGACGTGGGACTGGCGTACGGTCCCTCATCAGAATCAGCGAGGGTGTGAACCTGGGAACTTTGAGAGGGAAATTACGAGATCCGGACCCCATCGGCTGTCCCTTAACCCTGATATCAGGGGAAATGAGAGGTGTCATCACAAAAGTCAACAAGCATGATTCTGGCAACTGGACTCGTTTCTTGAATCACTCCTGTGACCCCAATTCAAGTGTTATTTTCGGTATATACCAGGGAATTCCAACAGCAACAATCGTCACAACAAAGTGCATTCAGCCAATGCAGGAGGTAACGATAGACTATGGGAAAAAATACATTGACACGGTATTCTGGATCTGCCTGTGTAAGAGCCCAACATGCAGATATTCAAACGATGATGATGAGGATGAGGAAGATGACGAGTCTCTTTTCTCAGTGACGAAAGGAAGTCCTATCGAGTACCACTGCGGGAAGGAAGGGGTTTGATGTAACTAGTTTCCACATGCTTGCTATCTGGTTAATCTTAACAATGGTCAAGTCTTCGAGATTAGTTAGTTACTACTTAGCTTAGAATGTCAATTAATAAACCACAGTACACAACCTATTATCTTTATGGCCTCCTATTATTTCTATCTGGCAAGCATACAGAGTAGTCAACTCCCCCCCTAAGGCATCCCTCAACCACAGGCACTGGCTTCGGCTATCAGGAGTGGCGCCGAGCCCCCCCTTGCCCAGGTCACTAACCAACTAAATTCTGGGGCTCTTCAGGGTCCTCCCCGCAAGTATAAATGGCTATCTGACCGTCGCTCACTCCCTCGGCTCGTTTTCTCAGGCTCGAGAACATGAGACAGTGATCGCCAGCTGTGTTATTTTCATTATTTATTCCTTATAGAGTCTTTTCCTTTCTGTTAGCGTTCGTCGTTCTCTTTCGCAGCTCGATCGTCCCTTGCATTTAACATTTAACCCCGGAGGCCGCATTTGAAGTACTTCCTAGCAGACAGTCGACTATGCGGGGAACAGCGACGCTGCCATGGCAGCTCTCCAGACGGATCGCAAGCCTACCGAGGACGAGATGGAGCTGTCGCAGCTTATACGGAGTAGCTCAGAGTCGGAAGGCGTCTGGTCAGAGCTATGCTCGAGGGCCGTCGGAGGTTTGTTAATTAGGAACTTTCCCAGCTTTCCCCTGGTTGATCGTTGAGCTGACGGAAATTCCCCTTCTCGTGCGACGCAGCCGCCGTTATTTGAGCAGACGGTCGGCGATTACTTTGCGGATACTGTGAAGAAATATGGGGAGAGGACTGCGTTAGTTTTGGTGCTATCTGTTCTATTCTGTCGTTTGGGGAGGACTGACGTTGTTCGGACCGGACAGGGTTATTTCGAGACACCAGGGCCAGAGAGTGACATATGAGGAATTGGATCAGAGAAGCAATTCGCTAGCTCGTGGACTGGCGTCTACCGGCATCAACAAGGGTGACAGAGTGGCCGTGTCATTGGGAAACGGACTAGAATATGCCATTGTGAGGACACAGTGAAGCAATATGGGAGAGACTGCGGAGCTGACCATGGATTTCATAGGCGACATATGCTCTGTTCAAACTGGGAGCAGTCCTGGTAAGTACATCTTCATTTACCCATGTTCGGTGACAGACAGCTACTGATATCATACCCAGGTCCCTCTTAATCCATCGTTCAATTTCAACCAGGTGGCATCTGCCCTCAGCCATCTGGAGGCCTCTCACTTGATCATAAGTACCGAAGTCAACCTGCCTCGAAAAGACCCTCGGTCGAACATTCCCTTGCTGCAGGAGCTTGTTCCCGATCTTCAGTCCGTCAAACTCCAGTCTACTGTCAGCTCCCTCAAACAGATCATCCTAGTCCAGAACGATGCCGGTCGAGTTGATACCTCCGCGTTAAAATGTATCACACCATATACATCGATATATTCCGAGCTTCCACAGGACATGAAGGCCCTGCCCGACCAGGGACTCTCTCCAACTGATGTTGTGAATATCCAATTCACCTCCGGGACAACATCGATGCCCAAGGCAGCATGCCTGAGCCACCGATCGATATTAAACAATGGGGTGCAAATTGGGGATAGAATGTTGCTCACGCCCAAGGATATCGTATGCTGTCCTCCGCCGCTTTTCCACTGCTTCGGATGTATCCTTGGATACATGGCAACAGCCACTCATGGATCAGCCATAGTCTTCCCAACCGAATCCTTCAACGCAGTAGCAACGTTGAAAGCTGTGCAGGAAGAGAAGTGCACGGCACTCTATGGCGTACCGACCATGTTCATAGAGGAGCTCGACCTGCTTGCAGACGGTGTCGTACCCTATGAGGGATTCCAGTACCTGCGCACTGGCATTGCAGCCGGCAGCAGCGTGCCATCTGAACTGATGAAGAAGCTACACAAGACGCTCAACCTGACTGAGCTGACAATATGCTACGGTATGACGGAGACGAGCCCCGTCTCGACGATGACTGCAACGGACGACCCGATTGAGAAGCGGCTGAACACTGTGGGCAAGTTACTTCCACATGTCGAAGCCAAAGTGGTCAATCCTCTAGATTACGATCAAATACTCCCTCTGGGCGAGAGGGGTGAGCTGGCTGTCAGCGGATATCATGTCATGAAGGAATATTGGGGAGCACCCGAGAAGACTGCCGCGGTGATGGTGCCAGACTCTGAAGGGAAGATATGGATGCATGTGAGTATAGCTTCTTTTTTGTTTTGCTTCTTCCTATTCTTGTTTACGGTCTCTAATCTATTCGTCCACAAGACCGGTGACGAAGCTTCAATGTCCGCCGACGGATACATCACCATCACCGGGCGTATCAAGGACCTGATCATCCGTGGGGGCGAGAATATTCACCCTCTTGAGGTCGAAAACTGCCTTCTCGCTCACCCCAGCGTGTCCAACGTATCTGTGCTAGGGGTCCCCGACGAGCGCTACGGGGAAGCCGTTGCCGCGTTTGTGGTAACACACGCCGAAGGGGAGGGCAAGGTGACGTCTGCAGAGATCAAGAGCTGGGTTCGGGGCAAACTGAGCCATCATCTAGGTAAGTGAGTTGAGAGTCGAGAGCTGTCGCCCATCCCATCTGCACCACCATTCCCATCCCATCCCATCCCGGACAACTTCCTTGATCCCTTCACCGAGGCCGAAAGCCAGGGCAAAAAAGCAAGTCGTCCCAACTCGATGGGATGGTCGCCGTGTCTGCCCTACCCTGCGATCATCCCGCCAAGGCCACCCTGGCAAGGCTTGATTTTGCTTATTTGAGGTTATTCGACTGTGATGTCTGTTTGTTTTTCCTCCCTTTGGCTCTTCGCTTCAAGATGTCTGGCCTCGCGATAAGCTGGTTTGGTATCTTGCTGCATTGCCAGCACATGGGCAGAGTCGTTGTTTCATAACACTCGCACAGCATATACCCAGCATGGAGCTGCGGATGGCTGATCCTATACCCGCGATTGACTGATTCCCCAAGATGGAAAATTGGTCATGACCAATTGTCGCTAGCGCGAGCAGGAGACTCCGCTTAACAGCGTCCAATTGTCTCGCTGTCATTTAATCTATCGCAAAATTACCATTCTCCCCATTATATACTTCCACGCATACGGAGTGTATATAAAGTATTCCACACCACCAGGTTGCGACGATGGCCGTGCAACCTATCCTCCAAGGTCTCCATGTGATCCATGTGGAGTCCACGAGAGTGGCAGTGGCTGGCAACTAGCGCAAGCTTCCCATGTCTGCAAGACTAGGACTGTTTCTGTCAAGCGTCCTGGCCTCGCTGCATGTCCGCTCGCCTGAATGCTTGTCACGGCACAGGGGGGCCTGCTGCTGCACCTTTTGTGTCTCCTGCCCCCTCTTTCCCCCTTTTTTTGAGTTGCATTCGTTCGCCCTCGCTCGCCATCACTGTCCATTCGGCTGTCGACCCGGTGCTACGAATCCGTGCCATTAACAGAGCTGAAGCTCTCATCTCAACGCTCAAGCCCTCTTTTCCAATTATTTTACCTTTGTCCCATCACCGGTTTATATATACACAGAGTCAAATCCTTCGAAGCCCAGTTCCCCGGAGAATTTCCCCATGGATATTTCTCTTTTCTCCCTGGGCTTTCTTTCTTTTTTCTTCGTTGCCTTAGTTACCCCATTATTCTACGACTCGCCTTTCGCCTTTCTCCCCTCTCCCTCCCGCTTCTTGCATTTTATTCTGGGCTGATTTTTCGGTCACCGGCGCTAACGACGATCACTTCCTGCTTAACAGTGCCTAAATATATCTTCTACATCGATGCCTCGGACTTCCCAAAGACCGCTAGTGGCAAGATACAGAAATTCAAGCTTCGTGAACGTGCCATTGAGCTGATCAAGGAAGGCCAGCACCAGTAAATGGTAGCGGCATCGGCAGCGGCACGGCAGCACAAACTGAGCGAACTTGAAACAAGCTCAAGCGGCAGAAAGTGAATTGGTTGCTTTTCCCGGGTATTTTGGATATCGAAACGTGGAATCGAGTGAACCTGTCACTGGGTATGGCCATGGCTTGTTTTTCTTTGGGAGCAGCATGAGAGAATTAACCACCACTATCCCGCATGCTCGCCCCCTATCTATCTGATTCATCTCCCGCTTTCGCATCCGCATCCGCATCCGCTGCCTTGACCTGACCTCCTGCCTCGTCACCCCCTCCATCGCCTCCCACCCCTGCGATATATATTGTTTATGTTTCTCCATATGTCGTCATCAAAATGGAGGCATTCTCATGTAAGTACTTAAGTACGGGTGCACTATTGAGTATTTAAATGGGGCACCATAGGTACCCATACAACTAAGTAGTTTTACCAGACAAGTGTAAAGTACAGGATAACTAGCGCGTATGTAAAAACTGGGAAAACCTTTCTCGTATCTTCTCCGGATTACCCTGAGGCGGAAGAGATAGGGATATAAAGTAGCCTCGTATCCTTTTTATGTTCACAATTTTGGTTTAAGGATAGATTGGGTGAACTAGGCTGCTCCAGAGTTCTTTGAAGCGAGGTGCTTTCGAACCGAAACTGACGTCGCTACCCGTTCTCTCCGAGTTGCAGGTCAAGAGTAATAATCGTAAAATAGATGAAACAGAAGCGAGCCAGGAGAGACTCTTGCTGGATAGATATATTTGGAAGCGCCCTGGTAGTATCACGTGATGGTGTATTTTTGTGAGCCTGTCTTGTTGGTCAAACGTTGGGGCCTCAGCTACAACGTCCTTGAAGAGCCTCTGCTATGCAGCAGCCTGGATGCCTTGCGGCTCAAGTCGTGACCGTTGGAAGGGTTGAGCTGGATACCCTTTGATACTCCAGTGGGATGCAGCTAGGAACGGATATATCCGTGAAAGGGCCATGCTACCACATGACGGGGTCAGTCAACAAGGTCAATATCCAGTACTCTGTAGGTACTGGAAGCTTAGAAATGACGACGACTACATCAGCTCAGGAATGAGGAACATGGAAGATTACTCATGATACGAATTCCTCCGATCCATCTAGCAGGAGTCACCGGCAGTATGCCATAGGAGTCACGGCTCCTTATCTCATGGCAGATGACTCTTATGGACAAAAAAAGTTGATGTTGATACCGATGTCGAAAACGATACCCGAAGAATCGAATCAAAGACAGCCTTCCGAGCATATGCAAGGGGCCACGAAGAATGCTGCAAGGGACTCTCACCTTGACGATTCAAGGCCTTTGTGACCATATGATCTCGAGTTAACACGGAGTCATTACTATATCCAGGACTAACAAGGCGAGGCACAAGTCATGGTTGCCCAGAAGGTATTTACCTGTGGCAAGGCCAGACGTGAGCTGGGTCCACGTACTTTGATATACGTGGATGCCATGGCCAGTTCCGTGAGAACCTTTCGACGTGCGTGAGACGCCCGACAGATATTATATTTTATTATATGTATGCTTACCTTATAAGCACAACGCAACGGTCACTCAGCAGGCATCCCTGGCGGGCTGGGCTATATATAATTCGAGAGCAACCACCAGGATAAAAGCGGATACTCACTGACCCAGCAAATTGATGAAAAAAACATACTTACAAGCTTACTTGCAGGGATATGGATGAGGAATTACTTCCTTACTTTACAATACACGCATAACTCCCAAATTTACGATACTGTATGTAAGTCAGTACCTCTATACCAAGCCCGGCAAGGGGAGTCGCTCCGTTGACAACTTGCACTGCCGACATATACGAGAGGCAGGCAGACATCGAAGGTCGAGTTGAGAATTGAGCATCAAGAAGAGGGTGAATTAAGCCTTCTTGTCGTGGGCCAAGGTGCATGAACATCTCCATCTGGTGGTGGACGTTGGAAAGTAGAAGTGGAAGTGGAAGTATTTTTAACGGCAGGCGAGCTTGACGCGGAATATTAAAAAGTATGAAATGTGCCTTTCATGGCCAGAAGCAGAAAAAGAGTGTTCGGCGCACGGTCAGGGTACATCGCTACTTACATCGCTACATCGACATTTTTGACATCAAATTTATCGCCATCGCGGTGGTGAACTTGGACGGGTAGTTGGAAGTTGCAAGTTATGCGCCACTCGCTTCCATCTCGATCAGCTGTGCTGTGCGCAAAAAGCCACCGACCCACGAACGCGGCGATGGATTTACACAAATACCTGGGGAAAATACACCGTCATAACTCGGGGTAGCGCAAGCCATCCAACAGCAAACAACAGCCCGAAGGAAGGACGTTGTTGGTCTTGCCGCTTCCATCTGCCATATCTGCCAGGCGGCTGAAATCAAGCTAGTGTGTTTGCTTGACGGTATATACGGGGATGGCAAGAGTGATGTTCAGCATGCTCTATCTAGTATGTGATGGGCTGTCATATGATGGCACGCAACGGACGGTCGAGCTGCTTCGTGGGCTGTAAGGGCATCTCGATAGGTCAAACGTGAGGACAGACAGTGAGAGCAAGAGAGGCGGGAATCGACTCGGCAGCTCGGCATGTCGGCAGTTCTGCACATCATCACCCTCATCATCGCCATGGCATGACATCCTGTCCCATCCTTTTGCTCCTTGATCTGAAACTCGGCCCATCGCCCATCCACCCCTCTCCTGCCGGCCTTCTTCAGCCAAAAAAAAAAAAAAAGAGAATCTTTCATCGCTTATCACACGCCCGTCTCCCGTCCCCGTCTTCATCTCCCCTTCTTCATCTCGCGCGAGAGGAAAAGAAAAGTTTGCAATCCCCACGCACGGTCCGCGGAAAAGCCCCTGCTTGGCTCCCGTTAAAGCAGCACTGCTTCATTTCCTAAACAGGCCTAGTGTAAGAACAAGGTGCAAAACAGGGTCCAAGCTTCTTTTTCACCCTGCATGACATGATTACATAAGTCTGCATAAGGGATAAAAATAGACACTGAACTCAACTCGCCCGCATAAAAAGACTTGCTTAGCTAATATTCTCTTCCATGCCGCGTTTGGCGCTGAATAAAAAGCAGGAAGAAGAGCAAGAAGGCCTCCTGCCTGCCTGCCTGCCTGCATGGTTGATGGGATGGCTGGGTGTTCTGGCCCTGGCCTGCTCCCATGACTGAAGAGATTTTTTTTTTTCTTCCTTACTTCTGTTTAAGCATATACTCCACGGAGCAGTGTAAGTAAGTTGCTGACAGGGTGGTCGGAAACATCAGCAAGCGGTTTCATATTTTTATCCCCGAGCACAACACAGTTCCCATACCAGCTAGTCTTTAGGTGCTCCATATTGGTATAGACCTGTGGCCTCTCCGGATGCGGCATTTAGCACTAAGACGATAAAAAAAAAAAAAAAATACACACTTCTGACACAAGCGGGCCTCTCTCTCACCGTCCGCCGCCCTCCTTTTTCATCTCCTCCGATCGTTCGTTCGGCCTCACCGCGCCTCCGTCCGTCCGTCTTGCCATCCCATCTTATATCGTCATCTGTCCCTTTGCCGTCCTCCACACTCCGCACAGCCAACATCATAATATTTTTTCTTATATATATATATATGTACGTGGGTGGTTATGCACTTATGTAACCAACACGAAAGGGAGAGAGGGGGCCACGCAGCCGAACCGATCTCATCGCATCGCATTCATGCATGTCATGTCCAAGCAGTCGTCAAGCCCTTGGCGAGATCGCACAGCCTGCCTGCCTGCCCCTTCCACGCAGCATTTTTTCGAGTCGTCTAAAGTCGTGGCATTTTTCAGCGATTCCCATGGTGTAAGTAAGTATCATGATCGTTGCCATGGTCATGGTCATGGTCATGGTGCTGCCCCCTCGATCCCTGGCCCGTCCTGTCCCTTCGTATCGGGGCGACCTGCGCACGTTCGTCCAATCCCTCATCGGCGATTAGTGATGTTCATGGGCCGCCCGGGTTAAGTCAGTAGTATGTAAGTATATACTTATGTATCGCCCCAGCCAAAGATGAGTGAGCAGGTACTGGCCGGAGAATACATGCGAAGTTCCGCGCTGGCCGCAGGGAAAGGCAAAGGCAAAAAAGCGAGCCAAAGGAAAATAAGGGAAGCTTTTTCTGGAACTTACGGGGATGGACATGGGGCATGCATGGGTTTTGGGGTGGACTGTATGTACGTATGGTCACGTATGTATGTATGGTAATTACGGTAAGGCGGTTCCAGGACAAGCAGAAGAAAGACGCCAGTTAGAGAGCAAGACAAGAGGAGATAGACGACAACGAAGAGGAAGAAGAGGAGAAGAAGAGAAGAAGAAGAAGAGTTCGACGACAATGGTAGGTTATGCTGTCATGCCCCCATGGGGTAACCAGAGAATTGAAGAGACAGAGATAAGGGGGAGAGAGAGAGGGAGAAGACCAGCCTCGAGCCTCTCTTGCTTTGCCGCCGGGGCTAACGCCGTCTCTTTCGGCCGCTGCAACGTTCCATCTCTCGTCTTCTGCTCTACCCATCCGTTGCAGTGACACTACATACTCCATACTTACTTACAGGCTTTTCAAAGAGTCTTTTTTATCTGCGGAGTATTGAGAGCTTATGTTTTTATCATCTGCCATCGCCACGTCACGTGGGTTTATCTCGAAGTCGCCTGGTAGTTAATACTTAGTAGTCAGTTAGTTAGTGGTTAAGTTGGTGGGACGACCAAGCCATGCCGGCCATGCCATGCCCTGCCGTGCTCAACCAGCCATGTAACCCGTTAGATTACTCTAATATAAAGAAGTTCAGGAGGAGGATGATGGGAGGGACAGGACGGGTGGTGCAGGAGAGTCGGTAAACGGCCCTGGTGTATCCCTTGACCATGGCCGTTGTCGAGCACTGCTCACCGTCAGTTTGTTATACTTATATTATTACCCTGGAAGTAAGTATCGCCATGCTGATCAACAGACAAGTACCCCTAGGTATCTATTTCTCCATCGAGCAGTGAGCGTCCTTCAGGCAGTATTTATTTATTTATTAATACTTACTTAACTGTCCCATGTCAGCGGTAGAGTTAACTAGCAGCTAGCCACTGCGGCCCGTCAGTCGGAGCTTTTACTGGGCAGTTAGTTCACCACGACCACGACTAACTAGCCTAACTAACTACCACGGCATCGCCTGCTTAGGCGTACTACCGGCGACATGCAAACAGACAGAGAGAGACACACATTTTAAAAGGACGTTTCATCAAGCAAGCCCTGGAGCCTAAGAGTTAACGTCTGAACTCAAGCCGTGCGTGCGTTCCCTTGCTGGCCAGCCCACCAGCCCGTCCAGCCCGTCAATGGCGCCTCGTAATGGATTATGTCTCCTCAGGGGGGGAGGGTTTCTTTTCTCTCCATGTCAGAAATGCGGTATTTTCTTCGAGACAGTCACGGATGCTAGTTAGCTAGCTAGCTGGCAGGCCAGCTTATTTCTCCGCCCGGTAACTCGTTCAATTAACTCCCTGGTAGCCCTGTTTGACATGGCGGTCGGTGAGTGGACGCGCAGGGAGGTTGATGATTATTGGGAAGAGAAGAGGATCCCTTAGTTAGCTCAAGCTAAGTTAGAGCTGGAAGCCCGGATGGGACGCTCCCTTTCCTCCTTTCTACCCGATGGTGAAACCACAAGCTGGCCTCTGTAGCTTCATGCAAAAGCAAACCAACCGAGAACAGGCCCGGCAGTTGAAGTCGTGTGTTATTCTCACCCTCTCTCCACCCAAAAAGAAAGAAAGAAAGAAAGAAAGAAGAAGAAAAGCCAGCCTATTACGAACCGGCCGAAGCTTGAATGCAATTGACTTGGGGTCCTTTCCAACTCGTGAGGCGATGTTTCTTTTTCAAACCGATATCCATCGGCCATCGGTATTATTATTGAGAGCACTTTAGCTCGTTTAGTTGGTTAGCTGTTATTAGTTATTCCTTCTGTCCTGTGTCCTGCATGCATTATATGCAACAACAAGCATCCCATACACCCACCGCATCCCCCGTCCAACCAGTCATAGTCACTGGGGCCCAAGCAGAGCTTTTTTTTTTGCTTCTTTCTTCACCCTTTCGGCATGTCTGAGAGTCCTTTTTTTTTCTCTCTTCAAGCTTGTCTTGGCTGAGACTGGGGGATTTCGAAAGGAACTGGCGGCTAGCGGGAATAAATCAATTAGCTGGCAGGTCGATGGGGGGGGAGGGAATAACGGATGTGCTATTACTGGCTTGTTGGGGGAAAGGGGCACGCGACCGACCGCTCTTCCACTGTACACGAAGATGAAGATGGAGATGTAGAGACACCGATGAAAAAGATGTAAGAAGAGAGATGGAGAGTGATGTTATTATGTAACTGGCAACTGGCCAGTCGGATGTTTTTGAGGAGAAGCCTGAAAGGGGGGTGTGGGTGGGCAGAAGGCGAAGAAGGATACACTCGGAAGACCAGGCCAGCAGCAGCACTGCCTGATAGTCATAGCAGAGAATAGAGAGATAAGTCATTGGTGATATGAGCATGGACTCGAGAGGCGTCGAGCATGGCACATCGCATGGCATGGCTGGCCCTTACTCTCCGACTAGCTTGAAGGCGTGAAGGCGTGAAGGCTTGAAGGGCCTGAGGGATGCTCGGGATGTCCATCTTTGGCGTCCTACTCTCCGGCACCCGTTCCCGTGGAAGTAAAAGTACCTAACCTACCTAGCAAGCCATCCTGTACGGAGTTAACCAGTGAGTAAACCAGCGAGCCACGCGGACGCTTTTTGTTCTTTTTCTCCGTGGGATAGGATGCCGGTCTGATACTCTTGCTGGTTACTCTGGCTTCGGTTACAAAACATCCAAGAATGAAGAAGACAAGAGACCAAGAAGGAGTCTTTCTCCTGATCTTCAGCCAAGCAGGGCCTATGGTCTGCCATCGACATCCACGGCTCTGCAGCAGTAAGTAGTAGTGTAGTCCAAGCCGGCCTCGCCCTGCCTTGGCCCTTTTTTTACTTGTTCGACCTGACTAGTCCATGATGGATGGCTGTGACTGTCGTGATATTCCTGGATATTCCTTTTGCAGGCTGACGTCGTCCAGCAGGAAGAGCTAGAAGTCAGAAGTCAGAAGTCAGAAGTAAAAGAGAGAGAGAAGATACGAAGATGGGCAGAAAGAAGCCTCGAGAGCCGGGCAAAAAAGAAAAACAGAGCAAAGCACGCAAAGACGAAGCAGAAGCCAGCAGAAGAAGAAGAAGAAGAAGCTAAGAGGCGCGAGAGATATAAGAAAGGCCTCGCTTTCCCCAGACTTGCCCCAGACTCTCTCCCCCCGTCTCCGTCTCCGTCCCCGGACTCGCTCTTCTTGACTCTGATCTTGTCCAACTCTTCTCTTCTCTACTCTCCTTCTCGACTTGACTTCTATCATCATCGCCGTCGCCGTCGCCGTCCTTCGTCCTGCCATCAAGTCTCGCTGTAAGTAAATGACATCATGTTCGCCCTTCGCCGTCCTCCTCTTCGCCTTCCCTGACCGTCACGTAACGTCACAATACATCCCGGCAAGGCGGCCTCCCCCTTCCTTGGCCAGCTCTCTTCTGTCTCGTCCTGTCACGCCCCGTCACGCTGCGTACCCAAAGTAACCGTCGCATCCTCTCTCCCTCTTCCCTTTTTATTTTTTTTTTTGCAACTTCTCGTCTTCCTTTTTTGCAGACTCTTACAAGACGGTTACCAATCTTACCTTACCTTACCTTACCTTACCCACCATTTTTCTTTTTTCCTTTCTCTTTTTTTCTTTTTTTGTCCCTTTTTTCTGCTTGGCCTCTTTTGGGCTCTTTTTGGCTTCTTCGTCTTCTTCTTCTTCTTTATACTTGAACTTCCTCGTCTTCTTCCTCGTCTTCTTCCTCTCTCTCTCTCTCTCTCTTCCTCTTCTTCAGCATTTGACACTCTCCACTCTTCGTCTTTCTACTTCTTCTTCTTCTCGTCATCGTCTTTTCTTCTCGCCTAACGCATGATAGTCCTTGTCTGATGGGTTCGCTATCCTCGACCGCCAGCTTCTTCCCTCGTCCCGTCGCTGCCTCGGCTCTGCGACTCCTGCACGCCCCTTCAGGTCGCCTCAGCTCGCTCCAGAGAGACTGTCCTCGTCTTTGCTAAGAGACCAGACCCGACTGTTCTCCCTCGATTCGACCTGACTGCATCTTGACATCCAACGTCATAAGTCGAGTTGTAAGCATATCCTCCGGGGCCATCAAAAAGTCCACCGAGAGCCGCGTCCATCCCACTATCAAAATCAACCACAACAGCCAACAGCCGAAGAACAAGAACAACCACCCGGAATTCCACCACAAGAAACACCACCATTGGCTATATCAACAGCAAAGAAAGAAAAAGAGAGACTTCATAAAAGACAGGCATCTCGTCCTCCCCTGGTCGCTGTCTTTGTATCACACAGACTCACAGTTCGACCGTTCCTGTCCGATCAACCGCCCCAAAGGCAGGGTTATCCCCAGCAAGGTTTACCACCACCACCACCACCACCAACACCACCAACACCCAAGCCACTTTTTCGACGATCACTTCTATCAGACATGGCCGCTACATCTACATCAACAGTCGGCGTCGACGTCAAGAAGCCGCCTCCTCTCATGGACATTCCGGCAGCCCTGGCCGCCTCGCCTGCTGCTAGCCGGCCGACCCTCGACCTGCCAGACAGCCTGCGATGCTCTGACCTGCCGGGAGTCATCCACGAGGAGGACGAAGAGTCCGCGACCGAGCCCTCTGAGCCCGTCACCCCGACCAGCCTCACCCACCACAACCACCACAACCTCTTCAGCGGGCCTCACAGCTACCAGAGCCAGCACCACCCTCGAATTGATCCCCCGAGCAGGGATCCCATGGTCAGCGTCAATGTCCCCGTCGAGGTGCTCAAGAACCCCATCATCGTAAACACCGAGCCCACGCCGCCATCCACGCCCTCGAGACGCCCTCCTACCACTCAGGCTCAGGCTCCAGCTCCGGCTCCGGCTGCAGCTCCAGCTTCAGCATCAAATCCTACTTCTAATACGACTGCTACTTCCACTGCTGCTACTTCTGCTCCAGTGGCCATTCCTCCGCCAGCTCGACCCTCGACTTCGGCCTCGCAAAAGTCCTCTCCGCTGAGAAAGGCGTCCAAGTCGATCAAGGGCATCTTCCGTCGACCAAGCACCTCCGACGCCATGCCTCCGACCACCACTCCTGCTAATAATACTGCTGCTGCTGCTGCTGCTGCTGGCAATGCTGCTGGCAATGCACAGACCGAACAAAAGAAACTCTCGCTGAACATGTTCCAGGCCAGCAACACGCGCAAGGGCTCGGTCTCGTCTTCGCACCAACACTCACCCACTTCCTCGCGTACCAACTCCCCCCAGTCACCCAGCTCGCCCTCCAGCACGCTCCATGGCAACAGCAACCCCCAGAACCCGATGTATCTCGGAGTCACCCCTCCCTCCGACTCATCCTTCAACCCCCGACGCCCTGCTCGCTCGTCGACGGGCCTTAGCCTGCGTGAGCGCAGTCGAGTCATGTTTGGATCAACACCTCGGCCCCAGCGCGACGAGGATCAGCGAATCCGATCTCCTAGCCTCGGAGACGTGCAGAACCAACCAGAACGGCCCGGGTTCTCTATCCCTGCAGTTTCAGGCGCCGGCCTCAAGGCCCGCCGCATGAGCACCAGTTTGCCCGATGACTTTGACGTCAACACCTGTCCCCTTGCAGACGAATACACCAATAGCAGCAAACTGCCTGGCAAGCGCAAGGAGGTCGGTCGAGGCGCCACAGCCACCGTCAAGATCATGTGTCGACGCGGCAGCGACAAGTCCGAACTCTTTGCCGTCAAGGAGTTCCGCAAGTGCGGCTCAAAGGAAGACCAGCATGAGTATGAGCAAAAAGTGAAATCGGAGTTTTCCATCGCCCAGTCCCTGCACCATCCCAACATCGTCGAGTCATTCCGTCTGTGCACCAGCAACGGCCGCTACAACCATGTGATGGAGTACTGCTCGTACGGCGAGCTCTTCTCGCTCGTCCAGAAGAACTACCTCCAGCCCAAGGACAACCACTGCTTCTTCAAGCAGATGGTCCGTGGCGTCGCTCACCTGCACGAAAACGGCATCGCCCACCGAGACATCAAGCTTGAAAACCTGCTGCTCTCCGATGACGGATACATCAAGATCACCGACTTTGGCGTGTCAGAGGTGTTCTCGGGTCTCCACCCTGGTCTTCGCAGCTCAGGCGGCGAGTGCGGCAAGGAGATGGGCGAGGTCCGTCTCTCTTCACCTGGAATCTGCGGTTCCCTCCCCTACATCGCTCCCGAGGTCCTGGCCAAACAGTCCAGCTACGATCCACGCCCGCTCGACGTCTGGTCCTGCGCCGTCGTCTATCTCACGCTGCACTTCCGAGGCAACCTGTGGCCCTCCGCCAGCCGCGAGCACCCCAACTACGCCCGCTTCGCCTCTGGATGGGAGAAGTTCCTCGCGTCTTCGGAGACGGGCATTCCATCTGAAGACAAGATGCCCTCGTGCGGCCCGGCGTTCAAGCACATCGGCAACCGCAACCTGAAGCTGCTGCTGCTCAAGATGCTGCACCCAGACCCGGCCAAGCGGATCACCATCAAGGAAGTGCTGGGCGACCGCTTCATGAAGAGCGTCGAGTGCTGTGCCCCCGAGACGAAGAAGGGCGAGGAGCAGATTGAGGCTGTGGGCGCCGGCATCGACGCGGCGGGCAAGGCCTCTTCCAAGCGCGCGAGCAAGATGGTTGTCCAGAAGATCCACCACCACTTTCCGCCAGAGAAGAAGTATCTCCCGCAGTACCGCTTTGACATGGGCGATGGCTACAACTGATCGCTGATAACCTCGCAGCTATCACAACCATCGCACTATCACTGGCTGACTGCGGCGACGCTCTCATCACTCACATTATCACCTTTTCCTTTCTTCTTTCCTTTCCTTTCTGTCACTGATACACTGATACGTCTTGTTCTGCTATAAAGGGTGGTTTTCTGCTTTTGCTCACTTGGCTTAATGACTGCATTGGGGGTTCTCCTGGCTTTCCTTTCCTTATCAACTTCCAGCTTCTCTTCACCTTTAATCACCTTGTCCAGCGTACATAAAACCCTTTTTAACGGCCCTTCACTGACCCCCCCCTTCATCATTCTGTGTGAATATTCAAACCTTGTCCCTTTTTCAGCTTCTTTTCTGGCGTTGGTCTACATGTCTGTGTCTGTACTCTCCCCGCGTCAAGGGTCGAGGGTTGTCTCTCTTTCTTCTACTGCTGCTGCTTCAAATACACTGTCTGTCTATCAAAGTGTGCGAGTTCGACTGCCAGCTACAAACTAATGACTGTTCGAGTTACAAAATACCTACCTACCTACCAAATTCTACATAGAAGAGCCTATCTTACATAGTTCCCTTGCTTGCATTGCTTAATGTCAGTCTCGCTTCTATCTATCTATAGACGGTGTCACTCTCGATCTCGCCAGCGTCGCACCGCCCATCCTGCCACCACCAACCACCCCTTGGCCTTCGTCTATCACCCACACTCTCTCTCGGAGCATCCGTCTCGAAGTGACCGGCCGACCAACTCTTCGCTCCTGTCCATCACACAGCCCAGATGCCAACCTCCCACCCAGCGCCTACACATCATCATCCTCATCACCAGGCCAAGTCTGTCCAGTTCAGTCTATCCAGCCCAGCCAGCCAGCCCAGCCCGGGACTCCCAAGACCGCTCAGCAGCACAGCCAGCGACACAGCCAAGTATACAAGTCACAGGTGAGTAAGTATACAGATACAGATACAGATACAGATACAGATACAGATACAGATACACGACCGGGCATTTCCGGCTGCTCGTCCCGTCTCGTTTCGTTTCGTTCCGTCTCGTCTCGTCTCGTTTCTTCACGGCGGAGGCGGAGGCGGCGGCGCTTACACATGCACCATCATCCCCAAGACGAACTATTTATCACGTACTTACTTTTCTTATGCCAGTGCCAGTGCCAGTGCCAACACATCCCTCATCCTCCTCCCCCTGTCTTGTCCCTAGCATCGCCTGTCCTTTGCCAGCGCCAAGGGCGGACGACGACGCCTACCAAGTCGACTCAAGACTCTCGGGACGTCTCATCTTCTCGTTTGCTTGCTTGCTTGTCTCGCTGGCCGCTGGCAACGCAAGCCTGCGCCCGCCAAGTTGACTGCGCGGCAAGCGACATACATGCCCTCTCCCTCCCTCCCCCCAGCCAGGTCACTCTAATATCCGTACCCAAGACTTCGACTTGGACTTGGACTTGCACTTGACTCTTGACTGTCGGCTGAGCACCCCGTCCATGCAAGCAAAGTCGATCTTGTCTGACGGTCCAGCGGGCCAAGAAGGGGGTTTAGGGGGGTTAAGGGGGGGTGGGATGTGCACCGAGAGACGAACGATATCAGGCGGACTGGCTGGCATAACTCGACTTCGAGATGGTATGCATGCACGTACTTACACATGCACGCACACACACATCTCGAGTCCAGCCTGGTTCAATAATGTTGGCTGAAGGAATGGATGGTAATTTTCCTTTCTTTTTTGCCGATTACCTTGGCCCTCCCCCCTTTCAGCAGCACAGCAGAGCACAGCACAGCACAGCATCCGACACCCGAGAGCGACAGCGCAGGAGATGAGGCTTTGATTTGTTTTTTTTTTCTGCTGTTCCGCCGGCGCCCGCATGAAACGGGGGAACAGATCATGATCTGTGATCTTCGCGGGAAGGGTAAAAAAAGGTGTGTGTCCGTTTGGGACAGGAGAGTATTCAATGATCTCCCTTGGCGGGCTTGTCGGGCGGTCCTTTTTCGTCGTCGATGGGCGCGTAACATATATAGGGTGAGGCAGGATGGACTTGAGGCAGTGCTGCAAGACGCCTTGCTTGACTGACTATTGCCTTGGATGCAGCGGTATCACCCTCTCGTCTCTTTATCGACTCTTGGTCGTCGTCTTTCTTTCATTCATATGCTTCTACGGAGTATTGCTGGCTGCTGGCTGACTAGTCTAGTCTCGTCTATCTACCTACCTGCTCAACGCCTGACCTGCGAAAAACAAAGAGGATTGACGGTGCATGCATGAAGAATAATTAATAGTATAAGAGTAAGAAGGAAGAAGGAAGAAGTAGAAGTTGACGGCGGGAAAGGCAAGCGAAGGAATCAGGGGGCGGGCGGCGCCAAGACCAAAATAGAGCCAAGAGAAGCCAAGATTAGCCAAGACTTCCCGCTTGGCGCCGCTCAGGAGAAAACACACATAAAAAGACGCCAAGAGATTTTGTTTTTTAAGTTGTTTACTTACGCTTAGTAAGACTAAAGTTTTTCGCTGTTTGGGGAAGGGGCGACGGAACCCGCGCGCCAAGACCGCCTTCGAGAAGGAAGCAGGAAGGAGCGGTCCTGATGGTTGCACAAGGGGGGAAGTTGCAGTAAGTCCCTCGCTCTTTCTTCTTTTCATTTTTGCATTACAAGGGAGGGATTCCTCCTGTATTTATGCACGTATTTATGCCAACCCTCCCCCCCCGTATGTAAGTATGTAAGTATGGTAAGTAATAATGGGATGGGCTGGGCTTGGGCTGAAATTAACAGATGAAGAAAATGAAACTGCATAAATATAGCCAAGAGCCACGCCAAGCATAGTTAAGTATGGTACAAGTGTTGTAGGCAGTGTTGCAGTAGTATACACGATGAACAAGTTAAGTGAGTAGCACTTAGACCTCAACGCGGGTTGGGATCTTGACTTCTCCCCTCCGCCTGTCTGCAAGAGGCACTCCATACCGCCGGCCAACGCCCTTCTCGCCGCGTCCGTCCAACCCAACCGTCTCCCTACTCACCACCACATCCCGGAACCTGAACTCGAACCGTCCCTCCGTGGGCTCGACCCGCGTCATGCTCGCGGCCTCCCTGGCCTTCCGCTTCTCCTTGCGCGCTTTCTCAGCCTTCTCGTCCGCCTCAATGCGCGCCATGTACCGCCTGCTGCGCTCCCCCATCTCGTTCGACAGCGTGATCTTGTCCCGCTCGGCAGCTACCATGTGAGGGTGCGGGATGCGCACCTCCGCCGGCTGCAGCACCTGGTGCTCGTTGGCGCCCTTGCCGACCTTCTCGATCCGGTGCGGGGCGTGCGTCACTTTGGCAATGTACTCGGGGGTGTTGGCGGGTTGGTCGCGCTCAGCGGCCGGCAGGGCGGGTGCGGCGGAGAAGGCTCGGGCGGCGTCGACGCGAGTGAACTGGCGCGACTCAGACACCGGGTAGAAGATTTGCGGTTCGGTGAGCTTGTGCACTGGTAGGTCGTTGATGGGCTCGTGGGCTATTTGGGGTTCTCCGCGGGATGCCAGAGGGGTGGTGGGCAGCATCGAGCGTACTGCTCGGCCGTAGGGCAGTGCAAGCGGTTTTTTCTAGACAAATAGTCAGTTTAGTTTGCAATCAATTTGGTGTATCAAATAGTGCCTGTCTGCCATTCCATATAGTAAGGCTGTCTTCTCAGAATAGATATAAAACTTAATCATTCTCTTGGAGTCATCAAGACTAATCGATTTATTCATCATGGAAGACCATATTGCCCCAGCATAGGGATGGGGATAGAGATGGGGGATAGGGTATAAATGTTTGGGCTATTCAAACTCACCTCGGCTTTCATCCGCTTCTCCAGCTCAACCAGTCTCACCACCGCCCCGATACGCCTCATATCAACTCCAAACATAACACTCACGGTTTTCACACTCTTCCCTTTATTAACAACCTGCTCATATATCTCATTCCGTAGCTCTTCACTCAACACGCTCTCGCTGATAAACACCGGGTTATGCGGGAATGGTCGCGGTGACGACTCGACTTCTACCAGCTGCCCATCGGGCCCTACTCTGGTCTGAGTCGCCTTCGGTTTACCATCCTTCTCGTAGGCTGTCAGATAGTTTGTGCTCGACGGTATGGGGTCCTTGAATACCCTGCCGGGCCCGTTTAGCCAGCCGAACATCGCTTGTCGGCGTTTAGATATCTGTAGGTTGGGCGTCGAGCTGAAGGCACGGCATGACGATGTGCATGTGGATTGTGTTAGGCTGTATATCGAGGTGTTCTGTGAGGATTGGAGGAGATGATGATGTGAATTGGCCAGCCGTTGTGCGGCCCTTAACCGTGGTGGCATCGTGAGCTGATGTTGTGATTATACGAAAATGCGGACAAGGAAAAAAAGAAAAAAGTCAGGATATCGAGCGATTGGGACAGTCAAGCCCTCGCTGTGCTTTCACGTCTCTTTCAACAGGCCAATGGCTGCCTTATGCTCGTCGTTGTCGCTGATTCTTCTGAACGACAGAAAAAAAGTTGAAGCTTTCAAAGTTGAAAATTCGATGGATTAAGATGCGCACGTGATTTATTGCTGACTAAGATTGATAAGGCTCTTCTCTCTCGTTTCTTCCTGCCTTTCAACGACTTTTAATTATAGACAACAGCATCAACACCGACAGCACAATTGACAGCGACGTTGGTTCAGTCTTCGTACTCGTTGCCAAAGCATTGAAGAGCTGGCGGAGACCATATACCCTTCTCGACCGCCCCCGTCTGCCTCGCAGCTTCGTTGCCAACCATACCATAATCAAACATGGACCAGAGCTTAGATGAGATCATAGCTGAACGTCCCGTAAGTCTCTCCCCTCCTAAGACATGCATGCCGACAAGCTTCAACTGACTTGTCTGCTACTGCATAGGACGCCTCTCGCCCCAGAGGTGGCCGCATGGCGGGTTCTCGCCGAAGGACCAACTTCCGCGGTTCTCACAAGGTAACTATCGACCCTAACCCAGTCACAGTGAGCTCCCGTGCTGATCACTTATAGGTCCTCATCCTCCTCCTCCCATCGCTGCCTTAGCTACATACCTACATATCTATCTGCCTGCCAATAGCCGTGTCTTGACGTGTCCAGCATCGAAGTCTTGCAACACGGACACACCAACAAGACTTGCAAATCTCTCCGATATGATATGATATGATATGATTGATTACACACAAGGCCATACATAGCAACTAGATCTGACTGACCTTCGGCTAACCTTTGTCCTTCTTTTTCTCTGAGTAACAACAGTCTTCCAGAGGTGATAGAGCAGATTTGGACCTGTGAGTTTATTAGGCTACTGCAGGGTTGCAAGAGGCGGGCGGTTTCATGGAAAAGCAGACTAATGGGTTATGTGTTCGGTAGTGATTGGGTTCACGACAGATTTGAAGACGACAGAGATTGTTAGTATTGACCTCGTTCCGTATTTTTGGTTTGTTTGGGTACCCCTTCTAACATTGATGTTATAGCTCGATCCTCTCGACCTCCGAGACAGCCTCGTACGGATAGATACAACTCTGGTCCTGCTGACCAGTACGTAGCTACAACCGACTGTACTGTACACTGCATACCTAACACCGGTCAACAGGGATTCGCGCGGAGCAAAAATTCGAGTCAGCAATATCCACTATGACTTGACCCAGGAAGATCTCGAGGTTCGACTCCCTTTGTTCTCGTCCCCTATATAATGCAAATATACCTAACACAACACAACACAACACAGGAGCTTTTCACCCGCATTGGGCCAGTCTATTCCGTCGCCCTTCTCTATGACAGAGCCGGGCGCTCCGAAGGCACCGCATTCGTAACTTACAAACGACTCTCCGACGCTGAAACCGCCATCCATGAATTCGACGGCGCAAACGCCAAGGGCCAACCAATTCGTCTCACCCTCGTCCCCAGCGCTGCCCCCCGACGCCGTAACCCATTCGACTCCGCCGAGATGCCAAAGGGAAGCCTGTTCGATCGTGCCGAGCGGCCGCGGGGAAGAGACAGTCGTAGTCTTAGCCCGGATGCTGCTGAGGCTAGCGGTGGTCGAAGAGGTAGACGGAACAATACCAACCTTGCCCCGCCAGAAAACATCGACCGGTACGTTCCTGGTCAGCGATCGCCGATACGGAAACATGATTCGGGTAGAAACAGGGGTCGCCGGGGTGGTGGTGGTGGTGGCAGAGACAGCAGGGAAGCAACTGGTAGTCGGAATCGTGGATCGGGGAGAACGAAGAAGACGCAGGAAGAGCTTGACCAGGAAATGGAGGATTACTGGGGGAAAGCCAACGCTGATACTGCTGGCGGTGCTAGCAATAATGCCGCTGAAAACCAGCCCGCCGCTGCTCAAGCTGCCGCTCAGCCTGCCCCTGCGGCGGGCGGTGAGGAAGACATTGACATGATTGAGTGAGCAGTACTTGGTTTGACTGCATTCTGGCTTGTATGGTTATAGAACAATATGAGCCGGCTGGGTTTCTTGTCGTTTCGTGATAGATTCCGCTCCAATTTGATAATAATTACCACTCTCTGTACCTTATATTCCCTAGCCTTCAACGCTGATACTTGAATTTGAATACAATCTACGTATGTCCTGTAGTGTGAATGTAAACCGAATGTAGACCAATGGTGTTATTATTGATGTTGAATAACACAGATTACCCTCCTGCTACCATGTGTAAGTAAACCAACCTTACATGGCTAACCTATTTAACCAAACAGTTTTGAAGCAAGGGTTCTCTCAGCATGGCCGTTGACTGCAAGTCACTCGCCAGCTGATGGTCTATCTCCATAGACCGTATGGCTCTCTACATGCCTTCCATAACTTGATCGTCCCATCCTCGCTTCCTGTGCCGTAAATTTTGCCGTCAGGGGAGTAGCTGAGTGACCAAATTGGGCCATGGTGGCCCCGTTGCACCTCTGCATTTCGCCGTTAGCAACCTAGATACCACTATATTATCAATATTGGCTAGGAAAAAGGGGGGCACATACCAAGCTCGTCGTTGGATTCAAGATCGTAAACGCGCGCCCATGTATCGCCTGTGCTGCCGGTGACAAACCGGCTCGTTGCCTTGTTAACTGCAATACTAGCAAGCTCATACGAGAAATCAGTCTTTTTCAACAACCGGCCTGGCTGCACGGGGTCAAAAAAGTACGCTGCTTTGCCTGCAGCAACGCTCAATACGCCCGGGTCGTTAGGTGTCGTTGAAATCGCATTCATCTCACAGCTACCAATTGTCCCATCCACGGCATATTCCGCACATGGGTGACGAGAACGGAGATCCCACCATCGAACCTTCTTGTCATCTGCGGCAGTCACAAGGATGTTGTAGTCCTGGTACCAGATAATAGATTTGATAGTTCCGTTGTGTATGCCCGGACCAATCTCATAGCTCATGGCGTTGGAGGAAGATGAGTTGGAACTTGCGCCGTTGGCTGCATTTTGAGACGTAGGTGAAGATGAACTACTGCCCTGAGCTCTGGAGAGGTCAAAGATACGTAATTTCTTCTCCATGCCACCTGTGGCTAGGATTTGAGGGCCGGCTTGAACGGGGAACGCAACGGCTCGGACAATGTGGGAGTGCTGCAATGTGTGCAGACACTCCCCAGTATGTGTGTCCCATACCTTTCTAGTTGAGATGTGAGCAATAGGTTCAACATTTGCATGATGTTGGAATTGGGTCGTCGGATGACATACGCAGAGAAGTCTGCAGCAGCGGTAGCAGCAATAGTGGCGTCCACGGAGAGCCTTGCCTGCCAAACGGCGCCTTTGTGGCCTAGGAATGTCCCAATCCTTCATTGAGTTGATACCATGTCAGCTAAGGCCTATAGAAGAGAGTTCTTATGAGGCGAAACTAACCAATCACCAGTGATCCCATCCCGGAGCATAGGATTATTATCTGCAGAGTAGAAAACTTTAGTCAAGGAAATTGAATATAGCTTGGGATTGTATAGTTTTTTTTACCTTTGCAGGCTGAGATCAAGTAGTATTGGTCATCTTCGGTTGTCGAAGAGAAGCTGATGTGAGGCACAGGCCGTGAATGCCCATGACAAGTCAACGGCACAACCTTTGAAGCATCTACCCGGAAGGAATCAGTTTCATGTCATCAAAATAGCGGACCAACTTTGGTTTGGGTTCAATAATATGAAGCGCCATAACTTACCAGATGCCATCTGTCTTGGGGGCGGTGACTGAGCAATGAAACCACAACTCGGTCAAAAGGAATAAAAGAAAAGGCAAAAAAATCAGTAGCCACAAGCTAATGAAGAGTATATGAAGAGGGGAAATAAAGGTCAAGTAGGGAAGATATCAAGAAAATAACGGAAAGTAAACAAGATCCCAAGCTAGAGAGGTATCTCCGAAGACAAAAAATCGAGGGCCAATGAACACCGGTCTTTTTGCACCAGCAATATGATAGTGAAGGGAATCCGTTCAGTCGTCAAAACATTCCTATCATTAAAACAGAACAGAAAAAAAGAGAAAATGGAGCTCGTCTATAAGGGAGTGAAAGGCGCGGAGCAGTGGCACGGAAGCAGAAGACAGCTCGTCTCTTGCAGGACCAAGATCCAAAACGGAGGGGCTGGCTCCCGAGTCCCTTTTTTTTTGCTTTCCTGTGTTTTCTCTTTCTTTTTTTGTCTAAAGAATCAACCTGACGAACGCTGTGCAAGGGTTTCTCAGAGGGATGGAAAGGAGAGAATAAAGGACAAGATGGTTGGTCGTATAAGAAGCAGTGAGCAAACGACCAAGAACGCTGTCCTCTTTTTTTCTTTTTGATATCGGCGGACAGGGCTCGGTGGAGAGTTTAAGCGCGGAGGGAGCAAGCGCTAAGCGGGATGAGGTAAGGCGCCAGGGCACATGACTCTCTTCTTCAACGTTCAGCGTTCGACGGCGGCCTTAGGACACGCGGAGAAGGACGAGGACGACGGGAGATGAGGAGGGTATTAAGGCAGCGGATAGACGGCGGGCAACTCGCCGTGGAGTAGGACAGGATGGGTTGACTTTTTCGTGCTGGAGACGCTTTTTTATCTGCAGGGGAGCAGCCCGTCCTCGTTCCCTGCAGTTTTAGCGCATACCAGGAGCTGCTGGGCTTGTCCACAGGGATGTACCCTCTGGCTAGCGGAATACCAGGCTGCTGGAGAGTCATTGTCGGCGGATTTGACTAGCAATGCCCACTTTTTGCTTTTAAGGGCGTCGCGAGAGCTTCGGACAGCTCTTGAGAGCTGGCATTGGCTGTTTGTGCCGTGGCTGGAAGAAAAGAAGCTGTCTAATATCGTATATTCTTGACGCCATGATGAGATATATCTCTTACATCTTCATATACCAGGATGTCCCGTTATTTAGCTAAACTGTCTCATGGTACTCCGTACAGCCGGAGTGATTATTCTGAAGTAAGTATATACATGGAACCAAACATGATATCATTCATCATCTTTCATCTTGCTTCCCTTAATAGTGCGTAATCCCTTGCAGTATCACAACAAATATATACTTCATGTCACCTCCCTTCACCAATGTATTTGATAGCAATGGATACAGCAGCCAGCTTTGGCTGTGCGCGCACTCCCACTGTCATGTGACCTGGCCTACCAAATTTTGTATTATGTCATGCAAAGAACAGCAACTCCAACCCCCACACTCTGCAAACAAGCTGAAGAACTACAGCTACAGCCATTCATTGCTCTTCGTGATAGCTTCGTTTCCTCCGCAGTGTGACGGATTTATACGGAGGTGGTTGTATTTTTGGTCGCTCATACGATACCTTGCCTCCATAGCCTACCAAAATCATCTGTATGCCTGACTTCAAGATCTCCGCGCTTCTGGAAGGCCACAGCGATGATGTTAGTTGGAACTAATCCTCTCACCACATAAAGAGCTACTGTGACTGATTTCTTGATATATAGGTTCGAGCTGTGGCCTTTCCAACTACATCTACTGTTCTAACGTCGTCTCGAGATGCAACTGTTCGCATGTGGACAGTGGTATCATCCCCGCCTCCGAAGTTTGATGATAAGATCACAGTGCATGGGTCAGCGTTTATAAATTCTCTGGCTTACTGTCCTCCAACAGGGGACTATCCGGAAGGACTGATATTTAGTGCTGGACAAGATACGATAATAGAAGCAAGACAACCCGGGAAACCAGCGGATGACAACGCTGAGCGTTTGCTGCTTGGTCATACAGGCAACGTATGCGCTCTAGCCGTCTCGCCGGACCGTAAGTGGTTAGCCAGTGGAAGCTGGGACTCTACTGGACGCCTCTGGGAGATTGGAAAATGGAGCAAGGAAGTTGTTCTGGATGGCCATGGAGGTAGTGTTTGGGCTGTTTTGGCTTACGACAAGGATACAGTCATTACAGGTAAGGAGAATACATATAGGATATGTTATGGAGTAGGCTGCGTACTGATGGGAATTTAGGGTGCGCTGATAAACTTATACGGGTGTTCAATACCTCCGGAAAGCTTCTGAACACTTTCAGGGGCTGCGGGGATGTTGTTCGAGCACTTTGCAAGGTCCCAGATGGACATGGATCCGGAGCCCAGATAGCATCTGCAGGAAATGATGGTATCATTCGACTTTGGACTATTCAAGGGAAGCAGGTTGGCCAACTTCATGGACACGAAAGCTTCATCTACTCCCTCGATTCCCTACCCTCCGGCGAGCTTGTGAGCTCTGGAGAAGACCGGACTGTAAGGATATGGAATGCTACTAGCTGCATTCAGACAATTACCCACCCGGCAATATCAGTATGGAGTGTTGCTGCATGTGCCGAATCTGGTGACATTATCTCGGGAGCCAGTGATAGGATAGCTCGGATTTTCAGCCGGGACAAGGGTCGGCAAGCCGATGAGGCCACCACCCAGATTTTCGAGAATGCTGTGAAAGAGTCTTCCATTCCACAAGAGCAGGTTGGGAAGGTCAACAAGGAAAAACTCCCTGGCCCGGAATTCCTCAAACAGAGATCTGGAACAAAGGATGGCCAGGTACAGATGATTCGTGAAGATGATGGGAGCGTCACTGCTCATACATGGTCTTCTGCCTCCTCTCAATGGGTCCCTGTTGGCACAGTGGTGGACTCTGTTGGAAGCAGTGGTAGAAAAGTCGAATATATGGGCCAGGACTACGATTACGTGTTCGATGTCGACATCGAAGACGGAAAGCCACCCCTAAAACTTCCATATAATCTGTCTCAAAACCCCTACGACGTGGCAAAGAAATTCATTGCAAACAACGAACTTCCAATCTCATACCTGGAACAGGTTGCGAACTTTATCACAACCAATACTAAAGGAGCAGTAGTAGGCCCGTCCCAGACCAGCGAATCCACCTACCAACAACCGTCTATTCCGGATTCTCGGCCAAAAGTGTTGCCTCAAGCGTCCTACCTTTCTATAAAATCGGCAAATTTGAAAGCTATACAGAAGAAGATATCCGAGATAAACACTCAGTTGGTATCTTCTGGTTCTAAGGATTTGTCTCTTGCTCCCTCGGAGATGGAAGCTATATCTGGCCTGTGCTCCCAGCTTGAGCAGCCATCCTCACTCTCTAAGTCACCGGTTGTTGAAGCCACGATCCCCTTACTCGTTAAAGTATCAACAAGCTGGCCAGCCGCAAACCGGCTTCCAGGTCTCGATCTTCTCCGGCTTCTAGCTGCTGCATCTCCCGCAGCAGCTACCTGGGATCAAGGAGAAGGCAATTTAGTGTCGGTGATCATATCCAGCGGCGTATTTGATGCTCCTCTCAGCCCCAATAACACCATGCTGGCTATCCGAATGCTGGCAAACTTTTTCGAAACAGGGCCGGGCCGTGCATTAGTCGTCGGGTGCTTCGAAGAAGTTACGAACAAGATTGGTTCTGTCATGTCCGACTCCGTTGCGGCTGGTAACCGCAATGTAACCATTGCTGCAGCAACATTATACATCAACCTTGCTGTTTACTTCACATCCAAAGAAAATGTTGACTCACCAGAAGCATCCGAGCACGGCCTTGTACTCATTGACCAACTTACTAAGGTTCTTCGCAACGAGAAGGATTCGGAGGCTGTCTACCGAGGACTAGTCGCACTTGGAACACTAGTTGTTGGCCTTGACCATGAAATCCAGACGGCGGCAAAGGAGATTTATGACCTCGATCAGACACTGACACGGGTTTTAGATGCCGGCTTCGGGCGGGAGCCAAGAGTTAAAGGTGTCATAAGCGAAATTAGAGATGCAATTAATTAGATCGGGCACAAGCATGTATACGGAAACGCGTTACGTATAGAAACTTGAAATTAGTTACTAATTATATGCACTCCCTTGCCGTTGTTGCGTTGCGCTATGATCTTGGTCGGGCCGTTTGAAATGTGACACCCGTCAATCCAAACTTTTAAGACACCACCCGCGTTTTTCCACAAGGTACTTTGACAGGCCGACTAGTCACTCATGCACTGGAAATCAATTACCCAATGCATCACTTGTGGGATTACACACTGCAGCTAGTCATAGCCTTCACAACTTCCCGGATCCATCGACATCAACTTCCACTATCTGGTCAACCCCTGGGTACTCAGGTAAATCCAGCCCATACTTCCCCGCAACATCAGGTGTCAAAAACCTTCCACCGAGGAAATGTCTCCCCTTAAACCATTTCACGCACGGCTTAGCGGCTGTCAAACTGACGAGTATATCTGGCATAAACTTCGAACCGGGTCCATCCTTGGGCGGCCCAGTCTCGATGTCCCATGAGCTCGGCGCATCGACGCTAAGAACAGGAACCTTCGTCTCCTCAAGCTGGGAAATTATGGCTGGAAACGGGTCTCTG